CAATAGAAGAAACATTCTCCGGGCTTGACCTCATGCACGGCATGTCACTTAAGTCACGTATACACGCACGCCAACGTATACAAGTGCACGTGCGCTCGCGGGTGCTCGCACGTGCTACTGCGTATGCGTGCGTGCGTGCGTGCGTGTGTGCTTTAAAATGCGTTTATCGCCGCCCGCCGACAGTCTCGTCACTCCTGGCCGCGTTTGCTTATTTATGCGTGAGCTTTGTATATAAGAATACAAAATGGAGCACGTGCGATTTGCACACAGCTTTCTTCTATGAAATTCACGATGTTAGTAAATAATCGTCTGATGAATGAAGTGTCGCAGGAAGACGGATAAAGAAAGTTTAAACAATAGACCATATACGTGAGAGAATCGTGCAAATATTTGGAGGAAGACACGCGAGGCAATATTTAGTGGATCTGTGAGATGAAAGTTGACTAGGATGTGATTTAAAGCAACATAATTTATAAGAGCCTTTATAATTGCTTTATACGAATAAACCAATATGCACTGAGTTATTCGTTGATTATCCCTCCTTTCAGTGTTAATTGGTCGATTGTTCAATTAATTATTCCCATTGCCCCGCTCTTTCCGTCAGCTGTTTCTACTTAGAAACATGCCTCGAAAGCTGAAGAGGACGGCGAAGGTTGGCGGTGGTGAAAAAGGAGGGTAGGTCTCTCGGCGAGACGAGATTTGATTATTCTTAGCTAATGGACTAATTGATAGCGGCCGGTTACCGAGCCGGTTCGTTTGAAAATTGTCATGCCGCTGGTGAAAGCGTGCGTGTCCACTTTCATGCGGATCCGCATAAAAGACACGCTCACATTATCGCGGAGAACAAGGCGTCCCGCCCTGACCATGAGGCACACGAGCGCAATTGCACGTAGGGTGTGCACGCAGCCGTGATGTACATTAATAAGAGTGTGTGTGTGTGTGTGTGTGTATTGTGTGTATGTGCACACAGGTAGACAACACACACGTTCCGCGTGTCCATGAACGAAAGAGACCGTTCGCGCTACATACAGCGAAGAGTTCCCACAAGCAGTACACTATCTGTCTAGCTACCTACACGGTGAAACGGTTAAAAAAACTGTCATCTCTCTCACATGAATATTTGATTAAGCGCTCAGACTCGATGACTCGATGATGAACTTGACCTATTGGTGAAATATCTTGATAGGCCAAACAGTGAAATATATAAGCGTTGACGACTCATGAAGCAACGTGGAGATTCTTCGAGATAATAATTCGGTAAAGACATATGTATTGTTTCGTCTGTATTGTTTCTTTGACAAATTGTTAGGACATTATAGATTAAATCATTTTCTTGCACTCGGATCTTTCAATATGTTTATAATCGGATGTTAGAGATTAGTTTTATCGAAAATTATCGTCCTCTTCAAATTCAATTGCGGATTTGACGACTTCTCCTTGTCAACACCTTGAGCTCTCGCCTCGGTTTTGCCAAATTCAGATACTAGGTAGTTCGGCGTCACCCTGTATGCACAGGTAGCGAGAGGTGCGCACGTGTAGCGTGCACGCCGGCACGCACACGCGTGTGACGCCTTTTACGCGCGCACACGGCAATGTGAACAGCTTGAACCTCGAGAGGGTCTCTCAGTCCATGTCGAGACAGCGCGCGGTGTAGACTGCGCGATTTCCTCGACGAAGGTGACTCGTCGACAAGGAAACAACAGTCGTGCGCGATCGTGAGGATCGGTCTCGCGTCGCCGAACGCGAAGGATCGAAGGACGATCGACGACCGTGACCGACAGCGTGGCGGAACATTCGCTCGTGGACCGCACTGCGAGTTTTTTACGATTCGAAATGCTTGCCTACGTCATCGGCTTTTTATTTTTTTACACCGAGCTGCTGTGTCTGGAGCTGCAGATGATGCTGCACCCGGATGAGTACAGGTTTTCCAAATTCGTCTTGTGAAAGGAAACCATCCATCTAAATCTACACAGAAGAAAAAAGAATGTCGAGGGAAGGGATGAACAGTGAAAAGTGCAAAAAAATCCAGTGAAAAGGGAAACCCTGCTTCCGCAATGTTGAAGACAAAACATCATTCAGATGCTAAATTCGGATTTCCGAGAGACCCGATAAAGGCGACGAAGGATCCTGTGAAAGAATGGTGTCTGTTCCTCGAGTTTCTACCTCAGAAACAAAATCGTGTCGGGTCTTTTAAATTTGTCCTGTGAGGAAAATGTTCTGCTGAGCGATAAATTTGAGCATAATAACAAAGGTCCAAGCCGAAGGGGATGACCACACACCCGGAATGACATCGAAAGAGTATTGAATTCCTCAAGTTCTGATCGCGAGAGAAAATTATTCGCTCCAAACTTTTTTGTGCTGTGCGAAATTGAAATGTGCAAAGAACGCGCTATCGAAAGGCAAACGAGATTGAAATTCTCAGTGACATTATATTTCTAACGGGATGAGCTTGATTTCCCGCAGTCTGTGCGATCGATACTGATTTGCATGAAGCTGCGTGACGCCGGCGAATGTTAATTACACCTCATTCTCTGGGAGGCGTCTATTAGCGGAGTTGATTCGTTCCGGGATTAAAGCGCCTTATCGATCCCTTATTAAATTATTATCTCGCGAATCAATGCGCTGGGATAACGCAAGCACGTTAATAACGCGCGAATTAAGTAAGTCTTGCGTAAACGGGAAATGATGTGCAAATAGAAGAAAATTGAACAATTGTACGACGTGTTGCTTATCTTTTAAGGAATTTGAATATACCGGATATTTAATGATCCAAATTTTCGGAAGCTCTGCGCCTGCAGCCTGTAATACCGATAACAATGCGGAAAACTTGCGTGTCGGAAAATGTAATCGTTTAACTTGATCTCTCCATCAATATCTACCGAACGTTTTTTGAGATAAGATTATAAAAGCGCAAGAATATTTCGGGTTTGAAAAGAAGAGCCTGAGAAGTTCAGTCACGTTCATTTTCTACAGGGATAATTCGATCATTTTCGCAGACGAGGCAGAATTTTGGTGGAAATTTTACATCAAGAAGTATTCGTCATTTTACAGAAATTTTCACTATCGCGGACTTTTTAAGACCGGGGAGAGAATCTCGCGATTGACACGCTTGTCAAATTACTCTCGTCGCTATTGCGAAACACCGCAGGTGACGGCATCCAAATTTTGAGACGATGCCAAAATTAACGTCACAATTTCTTACACACGTGCGTTGCCTTCGCTGTGCGCGAGCTAATAAAGCAGCCAATTAGGCGGACCCACTGGTGCGTGGTGTTGCATACAAGGCGGCCGAAAGTATCGAGGATCGCAACGTCCGGTGCGCGTCGAAAAAGACCTCATAAAATCGGACGCATCCGGAGATACGAGAAGTGAAAGTGCGTTTTGATGACGGTAACCCCGGCTGGATAACAACGGCGCGGGCGCAGCCGGCGTTGGTGCATCAGTGACGGGTTGTCGTCGAGGGAATCGTCATCATCATGACCGTTCCCTGGCCGTCATCGCAGGGAAGCCGTTCGAAAGTCACGCGATGAACTTAATTAGTCGCATTAATTCGTGAACCTGATTCGACCCGAATCCGAGCTTTGAAGCTCGTCGCCGGCTTCAATAATTCATGACTGTGCGGCAGTTCGAGGGACGGAAAACGCGTCGAGTCGGTTATGTCCCGGTGCTTGTCAAGACCGCGGAGGGTGCGACGAGACGGAAGAAGTAGGAAAGGGTTGGCTCTGTTTGGCTGACCACATCGCGGCTGCCTCGTCGCCTTTCAAACACGTGGATGTCACGAGGAGGATATGGAGACTATATTGAATTGTAATTACGTTAAATTGCGGCTTGTGATGGGAGGTGTAATTTAGTTACATGCAGATGACGGAAAGGAAGGAATTGATAATTGAAATCTCTTGTGATTGACGCGATAAGAGTGCATGTCATGATATATCGGATGGCTTTAAAGTATTTCTTTCCAGTGTTTGATTGTTTACAAAAGTTTGTCTGCAGTGTTTGATGTTCGATAATTCTTGTATTTGATACAGTATCTGATATGAGATTATCACGAGGAGGGATATGTCGATAAGTATCGAAATATTTAGTTTGACAGGCGTGAAAATTCTACATTTCGTTCGATTACTTGAAATGAAATATCTGTCGGAGACCGCATTAATATATTCATCATTTTGGAGAAATCGACATTGTATTCTCGCAATTAAATTCTTACGCTTGGTAAAGTTGTTTCAGTTACTTATTGTGTTTCTATTACGTGAACGAAATTTTCGGGAGCACTGTGTGATGATATTTTGTGGTGCCAATAACGACTTTGGAAACTTATATGTCGGAAAAAATGTAATTGTTTAACTTTACAGTATCATTAGTTACATTATAGTATTATTAGCAACATTACAATAATTTTAGCTAATGATGTACTTAACAAGTAATTTATTCTTCATTTGTTTATCGATAATATATCTATTACGCGAAAGAAGCGCCTTTTCACGACGGGCTGAATAATTAATTTGAAATTTACCTTTATATTATGTTATTCCTTTTTTATATCAATGTTATTTCTTTTAAGTCTTTTACCGCGGTGTTGCGATACATTGTACGTTCGAGTGGCAGCGGACGGTATACTTCATTTCTGTGCACAAGTCGCTGCCTCAACCACACTGTTTTGCTCTCGATAGTGTGCTATCGTTACCGTTACAGTCATCCACTCCATGACGCGTCTTTTCGTCAGACCCGACTTTCGTTATCTCTGTGTAAATATAAAGATGTCGTGCCACCTCGCTCAGGGGAGAGATAAGTGTTTCCGGTCGTTAGGCCCGATGGCTAGGAAGCGGAACCGTTCCTCTTCTTCTTCCCCTTCCCTCTTCCTTTTTTTTTTTTTCTTTTAAGAAGCAATGCCCGCATTAGTCCGCTAACTGTGTTTTCGGACGAGCGATAAATAACCTTTTACGTCCTGATCCTGAGCAACGGGTCCTAAGTGCTTTTTTGCTTTCTCTTTTTTTCAGACTTGAACCTGTGGAACAAGAGTATCAGCCAGCGTTGGCGGAAGCTGCGAAGACGATGCTCCGTCCAGGAGTCATCGGAGCCGCAGGAGGCGTTGATACAGGGTGGGACGACTCATGGTGTTATACAAGCGGTGAGATCGACACCGGCTAGCAGGGAAGCCTCGCCGGCGGCGAAGAGTCTCCAGGATGGCAGCTCGCCGAAGAAACTGCTGCAGACTAGTTCTTTGAGGCTACCAGGTGAGTTGCGATTCATTTGTAAAGTCATTTGTCATTGTGGTAAAGTCGAGCAAGCAAGCTAGTCATTTATTTGGAAGAAAAATTTATAAAGTTAAAGTTGAAACGTAAAATTAGTAGTGATACGAAGGAGCGAATATGTTCTGTCTTTATTTCGGAATTACGTAGCTTCGATGTAAGACCACTTCTACTTCATCATAGTGTATACTTTATAACGAGGTACCTTTGTAGGCACGACCAAGGGCATCGCCGACATCCAGCATGTCCTTCGCAGCAAATTCAGCAAGATAAACGCGGGCATCAGGAAGCGGAAGGCTCTCAGCGTGACGGAGGTGTTTCCGCAGCAGAAAGACAATGCGTCCAACTTCTACGTGCCAAGTCCGCTCACCTCGTCGTCCAGTCAGACCTTTGAGGAGAATTACGACTCGAGCGAGCCTGCGTCTCTGCCGCCCTATCCTTTTCACGACAATCTCGAGACCTTGACGGAGGGCAGTGTACCGAACTCTCCGCATTGTGCCAGCCCGCTCAATGGCAATGGCGACACTTTCACTTATTCCCAAGAGGCCTACGATCAGAAGGATCTCTACGAGAACGTGGTGTTCCCCAGGTCCACGCCGTCTTGCTGTCCCAGAACTCGTTCAGTGCTCCAACGCAGCAACTCGGAGAATCGTGCCGACGTCAACGTGCACGATCATTCTTATGAGAATGTACGCTTCCAGCGAGGCGGTCAGCGCGACGACCTGGCGGCATCCGGCAGCCCTTACGTGGGTAGACACCTTGGCAGGAGTAATTCCGAGACCAGGGAGCATTCGTACGAGAACGTACACTTTCAGAAAAACGCGAAGACCAGGAACCAGTCGGCGCCGTCATTCGAGGAGATACACATACCCAGGGTGACGCCTAGGAAGCGCTCCACCGACTTCAAGGTCGGCGGGCAGGTGAACAATTACTCGGCCGAGGCCACGTTGGCCGCCGGCGGCAACAAGGAGGACGGACCGTCCAGTCTGGGTATGGACAGAAGTCCCGGCAAGAGAAACACGAAGAGGCTCAACAGCAGGAGCGTCGCGAACATTCCCAGCTCTTCGGGAGCGAACTTGAAGACTTGGCAAGTGAGTAGATCTCGTTGGAATCAGTCCAACACTGTCATATTTTAAAGATCGTAATATATAACGAAAAAGTTTGCACGCAGAAAATTCGAGATGAGATCTCCTCTGTGATCTGTGTGCGATCCGATGTGCCAACAATTCTTTCTCAACAATTACCTTTTTGACTACAAAAAGGAAAACTAATTACTAAGTAATTCAATAGCGTCCATTGATCGTCACGATTTTTGTTGCAGGGTACTCAAGACGCGGATGAAGGTCTGAACACGGACTCAGAGCTCGAGGACATCGACGAGGCCGCCGAAGGCGAAGAATCGCGTTTCTGTACCTTGCCAAGACCCGGTAAGGGCGGCGCATCCTTTACGATACTGACTGCCAGATTTCTCAAGGGTCCTGGGCATAAGGGACTCGGCTTCAGTATCGTTGGCGGTACCGACAGTCCTCGAGGAAACATGGGGATCTACGTGAAAACTGTTTTCCCTAATGGTCAAGCCGCTGACTTGGGCACTGTTAAAGAAGGTAGAGACATAACCGTGAATCTCGAACGAAGGTAACATCGCCTCGTTAACTCGGAATTTTTCATGCTCGCAGGGGACGAAATTTTGTCGATAAATTCGAAACCTCTTCACGGTATGACCCACGCCGAGGCGATCGCCGAATTCAAGTCTGTGAAGGCCGGAGACGTTGTACTGCACGTGGGACGTCGCGTAAACAGGAAGAAGAGAGAATCTTTGACTCTGGCGCCGGTCAATCCCGTTCCGAGGCAACCCGTCAAGTGAATTTACCCTTTTCTCGTGTTAACGTTGAATCTCGAACTTCTACGCAAACTCGATCTTCCACACTACGCGAATATTTGCTGTTTAGTAGAAATAACGATTATTATTGCTGGCAATGGTACACGTGAGATCGCAGCAGACTGTGCAGAGGCAGCGCGAGCGTGCGATTTGAATTGTTTTGACCCTCAATTCGTGAGACGAAGTTATGTGAAATTTTTATTTCAGATTATGTTAACCTTCTTCCTAATTTGTCTCCTTTGTCAATTAAAGAAGCTAAAGTTACACACGTAAAAATTGATCGATTTAATACGATGTTTTAGAGGCAAGGCGGTTACGTATGTAAGTTCTAGGTTGTATGATCGAACACGTTTTATCAATTATCACACTTTTATATGATACGAGGGAGAAAGAGAGAGAGCTGGATCCGTTCTTTTCTAATGACACATTTCATGCATTTTCTTTCTTTTCTGTGCTCTCTATTTGTTTTATTCATCGTGTGTTAAACACAGAGATTATAATGCGCTGTATTTGAAGAAAAAAAACGAATCTGTATCGTGTCATGATTTCAGGGTTAAGTTTAAAGATGAAACGGGGAAGTTATTTCGCGCGTGGTTTACATTAAAATTTGTCATCGTATGTTTGGATCCTGTCAGGACAACGAGAAATGTTTATACAATGAGAAAAAATTGTATTAAAATTAAACAAATATTTGTTTGAATACGACTGTGAATACATTTATTTAAATTGAGTAATTATTTTCTAAAATTCAAGAAAAAAGTTTACATTTAGAGAGAACCTCTGTATCTCATTTTAGAATTCATTTTAGAATTAGTCGCTTAATTTGAATAAATGTATTCACAGTCGTATTCTAACAAATGTTTGTTTAATTTTAATATAATTTTTTCTCAGTGTACGGTAGCCAATCGAGGGCATTATCAGGAGTGAACGTTTTTTCTCTTACGTCATCAAATTAAGAATAATGCAAAATTGTAACGATTGTTCTTCGCGATATTTGACACGTGCGAAGAGAGAATGGGTTAGTGATAAACAATGTCTCACGCCGATCTGATAAACATATATAATCAAACAGTGAGGCAGACGCTGTCGAATCAAAACGCGTTTTAATCGTACAATGTGACCGACCTGCTCGGCATCCGCTATATCGAACCTTAATATTTATCGATAATTCGTAATCACTATCTAATACTACGTAAAATTAGTAGGAGCTTCGGTGCAATGGAGGATCGTTCGAGCTTTCGGCTCGATTGCATTTTTCGGCTTTGCTCACGCGGATATATAAATCCCGAAGAAAATTAATGAACTAATAACTCGAGGGAAAGTCGGCTTTGGTAAGATTAAAATAAAGATCTAATCGTTCGAGTCAGAAATTAACTTCATCATTCTGTTTCGTACTGTGAGCGGTGCAACGAAATGACGAATAAGTTCTATGTTGAATTCCGTCTGATTCGTCTTCTTTTAACGGGGAAATATTTCCCATGAATTTATACATTCGGGTTGCGGTTTTATATACTGGAGATTGTCTCCGTGAATGACGGTAGAGTTCAGACGATGATGTACGTAATATTGCGCAACGAAGTCCTCCAATTAGTGATTAACAGACGACTTATTTTTGTAAGGCGAACGAGAATCTTCCGCGGTTTTTGTACAATTAACGAACGAGCGAGCGAAGCGATGTTTGTTCGCGTGTATGCCAAATCAACGAAATGAACGGAATCGAACGAAGTACCCATTATCTCAGATGACCTGACCGATATAATATGTATACCTGCATCGCAAAAGTCTAACTTTGTCTGTGAAACGAGAATTTCCGACTGAATTTTCTAATAACACGTAGAAATTCGTGTTATATACAATGTACACATTAAAAGAAAAAAAAAAATACATTAAAAATACAATTTGACGATCTCCTGTCAGTTTTAACAACGCCATACAATTTCCTTTCGCTCGGACTTTTGCGATTAGGTGTAACAGGATGTCCAAAGTCCAAGTAATCGCAGCGTTAAGGAAGGAATTATTTTTTAACCGTAGACTAACGAAGATCGCCCAAAGATGAAGCCCAAAAAATATTTTTACTACGAAAATGAGAGACATGTGTAGAGAGAGAGAAAGCGCATATCTATATATACTATATATACATATATATATATATATTATATATTTTGACAAAGCGAGCGAGACGCGCGTTTATTTTAAGAGGAAGTAACATTCTTAGTATCTAGTCCATCTCTGTAATATTTCCTTTTGAGGGCTTTTTCAAAACCGCGACACGACGAAAGGAAAACGAGAAAAAAATATATATATACGCGCGCATATATAGGTATATATATATATATATACAGTGATATATACACACATAATAATTATATATTTCTTATATACATTTTTCAAGGTGTAACGAATCTTAATAATCAAGTAATAATAATAATAATTGAGGTTTAAGATCGCTGCTAATCTGGCGATGTTACATCGCGAAAGTAACGTGTGCTCCGCGGAATATTTAAACAATGAGAATGACTATTCCGAAAGCGTCCCTTTTGTTCATTAACAGGCGTGGACGTTGACGGGTGGATAATAGTAGCGAAACAGTGAAAACTTGAGATGTAATCAGCGACTTGTCACAGGTCTGACATTCTGCTTGAAGTAATATGTATTACTTGCTTCGTTGCTTTAGGGACGACATACGTACACAATGTTGTACGAAGAAATTGTGCACTATTTATATTGCGCTCGTTCGTGATTCAGGATCATGGGAGCAAATGATCCTGACACATATCTAGTTGTAAGGAATTTATGAATCGATACACGTACAATTCCGGCCAAGGCGGCTGACACGCAGCTCTTTTTCGTCTTCCAGACTCCGTAATGTCAGTGATTCTTTTGTAATAGATCTTTCCGACCGTGCAATCGTCCTCTTGCTAATTTAGGCGAGATGTACACTTGAAAGTTTCCATCTGAATATTATTTGCGAATTTTTACAAATATACACAGATAAGCAAAAATAATTCCTATACTGAGCGAAGAGAAATACCTAAAAAATATAAATTGTTTATTCGGTGAATATTAATAATCACTTACATTTACTTTTATCAATATACATATTTCTACACGGAAATCTTTTTCCAAATAAAAAAAATATTTCCTCAAGACTGTAACTTATCGTGGGAGAAGCAATTGTTTGATCTATTTAAATATAAGAGTTTAGATTTAAGAGTACACATATTGTTAGTACTCACCGAATGCTTTTCTAATTTTTTAGATATTTTTCACTTGGTGCAGTATTTCGAGATATCTTTTTTAGACACGTAGATTTTTATATAAAATATAAGTTTTTTCAGAGATGCGTAATGTATTTTAAAGATCAAACTTTTGATGTGAATAATCAAATCAGTAATTAAGAATATATTAATGTCGCTATTAACATCAATAACGCCCCTCGAGAGTAAATGAAACTGCGCGTCCTTCGGCAAGAGGCACTCTCGATTCTTCAATCCTTGTAGACTTTTGTTACTATAAAACACTCTCTCTCAGAGAATAAAACTTTCAGGTCACACATCGAAGCGCATGACAAGAGAAACGGACGTTCCCTTATTAAATATGTGATCAAATATATATTTCAAGCTACATCGCAATAGAAAAGAACGTGAATAAAAGAACACGATCTCCCTCGTCAAAGAATTTTTATTCAGCTTTGCGCATCGAGCTATATAAATAATATGCAACATTACATAGTTCATCCTGGCATCGCACCGAGAGAGAATTTCGCACACGCGGATCGCGTGCCGTTCCGAAGTAACAGAGAAACTTCATTAACTTCTTATCTCGTTTCGTGTATTCTAATTAGTAATATTAATCAGGGAACACTGGAATACAAGTAGAGGATCGTTTTTGATTGAGATTACATCGCAATGCAGTGAACTGCGTCGGCAGGTCTGTACACTATGCTCGTGTGAATACACGTATGTGCTGTATGTGTATATGCGTGAGAGTGTTCACATATAAGTGTTATAACTTGTCCTGATAAAATCCTTATCACACTCCAGATAACGTGTACGACCTGCCGCGAACGAGTGCAAGTGTGACTCGCGATCTCGCATGTAAACACAACCTCGTGGCGTGAGACACTATCATTATATTTTCTACTTAGAGAGAGAGAGAGAGAGAGAGAGAGAGAGAGTACGCGGGCTCGACGGAGAAAACGAGAGAGGAAAATAAATACATAGACCCGTTTGGAAGCGCGATTGGAAGCGCTCGTCACTTACGCTATCGACGTCGCGACGACGTCGTCCCCACGATCTATCGGAAAACCAAGAAAAAATCACGACATTATCTGAAGATTCCTCCTCTCCCTTTGAAACAGAACAATCGAATTGTCTTACGGTGTAATTGCTACGGACGATTTGCCACTCGTTGCTTTACTGCAAAACGAACGATCATACATACATTCAGTCAACACGTACTGTGAATGATTACCGTAGGCGGGGGGAGGGGGAGGGGGGGTAGCGGATGAGTGGTTAGTGGTGTATACCATCACGAGAGAGGCGACGATCTCGACCAGCGGAGTGAAATCGAGAGCAAACGTGATCACAATCGCGAGAGATCATACGGACGGAGCTGGGCGGGTGTAAACGCGACGGCCGCGCGGCATTCGTTCGACAAGAACGCGCAATACATATCTCAGCCTTTCTCAGGAAGCTCCCGAGGAGCGGACTGGCGTTTCAGCCGTGCTCCACAGATCGCGCGTGTAATCGCGAGGGAATTCAACGAACGAAGCCAAGTTGTCTGCGACAACTCAGCGGTCGAACGGAGCGAAGTTCTCTCCTCCCCGTCGCCCAGCTCCGCGTGCAATACGTACAAGTGTAGTCTACGTGCGGGCCATCCTAAGCTCTAAGAGGAGTCGTCGGCGACGACGGCGGGGTCGCCGCGCGACCACCGAATCATCCGCGTTCTCAGATCTCGTTGACGTGCTGGTGGATGTTGTACGCCCTGCCGCCTCTCCTGGACTCCTTCGGCACCACGACCAGGTGCTGCGGCACCGCAGCTTCCGTCTCCAGCCTCCTCTTGGCCTCCTCGGTCGCGTTGTTGCTCTCGGCCATCAGATCGCTCGGCCTGGAATACACGAAGGTGGTCTGCATGCCGTTGGATTGGCCGATGGTCGCCGAACCCTTCAGCACGTTGTCCTGGGCGCTTAGTAGCTGCTTGAACCGCTCGTCACTCTTCTCCGCTTGGATGTCCAGCATGTTCCGGGCCGACCTCGAGGAGCTGCTGTCGCTGGTGCGCTGTTGCTGCTGATCCGGGACTGAACTGTCCTCTTTGGTCGTTAGGTTCAGCTTCGGGTTCAGGCTGAGACCCAGCCATTGCGAGAACAACGCGATCCCGTGCTCGGCGCTGGCGGACACCGCGGCGATCAGCTCGTCGGTGTTCAGGCTGTCGTCCTCGTCGTCCGAGGTGTCGGTCGATTCTGTCGTCTCTGTGATGCTGCGGCAGATTTTTCGGAGGGGGATAACTCAGACAGAAATCTCGCTGATGTGTCTCTCCCGTTTACGTTTCGTGCGGATTTTATCCGGCTGAAGTAGAATCGTAGTAGTATACTCACGCGGACACCTCGATCTGCCGGACACCTTGATAGAAGTTGAAGCAACCTATGTGATACGTGGCTTGCGGTGTGCCCAACAAAGCCGGCTCGATCACCATGCAGCCGTCGTAGCCGCCGACGTCAGATTGCTTGATCGACGCGAATCTCGCGCAGATTTGCGCCAAGTCCGACAGGAGGTTCATGCACGTCGGTTTATTAGCCGCGTTCGCTGCAAAAACACGGCTCATCAACGCGGTTGAGGATTTCATTCGATCGGTTCAGACGATGAAAGGAAGCGGATAGCGACGCGCTAGAATTTATATGGATGATTCGAAATACCATCGGAAACTGTAACTGCAAGCTATCAACCGACGGATAAAAGATTCTCCCGTTTGTAACATTCTTTCCGTAGACGTGACTACTTGCCGATCCTTATCGTGGCGTTATGCACCGGGTTGTCGCCGTAGTTCAGGTTCAGGGAGATGTTCTGCTCCTTTTGCTTGATGTTTACGCAAGCCGGCCCGCCCAGGTCGATCGTGGAAGTCAGATTCAGATCGACGCAGCACAGGCAACCGGAAGTCTGGCACAGACACTTGGATTGCGGAGTGGTCGATCTCGCTTCGACCTCCGGCAAGTCCCACGAGAGCAGGGTCTCTACGAACAGGAAACACGTGCGTGCGTGTGCGAGTATGCGAGTATGCGTGCGCGCGTGCACGAGAGAGATAAGGGACGAGAGCGAGCGGCAGAGAAACTCGGAACAGAGAAATCGGAACGAAACGAAAGTCGGCGATCGAAAGTCAAATGGAAGCCGAATTTCTACTCGTTTCACTGTCCCGATGTAGATATCTCTTTTGGGCCTCCCTCGGAGGCCTGAATGACGAATCAGGCTGTGACACTCGAAGACTTTGCGCGTCGTTCACGTGCCGTAGTGACCAACGAGGAAGCTAACACCTGGACTTGGCTAAGTGTGCCAATGTGGGTTTCCATCGGCGGACTTTCTCATTGCGCATTGTCGAGTCGAGTCGTCAAGTGATACTTTTGAGAATATCCTTTGTAGAACTTGCGTAGATTTTATCGTTGCGTAGATTTTACGGACGATTCGCGATTCGTTCAGAGCAAGAGAACTAAGAGCCGATGAAATGAAGTTGAAACAAATTCATCCGCGCTCCCGTTTCTCCAATTTTTCATTTTTATATTTATTTCAAGCGATATGTTAATTTACGATATAGATAACTTGATAATTCGCGTGTCCGAAACCAATCGAAAGAGTCAACGTCGCGTATACAAGTGTGGCAACAAAGATTACAAAGGATTTTCTATTGTTAGAAATTACAAATACAACACCATGCTAGAAAGACTGGACAAAGCTTTGTTATCCTTATTGATAACTACTGAAACAATGTTGAGATTGTATGTAATAAGCGATTCATCCGAGACATCATTTTAATTTTCTGAATTTTTTAACAAGATAACATCAATGATTATTAATCAAATATTATAGGACGATATTATTAATTAACCAAAGAACGAGGCGATATTGTTATCTAACATCTACAGGCAAATTACAGCTTGCGATATGTAAGAATAAAATAATCTCTATGATACAACTTGCTCCGATACCTTCCGATAACAAGCGCTTTCTTTCTCTCTTTTTGTTCTTTCTTTTTTTTATACTAACGATCGTTCAACAATTTCAAGCAACAACGTGCGCCCAGCCGCGATCGCGTCCCCAGCGAGCGTAGCGAAACACGTGCCACCCGCCGTCCACGCGTTGAAGTCTCCGGTCGCGTCGAGATCATCGTTCGCGCAACCGTCCGAATCTTCAGCAACGTCCTTAACCGTTTTCGCGCCACAGAATAATCCATCTGCTCACCGAGCAATCCAGCGGACGCGACGACCACCAACGTGACCATCAGCACCAAAACCGTGGCCTTCACAGCCATGTTGCACCCCAATAGCTCTGTTTGCCAAGGCGCTCCTGCAGAACGGAGAACGATGCTCGATTCCTCGATCGAGCGGTCGGATCAGATTCGGAATCAGCGGCGACGGCGGCGACGGACGAACGGACGTACGGCAGCAAGATCTCGCGAGAGACGAGAATCGAATAAACGAAGGATCAACGCGGGTGAGGCTGAGCGGAGATCCTGCCTGGCAAGGAAGAAGCTTAAATCTGGGCATGCCGCCGGCCGCGGATGTCGGATCGCCGACCGATCGGCGGTCGGCACGAAAACAGAGAACAGGATTGGCCAGGACCGCCGTGACGGTGGGGCATCGCCGACGTCGGTGTGATTCGACGAGGCGACGCGACGAGGGGGTTAACAGCGGGCAAGGAACCTCATCTGGGTGACCGGGTGACCTCCTTCGTCAGCCTGGTACCACTCGGGGGATTCGGGGCGCGCGACGTCGCGTCGCGTCGCGTCGCGTCGCGTCGCCGTAGAGCTCGCGTGGAGGGAGAATATCGGACTGCTCTTTGGGGATTATTATTCACCTCGTGCTGTTGAGAGGGTAGATTATCCGGGGAATAGCTTTTCTTTTGCGAGACTTGTTCGGGGACCTTAGATATCGTGCGGCAGATCTCCGATCTTTTTTTCTTGTTGAAATTGTCAGGAAGAGGAGCGGAAACGTACGTTCTTCGACTCTTCGGACACTCTCTCTCTCTCTCTCTCTCTCTCTCTCTCTCTCTCTCTCTGCGGCAATTGTCACCCCGAGGATGCGCCTTCATGCTCTCGCGCGTGATTCCTCAGCGTGAAACCGAGCGATCAATTAAAATGCTTCTGCGCCACGAATCTTCCGTTCCCGCAAGATCGGGACGTGATAAGAAGAAGGGTGTAATTTTTTTTCCGGAACTCCTCGTAAAAGCGTCCGTGCGTATACTTGAACAATACATGCGTGCACGTAACAATAGAGTCGGATACAAATCCCGAGCGGTGTTTTCAGCGCTTCGCCGAAGAATCGCGTTCTCTATGATGGCGCGCAACATCGCTAAATGTTCTGTAATCGAGGTTAATTATCAACGTTACCGATTTCTTGCTCTCTAACGCTCGGAGTTTCCGCACGCGCAAGTCGTGCCGCGCAAAGTTTCCGCGGACGAAGGAGCAAGTACTCTCTAACGCATTGCTGACGCGTCCAAAAAAAAGCTCCGTCTTACTTCGCGCGAGCGTTTTCTAATGTAATAACACGCTACACATCGCCGGGCTTTTTCTCTCTCTCTCTCTCTCTCTCTCTCTCTCTTCTTTTTCCTTCTTTTCTCGCACGGGAGAACCTTCTCCTCGCCTTTCACCGTTTGAAGAAAAGTCGAGTCGTCTCGTCCGCTCATAGACCGCCGTAGACCGAGATCACTTACGATTCCGGCCTATTGATTACACCCGTGCCGCCTTCTTTCTCTTTTTCTTCTCTTCGCAAACGAGCGTGGGCGCGGTTGACGCGTGACTGCGAAACGGGGAAACGGCGCGAAATGTGTGCTGACACGAGCAGGTCGCAGTGGGGGATCGAGTGAAAAGACATTTCTCTCGGGAATCGAACGAATTCCTCGCCGGGGAAAGAGAGAGAGAGAGAGAGAGAGAGAGAGAGAGAGAGAGAGAGGGAGAGAGAGAGAAATCCGATTTGTTGAGATAACAAAACCCACTACTTCCCATCTGGTTTGTTCGCGAAAAATAGGCGCATCGAATTTGCATAAGCCGCGAGCAGAGCGCAGAGTCTTCAAGGGGAGTTTCGTAATCTCCTCGAAATATATCGCACTAAAAATCGTGCTTTCTCCCCGAGTTATATAATTACATCGGAAGAGAGGCGATTCATCCGAGAGAGGCAACCCGGTTACAATTCGTTCCGTCATTCATCATCGCTGGACTGCCTCGGTTAGATAATTGCGCCCGGCAGATGAGCGTTCCGCCGTTAGCCTGACGAAACGTCAATGTCACGAGCGCGCGTCTCTCCGCCTTGGTCGCGCATCTGCGGATTTTCATCACGGCGAAATGCCGGCGCCTCGCTTGTCTCGGAAGATCGCCCGTTCCTTTTTCTTCCGACGGTGGAAGGTTGCGCCGGCGGAAGGAAGTCGGAGCGCAGCATCCCAACGGTCATTATCCCACGACGTTACGTAAAAACTTGTTTGCCCCCGCCCGACCGAGATGACCCACATATCTCCGGATCGTTCGTATCGTTCGACGACTTAGGAAACCCCCGAAGTTCGAGGTATTATTCGAGAACGAGAGCCCGGCTAGCGATGGGATCAATTCGACGCTCTTGATCGCGATTCAATCGCCGAGAAAACTTTTCACGCCTTTTATCAGCTCTCGCAACGTTAATCTCTCTCGGCGATTCTTCCGGTTACGTATCGCGATACATTTGTAAGTAATTATTTTATAAATTATGTCAAGTGCGGAAAAGGTCCGTTGAATATCTGAGGGAGGCTAAAGTAGTTTGGAACGCGCGTTTGTTCCATTTTCCATTCTCCGTGTGTTATGAGCTCTCACTTGTTAGAATGCTTCGGATATTTCTATACTTTTTATATTTCGAGTAATCTTTCGACTCTACAGTTTCGACTGTCACAGAGCGGTCGGATTGTCAGATTCCGAAGTTACTCGCGACGAACTTGATGCCATCGCTATCAAAGACCCGGTATCGGATATCGGGGAACGAATGAACAAATATCAACCAAGGTGAACCACTCCTGATGGTCACTACTTTCTTCGACCCACTAACCAGAGAAAGGCCCCTCCTTAACCACCAAAACACGATTCTGCGGATCGCACCGAGAGTTCTACGAGGCCGAGCCGAACGAATGTACGAACGGACGAAGGAACGAACGTCTGCATTAATTTCGCGCTGCACTCGCTCGTCGCTCGCCGCGTTCCGGATATTTTTCCTCTTTCTTCTCTCGGACAAGACGAAACTCCCGTGGAGACTGGACGCGCACGAAAGTGGGTCTTCGGTTAGAATTTGTGTCGCGAACCGTGGTATTCGCGCTTCGCATGGAGTTTATGGACGCGCCGTCGACCTTTCCGCGCCATTGCCGCGGGGAAATTGGAAAAGCGTTCGGGAAAATTTACGCGATGACTCGGGACGATGACGTGGGACTTCCACCACGTTACAGCTTTAGGAGCCGAGCGTCGTTCGCGTTTGCCTTGCATTAATTTCGATAATGCCTTCGTGGCGTAGTGTACACTATTCATACAATACCGTGTAATTTCGTAATTGACGAAAAAAAGATGCTCAGATATATCATCGTGTCTATCCCTAATTTTCTTTTGATCACAGCGCCACCATCTGCTACGAGGCTGAAAATTGGGGCTTACGGTAATATCATGCTAAACCGAGAGAGGCAATGTCATGCCTGCTGAGACTGTTAATTTGTGTGCAGTTGTATACGTAGAAAAAATTATACATTTTTTAAAAACGGCGTGTTAAAAGCGGAAAATTTTACAATTGCTGAGAAGGACAGCGTCAGGCCATATTTAACAAATTACAACCTTTTTATTTGCATATCTATGAAACCTATTCGAGTCTTTCAAATAGTCACAAAGAGATTTCAAATGATTAGCAGGGACGCTTTGACATTTGCTTGTATGTTAATGTGGGTGTCGAAGCAATCAGCACGTACGAAGAGAATGAGGAATGGATGTACCTTGCGTTGATTGTCGATGCATCGCGAGTCACCGGTGTGATATGCTTCCATAGGTAGAAAATAGCGAAAATCAGGTCTCACATGCACATACACACATACACATACATTATTATAGAAGAGCAAGCGCAAATTGTACTAATTGGAATTCTCATCCTCTCGACGAAAAATGCCGAGGGAAAGTATGACGGAAAATTTCGAATTATTCTCAAATAGTCTTTTCAAGCATTCACCTATATATTTTTCAAGGAATCTCAAGTATACCCATTATATTATTATCCTTAATTGCCTCACATCGTCCTATTAGAACGAGTTCCAATAAGCGCACCGCTCCAAGACCGTCGCGTCGCTGAAGAGGCCTGTCGCTTTTTCTGCCGGAATCCGGAGGCATTTAACGACCGACGGAAGTTACCGCTCGACATGACGTCTCATCTCTCGCTGATATTTTCGTACGAGCTGAATCAGCCGGAACCTTCTTCATTCATTCGCAAGCACCGCGTTAACCTCCGTGTTACCGGTTTACAGAGAGATGGAAAGGTGTCGACCGCTTTCGTCGTCGGAGCGACGACGACGACGACGACGACGACGACGACGTCGTCGTCGTCATCATTATCGTCCTCCGACGAAGGACGCGGAAGATCGGTGGTAACGTGCAACGATTGGTGCCGACGGCACATCGAGTCCTCCTCTAATTTACCTAGAGCGCATTAGAATGTTTAATAATCCTAGCAGCGGCCTGGCGGCAGGTGGTGGTGGCCTGACCGACTTTTAAAGAAACCTTGGGGGGAGTTGGGCGGCATCTTCAGTTGGACATTGGCCTCCGTAAGACGAAGAGTCGTGAAAAAGAGCCGTAGGGTGCGACAGAAGAGGACGAGCACGGGCTTCCTCCTCGGATTTCTTCTCAACGATCCACAGGTAGGCAGAGTTGCGTACAATTTTTCCGTCCGTAGCTCGGAAAACTGGGAGACGCGCCGCGTTTGAGGCGGAAGGTGTCTAGTCTACCTACGCGCGATCATTCAAATCCTTTGAGTATTCAAGAATGCAATTCAATTTCTGACTGCGTTCAACGGAGTTACGTTCCTAAGATATAGCGGCGATGCGCTCGACGAATGAAACAGAGATTACCTACGTGATAGTGTATTATCTATGTAAACAATAGAATCGGTATATATATATATTTTTTTTTCCATCTCTCTCTTACGTATTACGCAATACTGACGGAAGCGCTCGAAGGATCGCATTTAACATATAAACGTAGGAATGTGGAACGTCAGCACATCGAATCGAGCGTAAAGGCTAATGTCTAATTCAAATTCTGAATCCATCACACACATCTACGTATCTCGCGCGCGGACATATTACTTACTTATATATTAATTATCCATCGTGCGAATTAGCTAAGTAGATTAATTAACTAGAACGTCACACCGAGTCTTATACGCATACGTATCGCGTACGTCTTTGCTCTATTTTTTTCACTGGTTCACTTTTGTCATCCGTCGTTTCTACGATCTGTCGGTCGACACCACGAGCGACATGTGGAAGTGTCGTTCTGACCATGTCCAGTACCTTGACCGTATATAACGCGTTTTATAACGGTGATACGAGCGTCTCGCCGTACAGCCACGCGTCTGCTCGATCGTGCCACTAAAGTGCCGCCATCCTCTCGAGCAGCACCTCTCCGACGCCTTTGACCATGACCGGGATTTAGGTCAACCGGTCGTGAAGAGCTCGTGTCTGAAACCGGAAGAGAATTCGTTTCCCTTCGTCTCGATGGAAATACCAACTTTGCCGAGATGAGGAAATCGGTCGTGGCCTCTCAGTAGGTTTTTGAGTAGCTTGAAAAAATTAATGGCTGAAATTATAGTGTAATATCGTTTTGTTTAAATGGCCTTATCATCACAGAACTAACCATTTATTTTATTTAAGTATATAATCAAATATATATAATCAAGTCCTAACTTTCTCTCCCCCTCTCTCTCTCTCTCTCTCTCTCTCTCTCTCTCTCTCTCTTTCTCTCTCTCTCTCTCTGGCTGGAGAATTGGTAGTTAAAAAACTATTTCGGGATATATTTTGTATGGTGGCGAAGTTATTGTAAATAATTTATTTGTTATATCTGTATAAAAAGAAAATAAAACACTTATATTTGATGTTGGGATATTTACGAAACAGAGAATAGAGAGATTGAAAACAACTCTCTATCGCGACGATTGACAAGCGGAACGAGTGTGTCTGTTGTCTGCCGACGATAAATATAAGATAATTATCAGTAAATAAAAAAGTGAGAAAGTTCTAATGGCAGAAACACACGTTCAATGGAATTTTTTAATGCGTACTTTGCGTGTATTGTATATAATGTAAAATTAATTATAAAGTATGAAAAGATGACATTTCTCTCTTTCTCTCTTTCCATCCCCCCTTCCCTCTCTTTCTCTTTCGACAATTGAATGTATTTCGCGCGACTTCCGACGTTTGTTTTAGCACGTGCGTTCTAAATCCGTGTTCCACAATTGACGTTCTTCTTACCATGTCCTTTATTGGAGTTAACTTAAAAGAGACCATAATAAGACCGGAACGTGCGTGCCGTCACATACTAAACGATCGTTTACACAGCGTGACATCGTCTTCTTGGCATTGTTTCCAGAATACCCGGAAGGATGTTACTGTCGACGATTTTTGAGTTGCTGCTAATCCTCTTGTTGGTAGCCTTCGCAGCGTACGGCAGAGTGATCGGTAAGAAGCATAAATTAAATATATAATAATAATACAATTGAACTGAATATTATATATATATATATTTTGTTTTATTTATTTATTTTTTATACATAAATTCTCAGAAATTGTTGAATCAATTCGATCAAGTGTGAACGCAAGGCAATGATTTTATAATTTCCTCAGGAGAATTTTGCCAATTGCAAAGAAAAAAATATATTTTGGCTCTTAAGTATTCCCTATTCTGGTGTGAATTGTGCAGTAATTCGTGAAAAAAATTATTAAACCCTCACATTATTTTTTGTTATCGTAACAATTATTTTCAGATCGCGATGAGGTGATACCTCGTGCGGTACGCGCCGCGGATAATTCAAAGCAGAGCGACATAAGCCTGTCGACGATGTCGCTGAAGCAGGCGGCCGACAGTGTGAATCGGTATTGTACCTGCAACGAGAATATTTGCAACTGCTGCCGGGACTTTCACATACCGGTTGTGCAGCTGAAAGGACCGGGTAATTATCGCGCAACGCAATTGTGCACGAAAAATGAAAGTGCAGCGGACGATGACAGGACGCGTTATCTTTTGTTTGTTATCTTCGTCCGTTTATCTGTTGTTATTCTCTGCTGATTAACACCTGTTGTTGCATTTATTTTGTATTACATTATGTAAATTTCATATATTTCATGTAGAGCACCGCAAGATTTTTTACACGCGCGAAGGTATTGCAAGTAAAGTGTTATCGCGCGATGGATATCGAAAAGGATACAGCGCGGTATTCTCTTCGTAACAAAATTTGTAACAGAGTCCTCGTATTTGGAATTCTAGGTTGCGCCTCGTTGCAGTATCTACAGGGTGACAATTTGGCGATGCAGCTGAGCTTCGGCGACAACATATTAACGAGCACGATGGTTAACGGTAAACATGCTCAGTAACGGTAACGATTAACAGTTTTTTGCCGTCCATTTTCGCCGATTACATTACGTTACGATATAACTGACACTTTTTTTTATAAAATACTTATTCTTTAAATAATTATTAATATCTTAAATGATCTTTAAATAATTAATAATGCATTCGCATTATTAAGTATTTAATTCTATCTTCCAAAGTTTACTAGCTATTTTTTAATGTGTCGAGCAAGAATTACTACAAAAATTTTGTTATGCTACGAATATCGTAACTTTTAGGAAAAAGTCCACGACCAGTGTGCGTACCATTACCGGGCGGTTTTACCAAATTTTGCGGTAGAATCTACTCCATCCAACGTGACGCAAAGAATCACTTCAAAGCTTGCCTCGGTCTGGAACTGCAGTCGGCTACTGAACTGGAAGCTAGCCTTCGCGTCAGTTGCTTCAGGTATATTTATTTATTGCAACGTATCGCAACGTATAAACTAAAACGATTTACATATCATATTCTGTCAGTATACATTATTCGAAAATTGGGAAAAAATTTTAAATTTAAATGTTCATTATATACTCGGTATCACATAATCTCATCTTGAATTCCAGATTCGGCCCGGACGGCCTGAAACTTCGACCGGCCGAACCGCTTCCCGTTGTCGAGGCGGAGTCCTCCACGGAGGAAGATGACGAAGACGATTTCTTCGGTCTCGGTTCGGACGACGACGAAGACGAGGACGACGAGGATGATGAGTACGACAGACCTTCTTTGAACTCCGTTCCGGATGCCTCGGGAGTCGACGACGCCCAAGAGGCAGATGATGAGGACGATGACGATGATCTGTTGGGCATTGGCGCTCTGTTAGATATCTTCACCGGTGACGACGATGCCACGACGAAGAGACCCAAGGCTACCACTGTGGCGCCGTTATTGCAATTCACTATACCGATTCTAACGAGGCCAACGACTCCCGCACCGTTGGAGGATTACGAGCTGTCTACGAGCGGCAACAATGTGTCGGTGGAATCGAGTAACGACGAAAACAGCACTCAGGAAGACAGCAAGCCTGACGAAGAAGAGGAGACAGAGTCTCTTGATAACGAAAACGCCACGGATGAAAACCAAGAGGATGAAGTCACTGAAGCCTCCAACAAAATCGTATTCTTCGTGAAACCCGACAAAGTAGAACAATCTCTTAACAAGGTGAAGAAGGGCGTCGTCGGAAACAAGAAGAAACCCACGGTGACGTCAACGAGCATCAACGCTATCGATGAGCCTGAGAAACCAGCGAAGAAACCCATCAAGAACGAGGAGCACGAAGACGATGACGACGACGACGACGATGACGAGGATGACATTTTGGACGACGAGGATGACGAGGACGATGAAATTCTCGACGATGAGTATGATAAAGATGACGAAGATGAAGACGAAGACGACGAAGATAAGCTGGACGATGAGAAGCACGAGGATCTCGACGACGATGAGGACGAGAAAGCAGAGGATCTCTCGATTCTTGACGACGATGATGATGAAGAGGAGGACGCCATGCTGACTGCTATTATGGGCACCGGAAAAAACAAAAAGGGCAAAGGTGACACGACGAGCGAGACTAACACCGACGAGGATGACTCGGACTACGGTCTTGGGCTGGATTTCCTGGCCAGGAAGAGGCATCCCGAAGGAAACCGACAGAGCAAGATCACGAGGCTTTGAGAAGTGTACAGACCCGTGTCCCAGTCAATAGGATAAATGGAAGTCGAGGAAATCGAGAATAGCCGTCTTCTTGTCTGGTCGCGGATCTATTTGTCCCGGTGAGACCTGAAGAGTCTCGTAGGCTCAACGGAGTGCTCGTTTGAAAAGTACGGTGGACATTGATATAATCGTGTGACGGTGTGATGTATCTTTTGGATGATAAAATTACGGGAGAGTCTTTTGCCTCTCGGTAATTTCGTGATGAATAGTCATGATACCTTAATTATTTGTAAATGAACACTTATCATTTTACAATGATTATCGATTTATTTATTTATTTATAACGATTGTCGACTTATCGTTAAAAAGTAAGCAATTTTTTGTTTTACAATTATGTTATCATTCTGTAAGTGTTTAATTGTCTATTTATTAAATATTATGGAGACTGACACAGGATTTAGCAGAGACGAAGAAACGGCTTTTGGTGAGAAAAGGAAATAGCTCTCAAAAACAGGATCACGCGACGGCAAGATTTTTATGTAAACACGAGGATTCGTCCGTTGAGGATTGCTATTCGCGAGGAAGATTTGTGCATGAATCGTTCGTGACCTCAGCCATAATAAATTGTTCGATTAGCTTAACGTTATTTATTAAGAGCAAATTAATATTTATGATTTATGTGTGTATTTAAGTTATTTATTGATGCTGTAATTAAGCAAATTAAATAAATGTAACTTATGCTATTATATTATATGCGTTTTGTTGACATCACTGACAAACTGTTGAACGTGACATTAACTTCAATCAACTTTTCGAGAATCTTCGTACTGTACTGTACACATATACATGTCGTACATCATAATTTTACAAACAATATAATGATATCTAATGCATATATTTCAATAAATTTGAAATAATTTTATTCCACAAGAAAATATATTTATTTAATTATTACATTTTTTTTTGTTACATTTTTACTATACATATGTGACGTTGTCTTATAATATTTTTTTATCTCATATATTTATATTATAATATTTATTAAAAAAATTATTTCATAATATCGCTTTGAACAGCATTACCTCGAAAACGCATTTTAAAGAGAGAGAGAGAGGGGGGAGAGAGAGAGAGAAAAGGGAGAGAGAGAGAGAAGGGAAAGAGAGAGAGAAGGGGGAGAGAGAGAGAGAGAGAGAGAGAAGGGGGAGAGAGAGAAATAGAGAGAGAGAGAGAGAGAGAGAGAGAGAGAGAGAGAGAGAGAAGGGAGAGCATTATGTAATTATATTCAGATTTCGTAATCATTTGATATTCTGATTTTTAACGGGATCTTAGCATAAACCTAAAGATGTTTTTGTCTTCGATTGCACTTTGGCCGTGAAACGTCACTTAATCAGGACCATCTAAAAGCCTGTATGCCGATCTTGCTTTCTATGGAAAGTTTATGCATAATTAATGAAACTGGCGCCTCACTGGCTCGGTCCAACGTGCACCCAATTTCAGTCTGCCGTAGGCAGCGAAGCGCGAAAGTTGTACGATTATACCGTCATGTTATCCAGGTGGCTTTGTGCATTTTTCTTAATCCTGGCGATTCAAAATATTATTGCTGATACTGGACATGTTGGTGAGAATAATATTATGATAAAATCATACGCTCGTAATTATCATTCTGATATTTTGAAAATCGGCACGGAAATTTAACAGCGTCACCTGCTAGCAAAGAATATCAGAAGACATTTTTATTTGGTGAAATTTTTATTTATTGCAAATAAGCAGAAGAAAACGATTATAAAAAAAAAGTGGTAACTATAGGTGTCGTTTTATTAGTAAACGAGTATGTGCAATTTCTTTTCAGATGTAATCAAATATAATATGGTATACTATAACTTGTCTACACGTTTGGGATTAAGAGCTGAACTGGAAGACACCGGTCGACGTCCTTCAGCCAACGCTAGGATTTCTTTTCGTGGGTTGGAATGCAACTGCGTGAACCTCACGTGCGGCTGTTGCGCCGGCATCAACATGACTGCCATCAACTTCGATCGTCATGCCTGCACCAATTTCACCTATAATCCCGAGGAGTTTGCCATCAAACTCGCAATCATAATGAACGAGAGAGTGGTTTATACCAATTCTTTGTCCGGTGAGCGATTTTAATCAAACTATTTATCTTCTTTTAATAATTCAAAATAATCAATTTTGATATAAAAAATAATGTTGCATACTTTTCATCATTCGACGAATGATGAACAATGAATTTATGATTAAATTTAGATGTTATTATGTTAAATTCACTTGTGATAATATAATTTAACTAATTAATCCGCAGCCAAAAATCCACCACCTCTCTGCGTGCCCTTTGCTTATTTTCCCATCGTGGACTTCTGCGTGCGCTTCTTCGACATTTACACGCCCGGGAGCAATCTCCACGCTTGCATCGACTTCGAGACACGCGTGGTGAACTGGCCGATTCTAATCCTGCATTTCAATTGCATTAAAATCGGAGCGGACGGTCTTTCCTGGACAAAACCAGAAGACGGCAGTAATGTTTTTCAAGCTTTGACGGAAGTGAGCGGGCCCGAAATATACGACGATGTGGACTTTGAGAACGACCCTGTGTTTCCGAACAATCAGACTTCTTCTGGCTTGACACCCGAAGAGGAAGACAACATCGGTCAATTAAAGCTGTGATTTTTACGTATAATATCGCATGACTGTACGGTCGTTGTAACGTTATTATTATAATAGTCTTGTACTTGATTTGTCGTTATTTATTATATTTAAATAGAACGTATACATATAATTATTGGAATAAAGTTGGAATGTGTAGCACCAGTAGTGTATTTGTGAGAGTAGCCTTTAGACTTTCCCAAATATTTTGTAGATCACATCCAATCTATATAAAATCAATTTTTATTCTAAGAATTCGCGCGTTATTCTTTTCATCGTGTGTATTTAACGTTAAGCATTGTTTTGTTTGCTTACTTTTTTAATAAATAGGAAGAAGAAGAAGCACGAAGAAGAATTTTATATTAACATCGACAACCAAGTGTGTTGATTAATTCCATTTACAATAAACAATCAAATTTACCCAGTTTGATGCATATTGAATGGGCGCATATGTTTCCAATCGTCGTTAGATGAACCGTTTGACAATATTTTGTGATTTAACTTCTCTTTTTCTGGGACGAGTTCTACTTGATTACGAAATGCGAGCGAGTAGCTCACGGCCAAGCCTAAATTTCACCATAAAAAGGGGACAGTGCGGATTGCCCGCTCCTCATTTTTCTGTAAGATAATTTTTGCAAATAAAAGAATGTGTAAAATATCGGATCATTCTAGGGCCAAAAGAAAATTCACTGTAACACTTCACATAAATTTACATCCTAAGAATATGTGTATACTTATTTTCGCAGTTTGGATTTGATTGCCTTCGATTTGGCACAAATGGGTTAGTCCTTTTAAAGCCGGAAGACGGAGGCGGTTTGGGTCAAGTCGAATTTTTTCCAGATACTGATGACGATGACAACGATTATGATGATGTAGACGACGACGACGATGACGACGATAATGATTTGTTCTGAGAGTGTTTCTCGGAAATTAATATTGACGATTGTGAAAGTGTTATTTATTTTTGTATAATTTGAGTGCCATGAGAGTCTGTGATTTTTAATTATCACATATAAGATATATAAATATATATAATAATAAAATGTATTAAAAAACTAATAACGCCCTCGATTCTACGGGATAAAATAAGAAAAAAATGTATATGCCATTTTCCCGTCTGAAACATATTTTGTTTATAAAAACGCTATAAATAAATATTATAGAATACAATAAAAGTGGTTATAAGGCCTATGTTTTGCCTATTGCATTTCAAGCAAAACTAACTACTGCAAATATAGGCAAATCGAAAGTAGATAGATACGAGCTCTATCTTTTTTCATGTTTCATTGTTTAAACAATAATTATTTAAGCAATTATAAAAAAATTCATTTTTTCAAAAAAACTAATAATGTCCATCGATTTATTAGCGGGTAATTAAGCCGTAATCACACTAGCAATTGCCGATTGGATTACAATTGCGATTGGCGATTGGCGATTAAAATAGAGCATTGTCTAAACAGCAATCACCAATCTCAATCGGTGCCTGTTGGCTGTCCTGCTTGGTTGAAAAGTAATCGCCAATCGTCAATCGCAATTGCAATCCAATCGGCAATCGTTAGTGTGATTACTGCTTTACGGCTTGAGGCTCTCTAGTTGTTACACAACAATACACAGATTAGAATGTTCTATTGTATAGTATATATCAGTCATGCACAAAACATATTTCCGGACACATTAGAGAGAAAAGTATGTTTCTCTCTCTAACCTCCTCCGGACATACAGTCTACCATGTATTGCCAGTCCATATTTATAAGGTCTATGAGCAGATCCCATATCGGTACTTTGTAGATACATACCCATCCATGAGGTCCATGTAAATTATGTGGATTCGACGTGGATACAACGTACCTGTTTTTGTCGGGTAACATTTTTCAGGGTAACATTTCACAAACAGAAATATTATCTTAGCATTCGTTCAAGGACATATAATTTCAAAGATAATAAGTAGTTTCATATCACCGCGTATAAATTATATTCTTGTAACACTACAGTAATAAATTATGTACCAGTATTTATATTATCGAGAAAGATAAGAACACAAGAACCAGTATTTATATTACTGAAGAAGATAAGAATATTTATATATAATAAAACTTATCTTTGTCATTTGAAGAACTTACCCGACAAAAACAGGTATGTGGAATCCATATTCTTATTACGTGGACTGTCCATATGGACATCTCGTGGACGATCGAGTAAATATCCGTTCAAAAACAATACTAGAATCCACGTGGATAAGATCATTAAATTGACGTGGAAATCTACATGATAATTCCATGAATTTTGGGGACATATCCACATAGGATCTGCATGGTTACTAGTTTCATAATCATGTTGATTCCTTTCATTACATGCAAGATTTTTAGATTAAATTGAAGGAAAATAGCACAAATGAAAGTGCATAGTATTTATCTTTATTTTATGTTGTTATATATAACATAATATAAATATAATGAAGACAATAATAAATACAATGGTAAGTACATTTAGAACATGTCACTAAAATGTAAATACAATGAGCACTTGCGGTAAATAGAATTAAACGTAAAAGTAAGTAAATACTTCACCATTGAAATGATTAGGGCAGGCTTATTGCACTGAGATATATGGAAGTTAACAAATAAAAACTAAAGAAAAATTTTTGTCATGATATAGCACAGTGCTCGGAATTACTTTCATTTTTCGAACGACTTTCGAGAGTATTGCTCCACTTATTTTACTTTACCTTTCCCTGATTGAACTCGCAACCGTTGACATCATAACATCTAAAAAGCACTTACTAATAACTGTAAAATTATCTGTAATTACAACTATTAGTAAGCGTCTGATGATGTTTACGGTTCTGAGGCAGGAAACGTTACTATCAAATCTATGTCCAATAAGCGGCTGCAATTCTAAGGAATAGATAAAAGGAAGTAAGGGAGAAATATTCATGTGAAATCGATAATGGCATTTCGAAGATACAGAACTTCGATGTATCGTGGAACACAGAACACAGAACATTAAATCCATGTCGATACTTCGTAGGTACATGTCTATTCACAAAGTCTACATGAATCATATGGATTCAACATAGATACAACTATTTTTGATACATCTATTTTTGTCAAGTTTCAGATAACATTTCGCAAACGGAAAAATTATCTTAGAATTCGTTCAAGGACATGTCATTTCAAGGATAATAGGTAGTTTCATATCACCGTGTATAAATTATACTCTTGTAACACTACAGTGTTACCGAAGAAGATAAGAACATAAGAATCAGTATTTATATTACTGAAGGAGATAAGATTTTTTATGTATAATAAAACTTATCTTTGACATTTGAAAGACATATACTGAAAAAGTTTCCCGAGTTTCTGCAAAAAACAGATATACTTGTGCACACACAAGTTGTCATTCAGATTTTCGTCAAAATAATATAATTATTAAGTTTTATCATTGTATCGGACCGTATGAAACATCGCCTACGCAGAAATCTGATAATTTCAGGAGAAATAAATATCTTTGGCAAAATGTAGTTCATTATTTTCACCGTTCTTGTTATCGCTATGGTGATCATCGCTGCACCTCAGGAACAAAAAACTACACTTCTAAACACAAAAATATAATAAGTTTCAATCGTTAACACGTTTGAAAATTTACGTTTAACATTTTACGTGTGATTTATGACAAATCATAAAATAAGTCGAAACAATATTAAAGATCTTAGCGCTGAGTATTAAGATTCGCGATATTATTTAATATTATTTAATAGAAATATCGTAAACAAGTCATTCGATCGCGCTACTAATTCCTGATATTATTTGAGACATATTATTGTGACTATTATGGTTTGCGTATCATGTTCCCGTAGAAATACGAGGTAGTTAATATTAATAGTTCGAAAAGTTCTCAGATACAGTTCTGATACAGAATCAAAAACTATCCGTGTCACACGAATAGACCGAGCCGGCTATGTGTACGTGCGTGGTGGGGGAAATCAGTAAAGAATCGTGGACGCTGACGTTGTGAGTTCATGTGCACGGTTGTATAGAGAACGCTTCGCACTTGGCTCGGCTAAAAACGGCCCATGACCTCTCTCTTTCTTCTCTCTGATAACAACTATATAACATTTGAGTAACATGTAATATTTCTGTTATACAACTGCAACTTTCTAGTGGGAAAATTATAACTAACGTGTTATATTGCTTGTAACGTACACGTTATACTATGTATTTATTACATTTCGTTACATTACGACAATGTAACTGTTATGTAACTGTGTTTACTGGGTAATGTAAATATTAATTTTTTAATTTGACACACATTAGAGATCTTCAAATATTAGAAAATCATAAATATATATCAATTAAATGAATAATGATATATTACTTCCAAATAAAATTATGTTATGAGGATAAATGTATTACTTTCTCTGTACAAAAACATTTTTTAAGGCATATTACGACAAAAGCAATAATTTTTAACGGTCAGTAAGGTAATATTTATAATATTAATAAATATATCCCTAGTAGCATGTGTCAGTTTTACATACATTTTCTAAACGTATGTAACGTTACATAATCGTTGGAAAACGTTTCGGAAATGTTTCTAAACGGCACATGCTACCTGGGATGTATATTTGTTAATACAAATATTATATTTATTTCACTATTGTACATTAGATTTTTATTAAGTGAGTACAAAAGTCTTAGATTTTTTTGTAAACATAATATTATTATTATTATAAAATGTCACAATATGTTAAATTACAAATGCTTCTGAACTCTGTTAAACGTGAAAAAGGAGTACGACGTAAGTCATATTCTATCTCTGTCTTCCGTCTTGTTTTACTATTGACATTTGACTTTGTGTTTCGATTTTCTGCCATTTGACTTATTGCCGTGCTCGAGATGTTAATTATACGGTGAAGCGTTGTTAGAATAGGAAAAGTAGGGAGTAACTGGCAATCCATGGTTATATATTCAAAGGTTTTTACGTTTCGCCACATTCTGGCAATAGTTGCTAAATCGACAAGGTCCCAGTAAACTCAAACGACTTCTCCAATATCATTTCGGCACACGTTCACTCGTCAGATTTCTATAATTGATTTCAATAATTATTGCAAGTATCGCAATACGGTAAGTAACTTTTATGTTTGTCTTCTTAATCTACTCTCTCTCGACGAATTTATTATAGCGTAAACCGAATTTCTGCCGGAAAGAACGTTTGTGAAAAGCGGGAATTAAAATAACCATACGCATATCAAGCTAAAGTGAAATATTGCGATATCGAATTGTGAATATTTTCAACAAGCGATTAAAAGTAAAACAGCATGTCGGGTTTCGAAACCGTCTGCTTCAGCGCAACAAACCAACTGCTTATCTTTACGACCACCACACATTTTTTATTTAGGTTTTAAAATCTCTATTTGACTACAATATCTATATATTAAACATCACTTTTCTCCTGCAAACACGCAACAATCCATTGTATAATTTTGCACGCTGATTCGTAAAAATCTCAAACAAAGAAATCTTTTCAAAATCAGATGGATATGTCAATTCCCTTGCGAGAAGATGAGTACCTCAAACTGACATCATTTAAATTATTAGCGTTAATAAAATGATTTAATATTAATAATAATTAAAATAGGTAAATATATAGAAAAGGGTACACCTCACCGATTTTTTTCATTTTGAAATATGTTATAAAGAATGAAATTCTGAGTGACTTTTCCCAATACAATTATATGGAGGTTGTTTATAGTTTTTGAGATATTTAACTTCAAAGTTTTATAATTGTACGTTGAAGTATATTTGAAATAGAAAAGCAGTTTTCATTAACTTTAAATATAGGAAACAGTACATATAAGCGGAAAAGGGGCTCCACCCCTCCCCCGCACTCCCTTCCCAAACAAATCCTAACCTAACCTAACTTATTGCATCTTTATATATTTTTGGACATTGTTGAAAAAAGTTCTCTTAAGATCTATCACCTAGCTCAACTTAACTTATTATAATATCTGCATATAAATAGGTGTTGTGGCTTTTAAGGAGATCTTTTCAACACCGCCCAACAATATATAAAGATGCAATAAGTTAGGTTAGGATTTTTTGGAGAGGAGATGCGGGGGAGGAGCGGAGCCCCTGTATTGTTTCCTATATTTCTATGTATACATTATGTTTGGATTAACTGTTTGGATTGTACTATAAATAACGTCAGCTTATGATATCTGAAATTTAATTCCAGAGTAATCAAAAGTCCAAAACTTTAAAATCAAATATCTCGGAAACTATAAGCGACCCCCATATAGTTGTATCAGGAAGTCACTTCATCCTTTATAACATATTTCAAAATGAAAAAACCGGTAAAGTGTACCTTTTCTATATATTTACCAAGGGGAGAACTGGGAACTTTTTACAAGTGTGCTGAAGCCATTTCGTGTCTTGTTTTGGTGGAATATAATTTTATTTTGAAATGGCACGCAAGAATTCTCAGCGTAGTATGTCTCGCCTTATGACATCACAATTTCAGTATAGTCGCAGGGACCATCCAGGGGCCTTAATGAAACTGGCGCTTCGCTGGTTCGGTTCAACGTGCACCCAATTTCAGTCGCTGTTGTAGGCATCGAAGTGCGAAAGTTGTACGATTATACCGTCATGTTATCCAGGTGGTTTTGCGCATTTCTCTTAATCCTGGCGATTCAAGATATTATTGCGGATACTGGACATGGTGAGAATAATATTATGATAAAAACATATCGTAATTATCATTCTGATATTTCGAAAATCGGCACAAAAATTTAACAGCTTCACCTGTTAGCAAAGAATATCGGAAGAAATTTTTATTTGGTGAAATTTTCACTTATTGCAAATGAGCAGAAGAAAACGATTATAAAAAAAAAGTTGTAACTATAGGTATCGTTTTATTAGTAAACGAGTATGTACAATTTCTTTTCAGATGTAAGCAAATATAATATGGCATACTACAACTTGTCTCCACGTTTGGGATTAAGAGCTGAACTGGAAAACACTGGTCGACGTCCTTCAGCCAAAGCTAGGACTTCTTATCGTGGGTTGGAATGCAACTGCATAAACCTGATGTGCAGCTGTTGCACCGACCCCAGCATTACTGACATCTTCAATCATCATGTCTGCACCAATATCACCTATAATCCCGAGAACTCTGACATCAAGCTCGCAATCATAATGGACAGGAAAAAGATTTATACTAATTCTTTCTCCGGTGAGCGATTTTAATCAAACTATTTATCTTCTTTTAATAATTCAAAATAATCAATTTTGATATAAAAAATAATGTTGCATACCTTTCATCATTCGACGAATGATGAACAATGAATTTATGATTAAATTTAGATGTTATTATGTTAAATTCACTTGTGATAATATAATTTAACTAATTAATCCGCAGCCAAAGATCCACCACCTATCTGCGTGCCCCCTGCTCGTTTTCGCTTCGTGAACTTCTGTGTGCGCCTCTTCGACATCAACATGACCAAGAGCAATCTCTACGTTTGCATCGACTTCGAGACACGCGTGATGGACTGGCCGATTCTAATCCTGCATTTCAATTGCTTTAAAATCGGAGCAAACGGTCTTTCCTGGACAAAACCAGAAGACGGCAGTAATGTTTTTCAAGCTTTGACGGAAGTGAGCGGACCCGAAATATACGACGATGTGGACTTTGAGAACGCTCCTATGTTTCCGAACAATTAGACTTCTTCTGGCTTGACACCCGAAGAGGAAGACAACATCGGTCAATCAAAGCTGTAATTTTAAGTAATAATATCGCATAATTGTACGGTCGTTGTAACGTTATTATTATAATAGTCTTGTACTTGATTTGTCGTTATTTATTATATTTAAATAGAACGTATACATATAATTATTGGAAGGATTAAAGTTGGAACGTGTAGCACCAGTAGTGTATTTGTGAGAGTAGCCTTTAGACTTTCCCAAATATTTTGTAGATCACATCCAATCTATATAAAATCAATTTTTATTCTAAGAATTCGTGCGTTATTCTTTTCATCGTGTGTATTTAACGTTAAGCATTATTTTGTTTGCTTACTTTTTTAACAAATAGGAAGAAGAAGAAGAAGAACGAAGAAGAATTTTATATTAACATCGACAACCAAGTGTGTTGATTAATTTCATTTACAATTAACAATAAAATTTACCCAGTTTGATGCATATTGAACGGGCGCATATGTTTCCAATCGTCGTTAGATGAACCGTTTGACAATATTTTGTGATTTAACTTCTCTTTCTCTGGGACGAGTTCTACTTGATTACGAAATGCGAGCGAGTAGCCTCACAGCCAAGCCTAAATTTCACCATAAAACGGGGTCAGTTCGGATTGCCCGTTAACCGGCCAGTCGAGTTTTGATCGCTCAGAAAGGAGCATATCTCGAGGAAATGTCTTCTCTTCTCGATTGAACACTGAGCAAGATCAAGGACACAGTATGAAGGTTATTTGTTGGCTGCTGCTGCTATTGTTAATCGTCGCTCTCGCAGAGTCGAGCTCAAGGAATGATGAAGATCTTACGACAGAAAGAATCCTCAGCAGCGAGATCGAAGGACTCTCGACGTCGCAGGAGGACTTGGAGAACCTGCGGACGCTGTTGAGGCAAACACCAGATTCTTCAGGATCGGGAAATAGCACGGTCACTGCCACCAGGCAGGGACCTTGTCAGTGCTCCGGTGGTGTTTGCGGATGTTGCTCGAGAATCTTGTACAATGCGTGGAAGCAGAAGGCCTGTGTGAACGTCACGTATGACCCCGACGAGTTCAGCTTCACCGCCAAAATCCTAATGAACGACAGAGTCCTTTATACGAGAACAGTTTCTGGTAAAGTTTATGCGTGTGTGTGTGTGTGTGTGTGTGTATGTAGCAAATGAATTTTGTTTAATGAAAATATTTAATATTTCTTTCAGATTACATATGATTATTTATTTAAGATTAGATAAGGAAGAACGATCTTTTACATATAATCGGGAGTTTTTTTCCAGTAATGTGGCATTAAAAATTGTGTTAAAGAAAATATTCTATTTTGCTGTTTGTCCAGGAGAACATTCGTTAAATTGTTTTTAATTTTATCCGCAGGGAAGAATCCTAGACCAATATGTGTTCCTGTCCCAAGGATTCCATTTATCAGAGCGTGCGTCAGATTCTACAACATATATTTTCAAGGCAGAAATATCCATTTGTGCGTGAATATGGAAGGAAAGTTTCAAGATACCACACTATTCAAGGTTGGTGGTAAAACTTTAGAAGAACAAAATTTACCGTGGAAAATATTATCGATGGCGCACGTGTAGTTTAGAATTAATTAATATTTTACAACCAGAATATATATACTTTTGTCTTATTTGTAAATGCAATTTCGTAATTATTAAAAGTCTAAGTGCAAGAAAATTTACTTACGTGCAAGAAACATTTCTTTTGTTTCCTCATTTTTCTGTACGATGATTTTTGCAAATAAAAGAATGTGTATTATCGGATCATTCTAGGAGCAAAAGAAGATTCACCGTAACACTTCACATACTTCTACATCCTAAGAATATGTGTATACTTATTTTCGCAGGTTGGATTCGATTGTCTTCGATTTGGCACAAATGGATTAGCCCTTCTAAAGCCGGAAGACGGAGGCGGTTTGGGTCAAGTAGAATTTTTTCCAGATACTGATGACGATGACGACGATTATGATGATGAAGACGACGATGACGATGACGACGATGATGATTTGTTCTGAGAGTGTTTCTCATAAATTAATGTTGACGATTGTGAAAATGTTATTTATTTTTGTATAATTTGAGTGCCATAAGAGTCCGTAATTTATAATTATCACACATAAGATATATAAATATATATAATAATAAAATATATTAAATCATATGTCAAATGACGTTTTATGAATACGTAAAGTCAATGAGAAGATATTTAGCACACACATTGTATATAATATACTTTAAACACGGAAATGTAACAGGGAATTTCACGCTCGTATATAATTCGAGAGCGAACAAGAGCGTTCCTGCTATTTTCTAAAGGCGCACGATATAATAGGTGGTAATTGTATCCCTTCCTGCAATGTTGAGCGGAACGTGAAAAAAGGCAGAAAATGCTTAGTGCGAAGTGGGACGTCACTGGAGCTTGAACAACGAAATTAACGCATTAGTGTTTTGCATATATATACACGTATATCTATTTATTCAAGTTTAATTACAAAAGTGCGGTAGTGACTGTAGTATATATGTAATATATAAAAATGAACTTGCATAATAACTTTGGTGTTCTCATTTGGTTACAGCTGTGTTTTTTCCGTGAAGCTGTCGCTATTAACAGAAGTTAATACTAATAGTTATTTGTAGTTTTTAACTTGTAATAATAATATCAGTTAATAAAGTGCTTTTGTTTATATATTTCTCTCGATAAAGAGAGACGCGTTTGGAGAGATAATTGAAATAGAAAAGTTTAACACATCTCACAGCATAAATTTTTTTTTCTTTTCTGTAAAACGTTCTCCGAATAATACGATTATTATGTCAATGTCTTAATGTCTTAACATTTCTGTTTTTTAGACATGCTCATTAGACATGTGTTTTAAGTGTGTTTTAAAGTGTGACTTGTACGAAGGTTCTATAAGAATTTAATGAAATGAATATTTCTTAGGCAATGCTGTAGCGAGGGGATTTCTGGTCTATAGAACGATTTCCGTTATTCAACGATCATGCAACTGTGCAATGTCCTTTTCTTGTTCTTGCTGTCAGAGCGTAATCATTCTGTATACTAAAAGGGAAAAGAATCGTGAGTCTCTTTGAAATATTACATGCTATAATCATAGTTCGGCACATCAAAACTAATGAATGAAAAATATTTTTATTTCTCTTACGTTGCAGTGTGTGTGAATTTTACGTATCAGAGAAACGGCTTGAACGTAGACGTCGCGTTGAATTCGGACACAATCAGTACCAGAACAGTTACAAGTGAGTACTCTTGATTAGAAGTCCAAATAGGTCATAAAAGATTTATAATCATTTTGTTATCCACTTGGAAACGAACTGATTTATATTGATTTAATTATCTTACAGATTACAAAGCGTTTCAGTTTTGCGTGTTTGTTCCTGGTTGTCTTTTCTCGACCGCGTGTGTCAACATTCTGGAGCTCAACCAATTTCCTAAGTATGTCAGAATACAAAAATAAATTTGTTTTTTTTCCAAAATAGTTTAGTACGTTTGTAAATAGTAATAGATGAAACGAAGCCCAAAGTTTTAACGAATCGATCATATTTTGTTCTTGTCGGATCAGTTGCTCTTTAATCTAAAGCTCTTGCAATTTCTGATATTGACACTTTTTTCTTTATATAGATCCATCACGGTTTGTCTTCGTTTGGACATTTATGCCAAAAAACAACTTTGGCAGATCAATTACGATTGTATAAGTTTGTCAACGGAGTTACCGATAGTTTCGACGGATATCACGCCGAGAATGACGGATACGCTGAACATAGAAATGCCTCTGACGGCAAACGGACCGACAGGAGGATCGTCGATGACAGAATCAGCGACAGAAATGGTAACAAATCAAATGACTATGGAAATGTCGGAAGCGAGTTTGGCAGAAATAATCGGAATGACTGGACAAGCGAGTGGAATAACTGAGGTGTCGGAAATGAGTTCTGGACAAACGGAGCAGATGACTATCGATTAAAAGATGATGGTGGGTGCAAATAAAAAATAGATACCTAAATGATAAATTTGAATACGAAATATTATGAATAATACGAGATAGAAATAACGGATATAAAATAAAAGATGATGATAATACAGATATTATGTATCGTATTTTCAACTGCGATATATTATAACTTATAAGCGATTTATAAACAATGATTTTTTTTATATTTTTATACTAATATATTCACATTTATATTATTCATCATTTGATATCAAGAAAACATATCTCTTCCTACAGTCATATATAATTAGATTTTCTGCTACCGCGATTGATTCCAAATAATACAATTGAATGGATAATATATATATTAAGATAATGTATGAAAAAATATGTATTTTTATTCGATACTTATAATCAATCATATATATGCACATATTATTTAGTGGCATATAATAAAATAATAAAAAATTATGAAATATACAAACATACAAGTTATCGTTTTCTCTCATACTTCCACTTATAAATAGGAGCAGAATGCTTTGTACCAGGCATCACACATTTTGGTTTTTTAATCTTCTTGTCTTTAAGTGCGGAACACATTTCTAATTTTTGTTGCACGATCGTTAACTCGCGTTCTCTATCAAGCCTTTTAGCGAGTAATGTGTAATTCATGTGGTTCTTTTGCTGAAGTTTAGCCAAAGTCTTTTCATCTAATTCCGGCACCTGCATTTTGCTGAGATCGCTCATTCTTGGTCGATTGATTCGTCTAGAGAGCAATGCAGGATGAGTGTCCAACCTCTTGGCCAGATCAAAATTCTTGGCTTCTTTTCCGTCATCCATAAAGAAGATGTGTTGGTTCGGTGTTTCATTAGCTGTGTCGAGCATGTGCAATTCATTCTGCAACTTATTTATCTTCTTTGTCTCAATGTGCTTTCTATACATGATATATTTCATATCCTGTGTCTCCATTAGTTTTATCTGCTCAGGCGTGTGTTCAGCCTCCTTTTTCTCTCGGTGAATACCATTCTCCAATTTAGAATTGATCATATGAAAATGGAACTCATCTGGATTTTTGTTGAGTGCGCGTTTCCGTAGAAGCTTGATTGTTGCCCTCTTCTCCTGGAAATCTTTGGCTCTGGCAACATAGTCCTTCTTCTTTTCTAATAAACCTAGGTGTTTGCGGACTTCCGGTTGATGACGTTCCCAATGCGTTTTCTGGCCTGCTTTTGCGGCTTTTTTCCACGAGGACATCTTAACGCTATTGTGTGATCTTTCAAGGTATTTGCAAAAATATATTAATATATGTACAAAAATTCATCTAAAATATGTAAATTACATAACAATGTATAAAATGGTCTTGTTTATTATGTAACGTACCTTTTTTATATATTTTCTGGAACAGTTACTGTTATTTTAATAATATTAACAACAGTTGATTGTCTACATGTACTACTTAACCTTACATTCAACTTAGGTTACCTAACCTAACATTCAATAACTATGCTAGTGGCGCTACGAGTGAAAGAAGAGGGAACAATGATCGGAACACATTAGAAAAGATCGATTGTCTTATCGATGTTTTCAAATTAAATTAATCTTTTGCGCGTAGCTTTTTACTTTAATATTGTTAGATTTTATCATTAAACACTACCAAACACACGATCTCTGTTCATACATATTTAATTTGAGTCTTTTTGAAGTCCATCTTATTCGGATGCTCATTTTTTAGCAATGTAATTTGAATGAAGGTTTTCATTTTTTGTCAGCAAAAGGAGTCAAAGATTTCTTCGTTGTTCTTCGTTTTTTGTTTGGTCGTACTAAGAAATAACAAATTCATCTAATTCATCGAACTAATATATAGCTTAGTTAAGATTCAAACCTTGTTTAGCTGAGATTCGAACCCGTTAGAGACGCAAAGAGTTCTTACTCTTAGATAGTATACAATAATTGTTTGTAAGCTGTCTTTATTACTAGTATTATAAAAAGATGTGACATATATCTAAAAAAGTAAAATTTATCATTAAAATTTATCTTAAATCTTAAATAAAATTTATCATTTTATGAAGATCTCCTTATATAAACATGTTTAACATATGTATACATATTTAACATATACGTATATTAAATATGTTTATATGGAATATATTTAATATAACATATACACACACACACACACACACACTACACTCATATAACTTTTCTTAATCTCCAAGTAAAGTCTTTAAATAAAAATTATTAATAAGAACTTGTAGCAAAGTTCTTTCAAAAAGTAACTTTCCATAACAAAGAAAAATTTGATCATAAAATCTTGTCAACGATTTTTACAATGAAGATCATTGAGATTGTAAATTTTTTAATTTCCATGCACAATGATCGCTACTTTTAGTTTTTTATAAATCAACAAAGAAGAAAGAAATTGTTACTCGGTTGGTGTGAGTGACGTCTCTGGATTAGCCCTTGCAGGAAGCGGCAGAACCGTGTCACCTACTGTCAATGATCCTTGACTGAAGATTTGAGTTTCCGAAGAAACTCCTCTGGGTGACGTTACTTGTCTAGCGCTGTTACATACGCTGTGGATCGGTCGACGTCCTTTGATCTTGTACCATCCCCTTTTGCGTTTTGGCAAGGGACTTCTGATGTCTAACGGAAGAGGGACCGGATCCATCCACGAAGATGCTTCATTAACGTCGCGAGCCCGTTTGCCATAACGAAGCTCGAGATTATTATCGAGATTACACGCGGCGTCTGCATCTGGTAAGGACATAACATTCTCGACAGCTCGTCGTTGTTGAACCACTTGAGAACTTTCGATCCTGCTGGAAGTCATACCTGAAATTATGCTTTACATATTAAGCTTCTCAAAGCTACGCGGACTAATGAATCTTATTTATCAATTATTGTTGAATACATTTTCGTTCATAATTGGTTTATGTCGGTCCTGCAATTAAGACCGATATGTCGCTCTTAATTGCAAGAGTGTTAAAAATATCGAAAATTAGAAAGTTATACAGAAACCTTCTCGAATGCTTACTGACCAGATAAATTTTTGAAGGCTAATTTCACAGCTTGCGTAACGGCTGACAGGATTCCGCCATTGCCACTTCTTGAACTGGTTTCTACGGACGATGAGGGAAAAGTTGGCACCACTTGTTGTCCATTTGCCTCCGCGTTGTTGTTAATGTTAGAATAACTCTCAACACTTGAAATACTCATCTCCACTTTCGTGGTGGACTTCCTGGTGTAGCCAGTCGTGTTAGTGACGCTCGGAAATTCTGACGTATCCGAAGACGATGACACAATCTGCTCCTCCAACTTCTTAAGACCAGAACTGATCAAAGGCATCAAGTCGCTGTTGAGAGAACCCGAGTTGTTCTCCACCAGCACCATCATCAGCACCCTAGATGTACCTTTCTGCGTTATAACCGATACGCCGTTGGACAACGCCTCGACAGCTCGATTCTCCTTCTTCGCGTTTTGTTTGTTTTCCTGAGAAATATTGACTTGTGTGTTGCCTGAGGAGTCAATCGACAGGTTTGCTAAGCAATTCTCTCGATCATCGACTTGGTCGCCTTTTGCATCCTTTGTATCCTCCACGTTCTCATTCTTCTTCTTCTTCTCCTTCGTATCTGTTACTTTCACATTCTTCTCCTTCGTGTCCTCCTTCGTATATCTTTGTATATCTTTCGTATTCTTTGAGTCGATCGTGTCGTTCACGTCCTTCGTGTTGCCTGTATCTTGCGTGTCCTTCGTACTTTTCGCATCTTTTATGCCCGATGCGTCATGAGCGTCGTGAAAAACGTCCTCGTCCTCTTCTGTCATGTTCTTCACGTTGAATCCTACTTGGCTCCCAAATTCCGGCAGAGTGTCGTACTGATCAGAAAATCTCACCTTCTTCACCATGTCCGATGCTCTGCCAGATTCCTCGTGACTGTCGACTGTGTTCAACTTCGGAGTATGTTCCTGAGGAATGTTGTTCTCGACGTTCGTCAGATCCATGTCTACGGGAAATGTTATGTAATCGTCGTATAAAGCTACCTCCTCGGCTTCGTCGTACACAGCCTCGATCAGCCTCTCGATATCCAGTTTCCTGCCGGAATTACTTCTGGGGTACTGCTCGTCAGCGTTGTTCCTAAAAGGCGTCGTCCTCTCGTTCTCTATGCCGTTCGGCGAGAAGCTGAAGAACTTGATGTCGCTGTCGCTGTCGTGCGACTTCTGAATCTTCGAGGTCGTGTTACTCTGCGTTATCGGCGAGTTGGTCTTGGGTGTCTTCAGGCTGAAGTTCGGTGCGCACGGCGTCTGGTACTCGAAGCCGTTCTTCTGGCCGAGGAACATCGGCGTGCTGGTATTCCGGTAAATCTCGGGCGGCGTGAAGAACGCGTGGCTGTTGTGTTTGATGTTCTTCACGGTGCGCTTCAGCTTCGCCTCGAAACTCGTCGGCGCGGGTGTTCTCAGCAACCTCTCGTTTATCAGTAGCTGCTGATGTTCGGAATACCACTTGCATGTGCCTAGAAAAACCGGGTAAAAACTGAAACTTTCTGTTAACTTTTTCTTTCGCAAGTCTCTGATCAATACAAATCAAGACTTAACCCTTTGAGGCATAGTGGTAAATATACTTACCACATTTATTTATTCTCACATTTTCATGAAATATTTCATATTTGAAGGATATTCTTGTCGGGTTTTTTGCGTTTTTTAGCTTCTTATATGATATGGGAATATACATGAAAAGTGTTTCCCATAAGTTGTCCATTAATTATAAATAAACAAATTGTGAAAAATACACATTTTTACAGAAAAAATCATTCTCCACGAACTATGAGTGAACTGTTTGCTCAAAATCAAGATTTGGGGGTTTTTTGGGTCGCTGATTACGAATCTGAGGTCCAAATTCCAAAATTAATTTTCCAAGATGGCGGATTCAAGATGACGGATCATAGAATTGTTATTAAATTAGCTAAAATTGTACTCCGGTTAGTTTTTGAGGTCGTTGATTACGAAACTGAGGTCCACATTCCAAAATTCATTTTCCAAGATGGCGGATTGCAGATTATCGCGATTTTTCATATTTGTGGCTGAATGAATCTTGAATTTCGAAAATCTGATAACAGATTTGTCATCAGCGACTCCAGAAACCCCCGTATATAAATTTTCATGTGATTCGGAAAAAAATACGTGCCTCAAAGGGTTAAACGATTTGTCGTGTTCACTAGGAGGAGACTAAACGAGTGCGATCAATCGTAATTGCTGAAACTCGCGAGACTTTCACGGATGAAACCTCGCCCGTCATGTTCCCAGCTTTTCAGAAGATTTTCAGAAGAGAATTATTCAATCTGCTATTAGGATCGCATATATCATGCAAGACTTTGCGAATTACCGATAGATTTGAGATCCTCGCCGGTTTCGAATAGATTTTCGCACAGAACACAATGTAACGGCAGATGTTGGTCCGTTATGTGGGACAATAGTCTCTTATTTTCCCACAGCAACTCCTCAAATTCGAACTGTCTCATCGGTAGCGTCTTCGAGGCGCACAGGAAACAGTTCGCGCTCAGATCCGAATGCACCTTGTTCACATGGCGGTCACGGCATTTCGTGCAACAGAACGTTTTCCGGCAAAACCGACAGATATTGTCTGAAGCTTGGTGAAGAGGAAGATTCAGCAGCGATTCGATAACCGACATGTCCTGTAGTACGTTGAAACACGGTCGCGGTTGTCGGGACAATTCGGTGTTTACTAACCCATCTTTATTCCATGAAGTTTCACTTTTCAGCGCGTCTGTGGATCATAACAATGTAAACGAGCAACAATGTGAGCAAACACGCGTATATAACATGTATGTTCATGTGTATGTGTGGGATTACATCTGTTTGCCGTAGCAAAAGCTTGACGGTGAATTCTACTTCGCATTTTCAGCATACATTTAGCATCAAAACGCGACGATTTGTAATCGTGAAATAAAACGTGTTTGCTACTAAAAGTTTGATAATTTGAAAATATTTGGAACTTTATTTTAATCCCGAGCTCGAAAGCACTTGATGTCTCTCCAAAAAAATATGACCAAATTATTTTGACCAGAATATCCTTGTGATCTTTATGTCGAAACACATTGTTAGACAGCTCAGTTTCTAGTTTTATTATCGTCTCGTTAGTCGCTGGTATTTATTTCGCAATGTCTGAGAATCAAGAACAAATAAAGATTACAAGTAAGAAAGCTACCGTCGAGACTTTTAACAATCTCTGTCAAGATTCTGCGTCAGACCAATCATTTACAATCAACTCTGATAATCCCATCAAATAGATTGTTATTGTAATTGATATTTGCGATACCAAACCACGTGTAGTCTATATCGGAATATTATCAAGATTTACAACAAATCATTTAGTCAAGATTTATCTTATACTATACTGTGTGTTATCTTGTACAAGTGTTATCTTGTATACTGATACTTTTAATGATCTAGTTACTCTTATAGATTCGAGAATATATTGACACTTGTCGCAAAAGAATTACATTTTAACATTCAATTGATATAAAACACACGCGCGTGAATTGATATTTGAGCGCTTCAATTATCAACTGATATCTGCACACTTATATTCGTAGCTCTGTTTATTGAGCATTCCACCAAAGCACCCCTATTTTTTCGTTCGCGCAGCTCTTATCTCAAAAGTGCAAAATTTGGAGTTGATATGTCCGCGATTTCAAAACGGCAGAACATACGCATGTCTGAAATGTCGTTTGCGCAATAGATTGCGCGTCATTTTCGAAGGCAAATCGCGTATTACACTGCAACAATCATGGAAAGATACAGAGGTTATCGCGGTCGGATATCAGACATGCAATTACACATATCGCATTATTTCCCTTAGGATAGTTGCGAATAGAATAAAAACTTAAACTCTAAAAAACTTTATGCACTGGCGCTAGAGCGCGTGTTAACGCGCTATAGCATGCATCTCTCATCGTCTATTCATCGGTTATCATACTCGATAACGGCGAGTCCACTTTGCGTGACAAATACGAGCAAAGAAATAAGATAGGACGTTATGCTCGTAGAATATATTAACCGCGACATTGACGCACAGAATGTCACGCATATCAACGAAGGTTCTCCGTGGTGCCTTGACCCTCTTTTCTCCTCTAGGAAGTGTCATTGAGTCGGCGGTATTGCACTGTCGCTGTTGATACTGTTTGATCATACCAACGAAGTGATGTAAAAATACGCGATTCCGCGAACACTGCTGCAGACCTGACCAGCACCAGACGGTAATCTACTTCGCTGCGCAAGTAGCTCCACGAAGCGTAACTCTTAGCTAGCAGGCGTGACTTTCGAACTTCGTATGGAATCTTACGTTGGACTTCGAGACAAAAAGTGTATGGTTTCATCCGGCGTACGGTAACTTTTATGTTATTTTATATATACAGACGCATGCAGTGCAGCTCATCATCTTATCGAGTTATCGATTTTCCCTGAAGCGTTATATTAGTGACACCAATTTCTATCTTTCGAGTGTGTTTCATGTAGAACACGCATTAAATATTATCTAATCAATGCGTTTTTCTTCGCGAAGAACAATTTTTTTTTTCAAACATCTTATCGGGACATTTGTCGTGAGAAAATATAAATTGCGCTTGTAAGTCAGCCGTACAAATGTATAACATGTTTGTAAATATTTCTTTTTAGTAATATCACAAGAGAATAATAATAAATATAATAAAAATATTAATAGCAAAAGTAATATTTTAAATCGGTGCCTAATTAATGTTACGGTGTCACAATAAAATATTCTGTCCTATTCGATTTTCCTCATTTATCTTGTATTTTTAATTTTTTTAATTTAAACTTCTTTTAATTTTGAGGTTGTTTATCACAAAGTTTTATTTTATCATACGTTTTTGTTTGACGAAGAACAATTTTTTTATAAATTAATAAGTTTTCTTTTCACTGTTCTACTTTTCTTATCGCTTATTACCTATTTTTCTATCCTTCTAGTTCATCCAGTTTGGACACGTCTTATCGGTATTCTGTTATCATTTTTGAAAAAATTTTGTCATAAATTTTAATATGTTTCGTCAAAATATTCTACATTTTATTTTATTATAACTACATTCTCCGCCGCATACGTTATGTGTTACCATTAGTCGAACAGCTTCGACCAGCTCGGCAGTCAGAAGCTGACTAAGAAGCCTTTCTCATTGCGAATGCTCGTCGAAGAATGAAATGTCGTTGTTGATTCCGCCGAGTGGTTGCGCTTATGTCGACGGTATAACTGCTGCTTTCGTCGGAAATTTATTTATTTCAAAGTTGGATCTCGTCGCGGTCGAGCCACGCGTCCCGATTACTGTTACCATCTTATCTACAAATCTCGCAGGCTTGATTTGCGGGATTCATTTGTGAATCTGCGATAATAGAATTGAGATTTGCAATCTGTAGAAAGCAATTGGAGCACCGATCGTGATAACCGATGTTGTGCTGCAAGAGATTTCAACACCTGTCATTGTTCTTGTGATATCACTCCTATTTGTTTTTATGTCGTGGTCGTATGCAGTGATTGCCTCATAACAGTATAGTTGCACATAAAATTGTCGACTCCACCCTTTGCTGGACTCTTCGGGACTCAAGGAAGAATACAGGGTAAGCGTCTTTCATGTTTCTCCAAAAAAATTTATTTTCTAACCTCGTAATTTTGACACGGTACGATATAATAAAACTTTAGCGACGCAAATTACAGATGTTTCCACCCGAATATATATTCATAAAATTATGCCATCCGAAAACAATATTATTATTCAACAGTCGGATCGCTCGTCAAAAGTTTAACGAGGCTGCGTCTTTCATTCTTTTTCGCGGACAGTTTCTCTCTCAGCGAGGAAGAATAAGAGAGAATCGACATTGAATATTGAAAGCGGTCGTTAGTTCCTAGTTCCTCAAATACCGATAAATATCCACTTTAAGCACTAAAGATACAGTTTCCAATTCGCGATAATATTGAACTCGCGATTCTCTTGGCTGCTAGACAACGTCGTTGAACGCATTTGGCTGAATATAGGATGCGAATGTGGGTCATGTTTGGTCACGTCTCGGACTGCACGCTGTTATTAAATTTAACAGATCGGCTTGGAAGGCTGTACGCAAGCAATGTTAAAGCTCAGCCACACACGGATGTTGTGTCGCGGTCAACCTAATCCATTTAAGACGTCGCCGTGGAATTGATCGTTCCTAATCGACGCGAATAGGTCTTTGTTTCACGAGAACCAGCAACACCAGACACGTAACACTAGACGAAACTCCTATGAAACTAGATTCCGGCTATTACGGGATAAGCACTAGCGTTTAGTGCCAATTTAATCAGTACAGCGCGGTTCTCGGCTTCACGTCTCATTGTCAGTTGCATCTCGGTCGTGGCTGACAAACACCACTACGAAAGCTGACAGAGTATTGTTTTATTATCGCGTTAAAGTTGCGTACTATTATCGCGACAATTTATGCGGCATTACATTAACCCCTTAACGCCCGACTTTTTATATTTTAAGTGTTTTAAGAATAAAATTGGAGATTTTTTGAACTGAAACTGTAAGTAGTGATAACCAAAGAAGATATAAGAATGTTATATCTATACGAGAAACTACCTTTCCAAGCAGAAACTACTCCCGGAAGCGAAAAATACGCCTGACCGGTTAAATTTTTTTTTAGTTTTAATAACTTTATGGTTATCCAGATGGAAAAACCGTGAAACAATTACACGGAAAGTCAACATCAATCGTTTACTTCTCAATAAATGAGTACATGAAGTTTCTATTTTTCGTTTGTTGGTTTCGTTAATTTGGTTCTTTTTATCGTTCGTTTTTTGTCTATTGGTAAATATGGCTTGGATCCTAAAAGCATATACGAAATGAGCAACCTATACAGAGAAAAATGAAGGGTAATCTATACGACATAATTCTGATAGTCAGCTTGACATTTTTCAGCTGAAACTTTACTATATTTGTGAGTGAAGTTTATCATTCAGAGCATCAAGCTTACTATTTCAGAAGAATATTTTATAGATCGCCATTTAGATAGTCAATCGTCCCTTCATTTTTCGCCGCATAAGAAATGGTCACCAGGTTTCACGAAAATAGATTAATTTTTTGATTTTCGTGTCCACCATATTAGATTCGCCATTTTGAATTTTTTTGTATTCTTTTAATTTCACATTTTGCATCTGAGAAAGCTTCCAAATGTATAAAATTATAACAGATACCAATTTATTCATTCATAGTGCACTTCTAGATGTCAGTAACAATGCTAACTATGTCTACTTGGAATTTGACAAAACATGTTATCATGTTTAAAACAGAATTAAAAACAGACTGAACCGAATCTACATACAATCTACCATTTTTTAGAAGAAGAATTCACCTTTACAGTGGTGCAAAGAAAACGAAAATATCTCCTTTTTCGTCTAAGTTATGGATTCTTAAGTGCGTTTCTTTAACGCCTACTGGTAACTATAGTTACCTAGTAGGCGTTAAAGGGTTAAATATGCACGCGTGTTCTGTCTATTGCATTCAATGGAAATAAATCTACTCCAGGTCGTTTCGCAACGACGACAGCGTTTGTCGTCAAACATCAACTCTGAAAGAACGTTGTAACCGCCGACTACACTTTGACGCCGTGAATATACGGCGGTTGCGAAACCTTATAAAATGGCACGGTTCAGCTGTTATCGCGCGAGTAACGTTTTCCAGTGGTAGTAACCCACGTTACGAAAGAGCGCGACGGAAGTACAACTGACTACGTGTCGAGAGGGAAAACTGCATGTGCTTACGCGCGCAGAACTGCGTCCGTCCAAACAGATGTCACATTCGTTGAACAAACTGCGTGTTAACGGGCCGGCGAATTTTGTCGATACAGTTGCACCGACCATGATAAGTGACTATTGTCATTAAACCGAGTGGAATAATGTCTAGCGACATTTGTCCGGTTTAATGAGTTCGACTTGGAGTTTCGTTCGTCCGATCGATCAAGCAGTCGCGAGTTTACTCGTCACGGCGATATAATTGGGCCGCATAGCTCTGAATACCGCCGAAGGTGGGTCAAGCTCAACCGGTTCAAAGTGCGCCAGTCGCGTGTCACCCGCGACGTCAAGAAGTCATTGATGCAGTCATCGCAATCGTCAATTTGATCGTCCAGGCCGAATGTTCGCGATATAAACGTAGTGTCGTGTGTAAGCTGATATAGAGGAGGGAGCAAAGTCGCCGACGCACGAATCGCTTTGAAAATTGACGAGAACGGTTATATTACGGCTCGGGAGAGATAAGAGCGGCTATAACGAAGGAGCAGTAACCTTCGACAGTCGCGCGATAATAAGGTATGCGTTATTGCAATTTAGCGGGAAAGAGAAGACGACGTTTCGATGGAAAATTGCATGAAGCATGCGAGAGGCGAAAGAAGGAGCGCGGATGTTGGAATGTGCCTTATCGCTCGCAGCTTTATCCATTGTTTCTCCGTTAATTCATTAAGTAGGTTATCCGCTCAGAGAGAGAGAGAGAGAGGGAGTAAGCCCTGTATCGGGACTTTGTACATTTCTCGAAAATATTCTGTGTAATTTGCATTGTATCCGGAACATTGTATCACGTGGAACAGACGCGTATTACCGCAGATAGTGAAAAAAATTTACGATGACGCCGATAAGCGGAATTCCGCAGTAGATACGGCTCGTTCGGAATAACGCGCGCGAGAATAGCCCCGCTAAGTTATCGCTAGAATATTTTCTAAAAGCCGCAGGAAAACACGTTTCCACAACGCTCCTCTTTCCGACACTCGCGAACTACTTTATCTGCACCTAATGCGTCATCCAATGCGCGCGTGTATTTCCGTCGCAATTACACGCATCCAAATTATATTAGAGTTTGCAAACGCTGCTGGTTTGTTTAAGCGGTGAAGAAACGCCGCTTGTAGAAATATTTTGCGACGAATTCTGTGACGCGGTATATTCGCCGCACACGAGAGGAGAAAAAGACAAAGAATGTTGAGCCACGATGTTGAGATTACACGGGAGAGATTTCCATAAGTTATGCGTGTTCCGTGTTTACATGCTAAGTTATTCATGCTCAAATATTAAGGAAACTAAATAGCGCGATGCAAATTCGACGAGTAAAGCCGTAGATTTCTCACTTGCATCGCGTGAACACGCCAAGCCGTATAATACACCGTCGACCCTGAGCGCGCGTAGAAAATGCACCTTAATATGATGACTTAACTCGGGCATTGACAGCGTTGTGCGCAAAGGTGATTCTATGATCACAATTATATATTACAGCGAGTCTTATTACTGCGTATTTTATAACATACGCAGTTACGAACGCGGATATTAATATAAAAGTCCCGACAAAATGCATATCAGGGAAACGTCAAAGATATCAACGTCCAAAAGATATATAGAAACCCGTAAAAGTAGAAACATGTGGAGCAATGTTGTCATGTAAAACAGCTCACGAGCGCGCTATTTTGAAACGCGCGTTTGCCGGCGCTCTCCGAACGTGCGCCAAGCGAAGAAAAAGCGGAGCTGATTTGAATTCGCTTGCTCATTAGCGATTCGTAGTCTAATCTGCAATTTCAATTATCTGTCTTACGCTGCTTTTCTCATTAACAGCTCGCCGGCAGCGCCTGGCGCTGTTTTTTCCGAAGGATCTGCTCGACCCACGTAGCAACGCTACGTACAAAAGGAGGAGGCCAAGCGTCATACTGCCGTGCAGACATCAGTAACGGCTCAGTCGACGTAGAAGCTTCGAATCTCGATTTGCGCACGTTTCACAAATTGCCGGTCGATCAGAAATTATCGTCGATCAATCTCTGAAAGCCGACCGAGAAGTGTATCCGTTCTCTCCCGATATTCCCGCCTGTGATTTATTCAACGGCGTAGTCGCGGAAGCGATTTGAAGTTTGTTGACGTTGATGAGCGACGGCGCACCGGCTCGGCGTAAAAGTAGAGGAAGTGCATTTGAGCGCGCGAGTGGCAGTCAAACGTAATCACGAGACCAATAAGAAGAGACCAACGACGAGGGTAGCCGGAGAAGTATCTCGAAGCTGGGCGTGCATGTGAAGGTGAAGGTACACCGTCGGTGTTCCTGGCGAGAAATCGTGGAGGGAGAAGGGTATAGCCGATGGTGGGAATCGCGAAGGTGCGTCATCCTTGGGAAAGGTAGATCCAGTGCACCGTAGGTCACGGATTTAAATGGTGAAGTCGAGATATCGCGCTGACGCTGAAAAGAGCGACTCGCCTTAGAAGTGGGTCCGTTCGAGACGACGGTTCGATTAATATCGATTCGAAGGTCGCTTGCGAGGAAATCGTGTTGCAGGATCTCAGCGGATTCTATAAACAAACACACACATACACATACGTCCAGACAAAGTATTCGTTCTTTGTTTGCAAGGAAAGAGGAGTGCTGAAGTTGATGGTCAGTGTCACATGAAGGATCCGCCAAGCTGTTGAAGCGTTAAAGTGATCGACCTTCGTGCGAAGAAGGAACTAGCTGCTCCATTTTGCACGAACGACCCATCGAAGACGAGTACGAATTGATTTCAACAAGATATTATCAAAGAACTAGCGGATGACCTCTGTGGTAATATAGGATCAACTTCAGTTATATGGATGAATGGACATTCATTGTGACAGAGCGCTCTCCTTTTCTTAGTTAAAAACGGACAAACTTGGTGTTCCGTTTAATTCAACACTAGCAACACAAGTCGGTGCTGCGATCACTTTCTTCGTCCATTATCCATTCCGAAACAGAAATCGGACAACGTTACTCGTCATCCTCGTGTGATCATCCTTCGGCTTCCAGTGGCAGTCGGAGAAGTTCTCGAATCTCGTACGTCGCTAAATCCGCTCTAGAGGCGTATCAAAAGGAGAAGCAGCTGCGAGGTCGAAGCCGCCTGAGCAGGAGAGACCCAAGACGAGCTGTATTCGTGACTGCGAGAGAGCAAGAGAAGCGAAGGAGAGTGGAAAAGGGAAGTCCAAGAGGAAGAGACAGATCGATAAAGAGGTAATACGAGCAAGGGAGACGGAGAGAAGTGGATTTGCACGGGGTTCAACGTGGAACCGATTTAGCCTGCTTAGCCTAGGTTAAAGGGAGAACATTTGGTCGAGCAGCGAGGGGAAGGTCTGAAGATAGACAGAGAAGCAGCGACAACCGGACAGGGAGGGGAGAAAGAGACAAGAGCGAAGAGGATAGAGCACGGAAGAGCGACGGAGAAGCCGAGGAGAGGCAGTCGGGGTTTAGGTCGATAGAAGGGGGAAGGAGGCCACGACCCTTCCTGAAACTGGTCCTCGAGATGGGTAAAAGCAGCTTGACAAACTCGCACGTGGCCGACGACGTGTTCGACGAGGAGGCTATCATGAAGAAGACACGATGGCGAAACCTCGTCGCTTTTTGGATACTGGGCCTGTGCAACAATTACGGCTACGTCGTCATGCTGAGCGCGGCCCACGACATCCTCAACAGCAAGTTCGGCAACAAGGTGAGCAGCCGTGATTTTCTTCATTATGGGTCTCTTGACTGGATTACTTCGTCCTAGATGCTAGACGGAAAATTTGAGGAGGAAATATTTCTAATCGTATCGTAATTAAATTAGAATGGCGGAATAGTCGCTTTATCGCACATGAATCACACATGAATCACACATGATTTTACACACGGATGAATTTAGCTCACTGTTGCTCGCTCTAGAGATAACAATAGCGTTCGTGTGACCGACAACGGGTATCGGGTTTGTCCCGGCATATGGTGCGAGATAACGATGTGCTTATATATCGTTTTATTGTACTCGCGGAAGTCTCTCTGATACGACCAAATCTTCACCATAAATTCCCTGATCTCTCGGTTACTTACTTACTTAGCAGCCTTTTGCCACTTTAAGAATACTTTCTCTTATTTCAACGCTCTTGAAAAAATATTGTCAACTTTTATTTTCTATGCTGATGACGTTTTTCCGTGATTCCACTCATAACTTACGACGTAGAAGTTTGAAAATTATTTTTACAGAGTTAACGCATTCTCTTGAGCTAACTACGAGCTCCTTTCGATTTATTCTACATTCTCTCTCCGATTTGCGATTCAATGACTTACATAAAGGCGTATCCGATTTTTACCACGGTATTGAGAGCGATATCCGCTAATGCGTCAATGAGATCTGCATCTAAGCATTTTATTAATGGAAAAGTACAAGGCTTACCAGTCTTGATTTGAAAATGTAGAGAGCATATATACTGAGTGTGCTGTTAGAAGACTACTACATTTTAGCTTGTATGCTGAGATAGTATGTTAGTTATTGAACCAATTAGAATGATTCAGATATGATTGACGACAGACGAATCTAGATGAAAAAGAAATAGCACTAGGTGAAAGATAAAAAATATATGATCTAATGACATACTGTCGTTAATCTCGAAGTAGAATTCAAACGCATCAGGCGGTAGTACAAAAGTAAAGTGATGTCATATTTAACAGACGAACGTCTTGTTAGCCGGTCCTCTCGGTCCAGCCTTTTATATCAATTTTAGATCAATATGTCAATTGATAGTGTTTTCTATTCGATATAAGCAGTCCATCAACCAGCACGCTCTTGGTTGTTAGTATCGATTAAGTTTTATGTATGAAGCCAATCTAACAGGAAATTAAGTACCGAGTAAATAAATTTGCAGGAAAATGATCCAGCGGTGTAGTTAATAGATCGATCCTAAGATACAAAGCGCACGATTCGATTCGATCATTAGAATTCATGACGTAAAACGAAATAAACATCCGTGCGGAGGATAACTTAATAACCAGTTCGATGGCGTCATGCGTAATATTTCGTCGGTCTTAAACGAGTACGAGGAAAACAGTCGCGCGTTCAATGATTTATATCGTCCAACTGGATTCGCGACCGAGAAAAAACGAGCCGTGTCTTCGATAAAGTCGCACGAGACGATCGTGTTGTGCAATCAGCAGCGTCTTTTTAATGTATCGTGCCTGTGGCTGGCATTACATAAAACAGAAAGGAGCAGCGGAAATTTATCTGTTTCGCGGGCGAATTACTCAACCTGCAAATTATCCGCAAACGCCATGTTTCAGCGTATTTACATTATTGATTATCGAATGAAATGTCTTTTTAAAGAAAACGTCGTCTAAGGCGAGTAGAACAAACGTCACGTTAAATTGAGATAAATAAATAACTTTTGCCAGCGATTGAAATTGCTGTGAAGCAAGAGAATACAGATCAAACGTCGCGACATTTTTGACGATTTTTTCAGCCGGAAATGTCGGCGATTAAAATATTAAATATATGCGAAACTCAAACTTCACCGAAGAACAAATCGATGCCGGTCCAATATTCCTCGAGAAGCTGAAACATGGAAAGGAGTACACTCGGAATATTAAAAGTGTCGATCCGACGTTTTCAGAATTCCACCACGGGAGACGACGACGAGGAAATACACGTGCCGGGAGTCCGCACGTGCAACGCGGTCTCTACCGGTGCTATACTTTTGGCAGATATCCTGCCGGCGTTGGCGATCAAGGTTACTGCACCGTTCCTGCCGTTTCTAGTGCAGTGAGTATCTATTTTCAGCTACAAAGTGGACTTTTGCGCGTCCTGATGTTATTCTATCATTATCTACTGAGAACGAAGCCAGTGAACACTGCAATTACGCGCGCCGCGCCATCGTGGAATACGATTTATCCGATAATAAGTAATTACGATGTCGGCCAGCGACATGACACACGCGAGTTATTTTCCGCGGGATGTTTGCGTTTCTTCTCTAGATTCTATCTTTTTTTCCTCGTTGCGTAACTCGCGCCAATTATCTCATAGGAATCTTCCTTCGCGACGACGTAAGATTTTCGCACATCTGCGAGGATTCTACACTCGAACGCTTTGCGTTTGTTAACGGCGATAATTGACAATAGAGCAATAGATTTATTTAGATAAAAGCATCAGTTCGCTCTAAACAAAGATAATATGGGCGAGGTCTATTTATGTCATGACCATCGAACGACGTATGCGCTTCTTTTGATTACATTACATAATCGTAAAGTAAGACCTAAAGTGCGACGAAATGTCGCCATTTAACATATCTTCGTATCCCGCGTGTTATTTAAAACGGCGTTTTATCATCCACTCATACGCGCACACAACGACATTATATTCAACGATATAATGAACTTTTGCCATTTTTAGCAAGCTCTCGATATTTCGTCAATTAGCTAATTAATTAACCACGCTTGATATCGGGTTCGTATCGGTCTTTTTACGAAAGAATTTTTACCCCCAACATATGTGTCGCAATTGCAAGTTTTAAAAGAGAAATGTTGTTTATATATACGCAGAAACGAGCACAAACACACACACTGATAGAAAAATATAGTTGAATTAACTATAATCTCACTATATTTTATAGCTCATTTTGGCGTCAACCATATTTTTATAGTTCGTGGAACCTGCAAAATATAGTAGAACAAACACAAATATATGGTCAATGATTGTCTTAAATAATTGTTTAGTTACTTTTATCACATATATGGTAATTTCTCATTCACAAATATAGTGAGATTTAATATTCATATAGTTACATCTGTCATCTGTCATCATTTAGCAAATATTCTGGTAATATTGGCTATATAAAAGAGTTACTTTATCTACCATCTTATATTTGTATACATACAATAATCTTAGTTTAACTTACTATCGTTCTTAGTAAAAATATCATATGGTTGGTTATACTATGCCTATATCGTAATTATTACCGATATTATGGTAATATTTACTATAAATATGATATTTCGGACTATAATTTAGTTATTATATCGTTATAGTTCCAAATATCATATACTTTTCTCTCAGTGCAGAAAACCTCCTAAATCTCGCGGATAATTAACTCGGCGCAATAATCACGTCGTGAAATCTGAACGCGTCCGGTCTGCTTCTCTCTCTCTCTCTCTCTCTCTCTCTCTCTCTCTCTCTCTCTCTCTCTCTCTCTCTCTCTCTCTCTCTCTCTCTCTCTCTCTCTCTCTCTCTTTCCTTTTTCTCGATATCGCATACTTTCACTCAAAACATCACACGTCCGGCGCAAAAACCGCACGACGCGGGGACGACGGAGCCTCGGATATCGCGTAAGTCCTTTCCCGCGGTTGTGCGGCGACCGGCTCCAGCCCTGTTAGCCCCAAAACGCTAATCGATTAATCGACTCGTTAATTACAGTGCTCGACTGGCTACCTGTGTGTTATTTTCCGCTGCAGGATTTCTCCTGGTGTCGTTGAGTACGACCGAATGGCTCGCCATTCTGGGCGTCGTCATAACATCGCTCTCCTCCGGCTTGGGTGAAGTTACTCTCCTCAGTTACAGTAACCAGTACCCCAAGTAAGTGCATTCCACTTGATCCATCGAACCGCGCTGTCGAACCGCGCGGATCCCGTAGAATCGCGTATCAGCCTTGAGATATATCACAGATGTAGGAATCGGATCGTAACGTTTGATTAACTCTGATAGAGAGCAAATGCCCGAGCAGATATCAAATACGGCAATTTTTATACCTGATATGGCATGTCTAGGCAAGCTATAAGAAGGTATTTCGAGTGGTCCTTATCCGGTCGGGATGTGACAATTGTCTTGCAATATTTTCCGGATTATACCCTGACCAGCGATGACGTCATTATTTGGATGCCTGATTTGGGTGTCCTGATGGACATTTGATCAGGGTTTCTCGATTTCAGGCAATTTTATCAGGGTAATTTTATCATTATGCAGCAGTGCGTTTCACTCGTTATTACGTGCCGGATCCGATAAAATTATCCGGGCCCTATTTGAAGTTTGGAAGCCGGATGGGGTTTTAATACGGCCGTGGGATGATGTTCTGCTCGGGTACATGCAGTCACTCGGTTTGGAAGTATGCAAGTCTGTGTATCTCCGTACAGATTCTCATAACGTTAAGATCACAAGGGAATTTCGGTAGGCTATAAATAGCTTTTCCAGTTCAGCGTCGAGTACACGTTGATTCCACTCGGCCAGCGGAAAGAGGCGAACAGATATAGAGTGTGTGCTGAAAAAGGAAAAGAAAGTTTTGTGAAGAGCTCGTTAAGCGGCGCTCCATGCTGTTATCAGTCAATTCCTTTTCTTTTTCTTTTCTCCCTTTCTCGAAGCGTGTAAAGCGTTCCTCCCGAGGAATGTTCCATGTTTTGTGTTGACTCAACGTTTTCTGAGACAGCGCATTCGAATGGGAGCGTAAGAAAGGGGAAAGCCAGCGTAGCATCGCGCGACGGTACGCACGGGTATATTTTCAGAATATAATCGCATCGCATTATTGACAGACCATTTAGACAGTTGCGCCAGAAAAAGTGATGATAAGATAATAAGCCGCCTCGACGAGCCGTTTAGCCTCCGAAGCCGGAAAATACAGTAGATTTTGCCACGCGCTGCGAGAAAAATAAGATAAAAGACACTCACGTGCGCGCGCGCGCACGCTCGCTCGTGGAACTTTATCTCACCGGCACGTACATAGGTATGTCCATTATCATATTGGATGACTGGTGCAATAACAGATTTAATTACCAACCGCTAAGCACTTTCTTTTCTAAAACGCGAGAGGGGATGCAACATCCCGGAATCACAGCGACCGCTCTATAGTCGGAACGCTCTCTTGTAAAACGCACGGAGGATGATTGCTGTTGTTATTAGAATTATTGCCTATTATGTAAATCAAGCATCGTCACCTTAGTGCAATCATGAATATGTGGGAGCGGTAATGCGATTGCGCTAATCTTGGCGACCTATTAGACTCGATTGCACGTTGAATCATTTTACGGAGTGATTCACCCAAAAAAAAGTAATTTCAGAACAAGCGAAATCATTTCAATTTTAGAGGATTTTATTCTTATCATATTTTATCATATGGCCTCAAGAGGATTCCTCCAAGATTAAGAGGAAAATATTACAAACACATTATTCTTAAAGTTAGAGGGATTAGATATTATATGTATAATGCAAATCTTATTGATTTTAATGTAAATTTCCTCTTATATAAAGATTATTTAATTTTTTTCTAAAAGGGTTATTATTTATTCTTATTGTATTTTATTCTTACCGGTTATATCAGTTAATTTGTAAAAATTATGATAATGTGTAGCGAAAAGTAATATATATACATATATAGATGTATTTCAGCTCCAGTTCTACAATAAGTAGGCACGAATAAAATAAAATCATCGTAAGAAATAAATTTCTAATCAGTTTCATTATGGACTTCATAGCTACAAAGATGTGCATCATAATCAATTGTATGAAATACAGTTAAAGAAAGAATATATTATATTCAACTTTTTGCAATAGATTATAAACCGTATTTTTCATATAGAAGAAGAAAATTCATTGATACAAGAGGAGATCCTCCTGAAATAAGAGGAAAATAGTTGGAACAATGTCTAATAAATTTTAGAATAAATTTTAAATGGTTCACTTTAATCGCTCTATTGAAAGAGGAATCTTTTTTTCTGCAAAGGACTTCGCTTAGAATATGAGAAAACTATGGGAAAAATCACTTTACAAATAGAATACTTTTTTTTGGGTGTTAACGCGAGGAAACTATGCTCTCGATGCAACGTTGTAATTTTAATTCGAACCGTCTGCGTGTGGGTTCTCTCTTTGCCGGCTTCTCAGCTGCTGCACGAACCTGCAATTTACTGATCGTCGCGTCGTTACGCATCTCTTCGCAGGCAGGTGATCTCGACATGGTCGTCGGGCACGGGAGGCGCCGGAGTAATCGGCGCTGGGTCCTACGCCGGGCTCACTATGGTGCTGTCCATCGAGAATACGTTGTTGGTCATGCTGGTCGTGCCACTGGTACAAGCGATTACGTTCTGGATCATCCTGAAGCATCCGGCGCACAGCAGAATCCCAATCACCAAGAACGGCATCGACAGCCAGGAGCAGATCATCAAGGTGCCTCAGAAGACCTTCAGGGACAAGCTCGCTCTGGTGCCCGGCTTGTTGAAGTATATGATACCGCTCGCGCTGGTTTACCTCTTCGAGTACTTCATCAATCAGGGCCTGGTAATGACACGTCATAATGCAAAGTTCAACCGTTGAGCCAGAATGTCTGTTTGCCATTTTGTACTTTTCCTTGTCTCTCCTTCCTTTGAATGTCTGTTCATCCTCGGCGGAATTGCTCTCGATTTCTTATCAGCCTCGCGAAGTTAGAACTCGCGCGTTTGCCGAGCAGCGAGAGAAGAGCTGTTGTCGAGACTAATCAATCATCTTCTCTTTCTCTCGACGGATTGTTTTTCCTCTCTTGCGCGTCTAAGAACAAGAAGCATACGTCGTTAAACGACACTAGCTATATGGCAATCTTGGGAGCAGCATTACTCACGTGGTTTTACGATCGGCGTAAATTATCGCGTGACGTCTCGTCTAGCCGGTCTTTGAGACGGATGAAATGCTTTTGCAGTACGAGCTCGTCGAATTCAATGACATCTGGTTAACACATAAGCAGCAATACAGATGGCTTCAAGTGGATTACCAGATAGGCGTGTTCATCTCGAGGTCGTCGGTGAACTTGATTTCCATCAACAAGATTTGGATCATGTCCGTGTTGCAGGTAATGACAAGGCGATAAGGGAGTGGGATGAAAATATTACGTACCGTGTGTCGATTCTTTAGAGACTCATTGCTCCACACACTGATTGCTCTTTCCAGTTCGTTAACGTTATAATCCTTCTGTTCGAGACCCTTTACTACTACATACCGAACATATGGATCGTTTTCGCTGTTGTATTGTGGGAAGGTTTGCTAGGCGGCGGAGCGTACGTCAACACTTTCTACCGGATGTCTACTGAGGTAACGAAACTACCTTTTAAATAAGCAGATAAATTACATGCGCGTCCGAATCGAAAATATATTTTTTTAATTAAAGTTAATTTTATTTAATTAAGTATTTTATTTAATTAAAGTTAGATATCAAATACTGAAGCTGAATATTAACTTTACTGTCGCGATATCTCAAATGCGTGCGAAATCAATCTGAAATCTTTAGCGTCTTTCTCGTCCGCAGATTCCAAAGGCGGATCGCGAAGCCTCGCTGGGAATCGCGACGATGGCTGACTCGATCGGCATTACGTTGGCCGGATGGCTGTCTATGCCGGTCCACAACGCTATTTGCAAGCTACCACAGCCGACGCGATTAGGCAGCTAGAGATAACGCGGAGGCTCGCCAGCTATCGAGTGATAACAAGGTTTCCGCAAGCGAGCGGAAACTTCCGCTTTCAAAAGTTCCTCGGCGCGACAAGTCGGCGTTTAGAGGCGAAGATAAAGCGACTCGTACCTCCTAAGCATTTAGAAATTACAGCGTAGATTAAACGTACGTGATGCCTGATCGCGATCGCGCGATCGTTCTTTCGAGATGAGAGCATCCATCAGAGACAGCTGGAAGTCATCGAAAACACGAGGAAAAATGGAAACGTTCGAGAATAATATTCCGGATACAAACACGACCGTAGATTTTTATCGTCGCGTACAACGATATTTTATAAAAGCTTGTCTCTTGTATATATCATCTTTCCAAAGGAACTTTATAAAAGGAACTTTATAAAAAACACGATCTAAAGAGAGAGAGAGAGAGAGAGAGAGAGAGAGAGAGAGAGAGAGAGAGAGAGAGAGAGAGAGAGAGAAATACTGAGGATTCATTTGACTTTGCGTCGTTTTGATTACAAACGTCCGAGCTTTATTTGATACAAACGTTTAGAAGACCAGGAACAGGGCATTTTGCGGTACGTCGCACAGTCACTTATAATATATTATGTCGACACAACACGCGGCATGTAGTATAAACGGTATGTGACGCGATATCGTCTGCATTTCCATCGTGAAACAAGGGAAATTCCTTTCGAGATACTGCATCCGAATTACCGATTGTACTTTTTTAGTTAGTTAGTAGGCCTACTTTTTCACGGTAATCGCGCTGAAATTTTAATTTGTGCGTGTAGGTCTTTTAGGATGGTGTCCATCTAAATTCGGACTTGTACTGTAGTCTGGTTTCCTTTTCTTTTTTCTTTTTTCTTTTTCTTTAAGCTAGCGTAGATAAATTCTGTGACTATTTTTAGTTGACTTCAACTTTCAGATTGTTACCATATCCCCTTACTCACTCGGAGACGAAACGTAATGTACAAGTATTCTCGCATGTCGATATCGAAGAGTATTCCAGTATTAATAGATAGAATAATGAATCGACTTTATGAAAATTGTAATAACACTCTTGGGTTACACACTGTGTGTCCGTTCGTTTACGAATTAAATATAAAAATTACTGGTTCGAACTACCATGTTCCTACTTTGATATTAACGTATTCGCCATATACTTTTTGATTGATTGTGATTGAGTATTATGATTTTTATATGCACTTTAACAAAATAGTTGCCAAATAACGAAAAGAGATTAAGGGATTATTTTCTAATATCATCTTTCTTTCTTTTTGGCCGAGACGTTTGCGTGAGTATCAACAATTCCCAAAAGCAACAACCTAATAAATTTTATAAAAGTCCAACATATAGACTTATTATATAATTATTATATAATATATATAATAATATATATAATAATTATATAATAATATAATATTTAAATTATATTACAACTATATTTACATGTCACTCTAATATGTCATTAATATTAATATTTTAAAATATTTTAAAATTAATATTTTATTTTTTATGCAAAGCAAAGGAAATTAAATAATAATTGACTTGTCGCAAACGATTTATAAATTAGAAATTAAATCTCCGTCAGATCACAGACGACTTTAAGTTGTTGCTTTTCCGAAGGATGCTACATTGCGCTCAATGACGTCCTATTTCTTTCTTCACTCTTTCACATTTCTCCAGTTTTATTTTATCAAAATACTTGGCATCAGCTTTTTAGTGGCGCGCGACTCGCGTTTGGCGAGACGATACCGAATTTCTGTATTTCAGGGAATATTTCTGTAAATAGTAAATACTAGATGTTAGATATTTTACGTTTACTACGTTACGATAATGTCGCTTCTTGAGGATAACTTAGAGTGAGAATAGCCGTGATATAACGGATATTACTATTGTCTCAATGTAAAGCGAGTATTTTGCTTACAGTGAAATAAATATCTAATGCAATTCGCTACGTATGATCTAGTCTACATTGTACCAGCTTTCGCTTGCGGAACGACTTTAACGGGAAGTGGCTTTCCTCTCGTAAGATACGGTACGTGGAAGATTCTTGAAGTAGTTAGGAACTGTATCTTTAGAAGCCTCGTGTGTTATATTTATATGCCTATCGAACACTAGCGTCTAAGCGAGATTGAAACGTTACTCTCGTTGAACGTTCCATCCGGTTGATTTTATGGGTTACGTAAGATGCTTCCGATCAATCGCGCCTCCTTACGTTAACCGCAAGTGCGATAGATTGATCGGAAACGCCCCGTGCGAGTTTTCGTCGTGAAAAATTACCGTCCAAAGACCGCGTGAAAGTATCTTCAAATTTATCTTATATTAACGTTTTATATAACGTCTGCCTTTCACTCTCCTTAAACTCTCAGGCGCTTCCGAATGCGTTTGATAATGGTTGCTCGCGAGAACGGGAGGATGTTTTACATCGCCGTCGTTGTCATTATCAGTCGTGGCGTTACAGTCACTCTTTGCACGGTTACGAACCGACGAAAGATTCGAATTCTGGCATAGGAAAAGCTAATAAAATTATTCACAAGACCAAAGTCCTCCTCGCAAGACGTTACGCAGAGATACAAAAGATCTCTCAATTTGTCGTGTAATTTTCATTCAAACGTCTTTTGGAAGCTTTTCTCGCTCTTCCCGTTGCCAGAACGATCGCGCCGTTTGTTCGTTAAAAATACCTTAAAAAAGTTAAGTGATCCAATCCACCTCGAAAAAGAACTGGTTCTCTAGCACCACGATTAACGAATACCTCTCGTCACGTAGGCGGATTATGCGCATCTCTCTAAAATTATCTTGCCGGACTCCTCGTACTCCTGCCGCGACAGCCACATTTGCTGGAACGAGCCCAAGGAGCTGAGAATGGAGCCGCCGATCCAAGCACCGTAGCGACGCTCGCTCGAGCTGTTCGCGCTAATTATTTTCAGTCTCATACTCTGCAAACAAATTCAACGATTCTGCGCTGCTACTGAGGATTCGACGGAAGCTGGACAGGAGATTGTGTCGTGAGACAGAAAGCCAGGAGTAAAAACTCGCTGATCAGTGTTAATTTCTAATAAAGCCTCACTTACCGGCGGCGTTTTGCTGGCGAGGTCTCGATTCAAGCGCTCGCTGAATCCCTGAAGGCAGGAATTGCCACCGGTCACCACTACGCTGCCATATAAACTCTGTAACGGGCATTATTTTTGTCAGAACAGCTCAGAGAGTTTGCTGCGTGCTGCGCGCAATGGCAATAAAAAAGTGATGTGTTTCTAGAAATTTATCTTTATACTTTAGTACACATGGCAAATTTCAAACTGCAGAAACTTGATCGCAAAGCTACGTACTGGTCTGATGTCCATATCGCACATCCCGACACTCGTGGTGACCAGAGGACCAACCCCCAAGATACTCGCACCCACACCTTTGACGTTGCTGGGGTCGAAAAGAGCTTCGGGTATCATGAGCCTGACGGATCCAAAGTCGTCGTTGTAGCCGGTCGGGAATTCGAAGTGCTTCATGGGCAAAGTGTTCGCCACGTCTTCGTCGTAGGGACTATCCGACACTTGCAGGCAGTTCATTTGAAAATCCTGCAGCACTTCTCTCACCATGTAGCTCATCCAGGAAGACGTTGGTTGAGGACCAGGTCGTTTCGACCAACGTGGAGGGTCTCTCTCGCGCACCACGTCTGAAAGAAATATGAATATTCGAGGCGAAAGTGCGTTAAGGCGAAATTACGACGGGACTTCACGCAGAGAGAGAGAGAGAGAGAGAGAGAGAGAGAGAGAGAGAGAGAGAGAGAGAGAGAGAGAGAGATTCTGCTTGAATGAAATCCACTTCCTCTCTTCGAACTTATATTTCACGCTCCGTCAAATACTTATCGCGCACAAAGACTGAAGTTATATTAATTTTCCGTGTTCAAATTATGATTGTTGATTCAACTTTTCCCAATACCGTCTACGAGATTGCTCGCGAAATTTCCACTTACCCTTGCTAGCGATCAGACAAGCCGGCACCAATTCGATATCCTTCTCCTCGAAGAACTGTCTGCACTGCATAGTGATGAAGTCGCCTCCCAAGGGGCTCTTGACGATTCCCTGAGTGATAACGTAACCGTCGTGAACCGGCACCGCGCTGGTGTGCGTGGCGCCGCTGTCCACGACCATCGCCGTGGACCTGCCGTTAGCGTAAGCCGCCAACACGGCGTTCTTGCAGATGTACATGGCCGGTACGTTGAACTTCTCGAACATCAGCTCCAGCAACTTTTCCCGCTTCAGTCTGGTGTTCCAGGGGCACTCGGTCATTAGGATCGGATGGTGCTCGGCTAGGGCGTGCAAGCGTTGCTGGTAAGTATACTCAGTCAGCCGCTCGAACATGTCCCAATCCTCGATCATGCCGTCCTTCATCAGGCTCACTATCTCCATATCTAAAAAAAAGAAAAAAAAAAAAAGAAAAAAGTCCTGGACGGAAATCGCGGAAATGATGAACACATCACGTGATCCAAGTAGCCCGCGCGAATATTCTGTTTGTAAACAATCGGCTGTTAACAACCTGTGGCTGGAAATTTTTGTCACGCCCCACTCGATGTCCCGAGTAAATTATTATCAAACATATATAAATGCTGAGGGGTTTTTGTAGAAATTTGGCATGCGCATGCATTGATACGCGGTGCAAAATTTACTCGCAGCGTGTGCGTCACAGAGATGTAAGATTTAAACGACAATATTCGGCCGAGAATCCCCGCGGCGGCCGCACAGTGTGTCATTTTCGCGCGATCGCGCGCGTAATTGTGTTTTTATCACAAAACTGGATACATATGTAAGATAATTCACTGACGTCATACCCTTCTTTCGCACTTGGATGGCCGTGACGTCCATGTTGTAGTGCTTCCTGGCGATGTTGTTGCCGTCGACGCCGGGTTCGGCCGGGTCCTCCCACACCCCGAGGACCGTCGGGATTTCGGCCTTCGGCGTGTCCTCGCCGCCATATCCCACGCGAAGGCTCTGATGTCCGACGTCGAAGATGATAGCACCTACCTCGTCTGGCGAAAGAATCGAGAGTGCCGGATTATTCCCGTACAAACATGTCTCCTTTCTAGCCCGGAATAATTACGGAGCGCGGCGTACTTACCACCGCCGTAGACACCACCGCTCATAGTACCTGAAGGGAGAGAAAGCCTGGCGCATGTCCGATGGAGCTTCCCTCCACGCTTGCCGCTTTATCACACGTACAAGCTCCCACACATACGCAAGCTCGCACACGCGTACACTTGCCCTCTCGAGCGAAGCGAGAGGATCCCTCGTGCGCGTGATTGCCCTCCCGTGACTAATCGATCATCGGTATTAGATAGAGTGATAAGCGTAATTTCAAGTCTTGATTTGTAGAAAACGGGGGGGGTAATTTTTCTGTGGTAATTCGATTGTGTGAAGTTATGCATACGGCGACAATGCTCCGTTTTGTTCGATCTGTCTGTTGTATATTATAATTTAATCGTTTTATCGATCGAGTTTCTACTTACAGAAAGCTTGCAAAAGTTTTTCGGATCGTTGATGATTTTATTGGCTCCAAGGGTGAATTATTTTATAGACGCGAAATCGATCAATTACCGAGGAGATGATAAAAAAAATGACGGGTAAACTATAGCAGATATTGCAATTAAATGTGGCACGTATTGTCCCGTTTGTAGAAGGCGCGTTGTTAGCGACTGTCCTGAAAAGGACACGTTGAGCAGTGAGACGCTTGATTGTGGATGATTCTTTGTATCCGATTATTTGTTTTAACTTGCGAGCAACGTTAGACTCACCTGAGAGCGGTTGGAAGTTTCGAAAATATCTTTTGTCTTGCATATGTATATGTATAAACTAGATGTAAACAAGCGAAGACAGAGACCTGAGAGATTGGAAATAACCGAACAACAAAGACACGCCCTGCATAATTCTATTTTATCGTTTTTGTTCGTGTTTCTTCCGTTATTTTTATCCTACACGTAAATTGTCAGTAAAACAAATCAAATTCCAAAAATCTGGTAGGTGGACCTTCGCAAGCTCGTGATCTTAGAAAATTATACCACTTGATTTTCTTCTGTCGAATCACTTCTTTTCCTCCAAAATGCAACAAGCTCGTAATTAGAGAAAATAAACGTCAAACGGAGATCGGCAGGACAAATGAATAAGAAAAGGACGGATGAATAAGTTGACACACACACACACACACACACACACACACACACACACAAACACGAGGCGAGTACTTCCAATATGGAATTAGTGTTGTATATTTTACAAAGTAAATAGAATATAAACAATCTAAAGTCGTCTAAAACACAATAGTACGAATTTTGCGATAAATCATCATTCCATGTGTCGTAAAGTAGACGATATATCAACAGGACGACTCCTCTCGCTTTCCTCCACCTCACGCGAAATGACTCGAGGGCTGAAATAACGTGGGACCGGCGGTTACGGGGTAGTGCTGGACATGGAGTAACGACTGACTGAAAAGATCATCGTCACCCGGCCCGGAACGAACGATAACCCAACACCATCGGGGATGAGAGTGCAACGCGGTTGGCAACGGCTAAACGGATTCGATGGCAACACATAGTATCTCGAAGGCTGCGTTTCGATGGCGATGACACTCGAGCATAGTTCTCTCTCTCTCTCTCTCTCTCTCTCTCTCTCTCTCTCTGTAAATTCTCTTCCTCGACAAAATGTTCGCATCATCACATCGGGGTCCGTCGATCGTTAATCGACGCGGGCTGGCGTTCGTGTCGTTACGTCTCTTCTCTCCTCTCTTTTGCCTCTTCTTTCATCTGACAGGGGAGGACGAGTAGTATCGAATGTGCGTGCGCGTTTTGAGCAAGGTACAGTGGATATAGTGTACAGTAGTAATAGACAGCTTACAGACATTATGTTCGGTTGTTACGTTTACGCTAAATGGTAACTCGTCTACTAAGACTAGGTGCACGCGTGACACTGACCGCGTGACGTTCGAAAATGGGCGAGACGCCCATTCCAGCGTCGCGTGAAGCAACGTTCAAGCGACGTGACACGTTCTCGAGGGAGGACTCGCTGTTCGGCTCTCCGTGTGAGGTTCGCGCGCTGTCGTCGCGCGATAAATGTCACACGTGAACCCACTAGAACGCTTTCCAGTCTCTCTCTCGTAGGTAAGTTGAAACGACACCGACGACAACGACGAACGATCTGGCTGTATTGCATCTCATCATTTGCTTTTCCTCAAACACATACGGTGAGGCCCCTCGCGAGGGGCTGTTTCGCGATGAATGCGCGCGATTCGATTTATCGTGAAGGGTGAATGTACGGACGAGTCGAAAATGACCGGGATGACTGGAAGACAAAGGAAACGCTCGGAAGTCGCGTATTGCTCGCTTCGATATGCATCCGGCACAGGTTAGGTTAGTGTCCTGTCGGACCGTACAAAGTCTGACGGAAGATTCACAGATATATTATATATATTTTGGTTGGTCGAAAAAATGTCTTCTTCTTTTTCTCGCAGTCGTTGGTCGTTTCGTATTTAGTAGATTAAGATGGCAGTTCGCAGGTTCGCTCAAGATTACCATTAGAATTTTACGGTTTTGTTACAGTCGTCGCGCATTCGCGTCATACTTTCGCTATCGTTAATAATTAAAGGATTGCAGGGTGCACGTGTGTGTGTGTGTGTGTGTGTGTCTGTGTGTCGTGTACATGTACATTTGGCATCTCGATGGCAAGTACTCGCGCAGAGATCCTTGCCGGAGGGAAGAAATCCGAAGTGGATACAGATCACGCGTAGCGCCGCCATTTCAACTAACTAGGATTATTACACGGAGTGGAACAAACGTGGCAGTTGACGATCATCGTCATCGTCGAAACGCATCGCGGACTCGCGTATATATCGTACATTCCTGCCACGAATATAGAACAAACAACAATACGGTGCCGCCCTTTCGCACCAAGCGAAACCAAAAGCGGCAGTTTATAAATTCTCTGTTTCTCACGAAACCTCTCTGTTCAAGTCGAATGTTTCCTTATGTTTCATCCGCCACGCGTGTGTTCGCGCGTTCGCGTTCGCCTGATTATTATTATTATTTTACGCCCTACATACCCGAGCCGATCGTCGAGGATCGACCTCGACCATGTCGGATCGATCGCGCCGGAGACCAGGAAGCGCCGCTGTGATGGGCAGCTGATAATAGAGCCGTCTCGGAGATACGGCGACGCGTGATCTCGTCGACATAGGCTAGGAATAGGACGAAGAGAGCACGTCGAAGTATCACTTTTTGCCTGGCTGGCGGCCGGACGCGAGGCGCCAATTCGAATTAACGAAACGACGGACCGCGGCTCGCATCGATTTTTGCATTGATTTTTTCCTCTCTCTCTCTCTCTCTTTCTCTCTCTCATTCCTTCCTTCTTTCCTCTCTCTCTCTCTCTCTCTCTCTCTCTCTCTCTCTTTTTTTCGTTTTTTCGTCCTTCTATTATTTCTTTATCTTACGACAGGGTTGTCGCGTGCGCGCATCGGAAGCTTTTACATTTATTTACACCGCGATTACGAAGTCACGGACGTTTCGTTGGCTGCTGTGATGACCGCGATCGAGGTCGCACTCGGCCTCGCTTAACTCAAACGCGTCGGAGAAGCCCGAGGGTGGGTCCAGTTTGGGGACGAACAGGTTTCCTGATCCGTCACGCTCCTGGTCCCGATTGGCACAGGAATTGCCCGACTGGTGCTTGGGATGGCCAGGCCCGGCGATTGGCCCGAAGTTGGCACGGGCCTCCTCGCTGGTATGACGCGCCAGCTGTAACATCCTGAAGAAGACAGAAGGATCTCGGTGAAGGGCATTTCCGTCGAAGCTTGAGCGGAGAACAAATGTGGCTGGTGTGTATTCCCGATTGTCAATTCAGACGATCCCTCGAGTTGAGCCGAGCTGTGAAACTTAATATCTCAACCGAGTAATTAAAGACCCGCAGGAAGAAACGTATCAAGGACAAGCTTGTGACAAGCTCTCAGGCTCATAAGTCGTCGGTCGGGTTTTCTGTTATCAATAGCAACGAATTAGTTCAATTATAAGCTACTGTTATTTGGTACTTTCTGCCAGCATTCGAGTGATTGTCCGACTCTACGCGTGTCAAACGCCGACGGTCCAACAAACTTTAGCGAGCACGAGAAGGGACGACTTCGACGGCTAGGTTTTGGGAAAGTTTCAATTTCTTCGGCATTGCGCTTGAAACTCTCCTCAGGGAATGAGTGCTTCTCAACCACGAGAGAAAGAGAGAAGTATCGATTGTGTGCATCGAGCAGTTTAATGAGATGGACTTACTTGGGTCTTCCCCTTCCAGGAAACGATTTTCTCTCAAAAATCGGTGAGGGTTCTGTAGACGTGCTAGATTCTGGTCCATGGTACAGGAAGTCTGCAAGCAAACATCACCCCCGTGTTTCCTCAGACTGTCCTACTTGCAGCTCTCGCCGAACATAAATGATTAATCGCAGCGCGCATCCGCGGCCTTGCGGCGGACACTTTCTGTTGGATCTACACTCCAGCGTAGCACATAGCAGTCACTCCGAGCGACAAGCAAGAGACCGCAAGCTAATCGGACTACACGTCACGCCGAACGTCGAATTTCGCCGGGCAAACAGAAAAAGAGAGAAACGGCGTGCGCGCACGAGTCGCGTTATCGTGGCCCTCGGGTGAGTGTCCCCATGCTCGCGAGATCGGAAAGCAAAAACGCAGTCGAGCAGCTAGAGAAGCAGAAGAGAGCGCGGGCGGAAGAAGCGCTCGGGAGAAGAGGAACAGGGGCGTAGCTGCGAATCCCAGTGGTCGAAAGCACTGCGCGAGATTTGTGCAAAAAAGAGCAACTTTCGCGCTAAGCCAAAGCAGGCGACACGTCGAGGACCAGATCAGGGTGAACGCGATGCTCCAGCAGCGTCACTTTCTCTTTTCGCTATTCTACAATGCTACGCCCCTGAAGAAGAAGAGAGAGAAAGAGAGACAGAGAGACAAAAAAAGAGAGACAGACAGACAGACAGAGAGAGAGAGAGAGAGAGAGAGAGAGAGAGAGAGAGAGAGAGAGAGAGAGAGAGAGAGAGAAGAGAGAGAGAGAGAGAGAGAGAGAGAGACAGAGAGAGAGAAGAGAGAGAAGAGAGAGAGAGAGAGAGAGAGAGAGAGAGAGAGAGAGAGAGAGAGAGAGAGAGAGAGAGAGAGAGGAGAGAGAGAGAGAGAGAGAGAGAGAGAGAGAGAGAGAGAGAGAGAGAGAGAGAGAGAGAGAGAGAGAGAGAGAGAGAGAGAGAGAGAGAGAGAGAGAGAGAGAGAGAGAGAAAGTGGTGAGAAAATTTGCATACTGTGGACGCGCGAGTCGGCCGCAGATGCCGAGTGGTGCGAATCGACGAGGTGATTGGAAGACTCGGTTCGGCTGCTGGTCCCGACTTCCGTGTCGCTGTCCGAGCCCAGGGTGTCGTACTCCTCCGACTCGGACTTGCCCTGACTGACCTTGTGCGTTTTGTGCAACGGCGCAGAGGACGAACGGCCTCCGCGCACCTTAGTGTACCGGTTGCAATCCGACTGCAATCAGACGGAATTGGTTTCCATATAAAATGACACGTCGCGCGCATCCGCCGCATCTCGAGCCCGTCGGCGGTCTGTCTGCCGACCGTACATACGACCGTCGGCGTCTTCTACGAGAAGCGCGCGAGACCTTAGACCAGAGCCGTTGTCGAGAGTCGTGGCTCGCTGAGTTTCCGCTTGACCCGGGACAATAATTTATCACGCCGAGATTGCTGCTCGTACGCGAGAAGTCAGGCGACATCGCGCGGGGATCTCGAGGAGCGGAAATGTTTCACTATAATTCATCGCTGCGTGTCCAGCGGATGGAGCGGCCGGTATCGAATTAAATGGAACCACCGGCGGGCGATCATTTTGAATTGCAGTTTGCGCCAAGGTGCAAACGCGCAAAATGGCGCAAGCGCTTTCGATTCCCCGCGCTTTGGACCCCCCTCGTGTGCCTGAATTTTGCGTTGTTGTAGTCGATCGACCATCGACATCAGCCGAAGTATTTGTAATCAATGAATGGCAGGCAGGCGACTTTCGTCTTGTATATTCCATAACACTTTGTGTATTCCGTTTTGTTATGACAATGAAGACAAAATGGGCACGACGTCCGTCACTATCTTCACAGAAACTCTGTTCTATTTTGGCGAATTGCGAGTCGCGGTGAAGGTGATGCGATGAATCATGAGAGAGAGAGAGAGACAGAGAGAGAGAGAGAGAGAGAGAGAGAGAGAGAGAGAGAGAGAGAGAGAGAGAGAGAGAGAGAGAAAGAGAGAGTCTTACGCTACAGTTAGAGCGGAGCCACGACGAAACTCGGCGAGTGATGTCAGTGAGTAAATGACGAAGTGAGCACTCGGCGGATCTAATCTGCTCTTCTAATCTGCAAACTTGTCGATTCGCGAATCACCGTTTCGCAGGACAGCTGCGAGACGAAGCGAGGTGGGACCAGCAGTCGTATAATGATCGGGCTCGCAAGCAAGTTAATCGCTAATCGCGGTTTCATCGTGTCGCAAGAGAGAGAACGTCGTCGGAAAAGCCGCCGCATTTTCCGAGGGTAATCGTGGGCCGAACGAACGAACAAACGAGCGGACGGATGAAGAGGGAGGAGAAAAAAGATATCAGGAGGGGGGAGGGGAAATCTGCGCGCGAATTGACATTCGCGGGTACGTGGCGCGTCGCATCGATCGCGCGCAAGACGCGTCGGAGAAACTCACACGGGAAGCATGCGAGAGTGCGAGTGACCTAAATATTCACACACAGTGGATCACTAAGGGTTTCGGGTGCGCCGTGGGAGCGACGTGACTTCGGTGCACTGATCGAGGGTGCGCATGCAATGCGTGATCATCGTCGTGGGTGTAACGAAGCTGGGAATGCATGAGGGGGTGAATGATAAAAGCGATGACAGACCCGCGTGCTCGCGTTTCTCCCCGTACGTTTAGCGCGTCGAGATAGCAAACATCGGTTTTCGGTCGGAGAACCTTACGATTTCGTAATCGAGACCGAACCGAACACAGACAGCAGAGAGTGGAGACGGAAATGCAAGAAATAAAAAATGCACGATTTCAGGTAATGCCAAACGACTGATCATAGTTCGACGTGACCTAAAGAGAAAAAACCATACACCCGGTCGCGCGTGGAAGGAAGGTCTCCGCGCGGATGAATACATTTCAGGATAAATGTAAGAGAGTACAAACGCTCCGGAGATAAAAAAGAAAGGAGAAACGTGCGGCGAGCGAGCGAGCGAGCGAGCGAGCGTAGGCAACAACGCTAGCAGTGGCGATTGATTCGGCGGACGATACCTCTCGTAACTGAAGGGTATCGGCAGTGGACAGACGAGGGTCGTGATAGACAAAGGTCTGAAGAGGCGCGGCAGAATTGCAGCGGCTGTCGCCTCCTGCAGGAACGCTTTCCTCCAGCTGGAACGTGGCGTACGGGTAGATATCTTCCGAATATTCTACAAGCATGTTTAATGGCGATCGTTAATAATGACTACGGGGGCCGCGATCTTCCGGCCCCTCGCGCGCGCGCGGTCTCTGCTCTCCGCAGAGAGCCCTATTCTCATGATTTTACTTTTCTTTTTCTTTGTTTCCTCGTCACATCTATCGATTATCGACGGGAAGGAAGGGCTCGCTCATATATTGCTTTCACACACCGACGCGAGCGGATCTGCGTCTCTTACCTGGGATCTTCTCGAGGGTGGCCATCTCGTGCAGCGGCGAACGCAGCGGCTTGCGTACGGTGGCGTAATATTGTTCGCGTTGCTCCATGTTTTGCTTATTGTCTAAGGCGGCGGCGGTCTGAGCGTCGTGCAGACTCCCGATGTCGCCCATAAACGGACCTGGCAACGAAAAGTTTTAGGATCGTGACTTCTTCATGCGGAAACTTCAGATTCCGATTAAATCGGTGCTACGATCGACTGTCTATTTGATGAGAAAACAGTGTCGTTTGATCTTCCGCTAAACTACAGATGAAATGAATTCCTCTGTAAAGCAGAGCGATATTGTCCTCGGCATCGATTAATTCAAATTGAGCCAACGGCCGCGTCTGTTTCTCTCTACTCGTTCGTGGAAACTTTTTGTTTCTTAAACTTTCTCTCTAATTTGTCCCAGTTACCCCCCTCTGAACTGAAATTCTCAGCGTCTCGATTGCGCGGGATTGAGAACGGTGGTTTGAACTAACGTTTGCGGAAGCAGTAGAAGACAGCGCCGGCCGCGGCGATGACCGCGAGCGAGCTGAGCACCAGAGGCACGATGAGCTTCAGGTCCGAGTAAACAGAGGTGTGCTGCGGGATGTAGTGATCGATCTCGATGGCGGACATGGTCGTGCTAATGTGCAGCTGCAACGTCGTTATCTTGTACTCGGCCACCGACGAGCCCGCGTTGTTGTGGGCTCTTATGCGGATATTGTAGGTGGTGCCCGGCTGCAGCTCGCTCAGAGTGTACGTCTTTTGCACCTGGGAACAATGTCCGTAATCGCGTATGAAATATTTAATCGGAGATCAGTGTGTTAGCGGAGCGATGTAGTCTCGCAAAGCGAGATATCAGCCGGAGGGAGATTTAGCGCCATCAAAAATTCCTCTTTTTATGGGAAAGAACGCGCGATTAAACTTTCAATGACGAGAGCTTCATGAGAAGACGGAAGTAAGCGGAGGAATATTACTCTCTGTGTGCTCGCGCAGTACAATGGAAGAGAGAATAGTTTCGGGCATTTTCACACGATAGAAAGAGAAGGGGAGGGAGAGGGGGAGAAAGATGAAGCGCTCTGCACCCCGGCGAAATGATATCTCCACTCGGATACCTCTATATTGTTTGAGACCAGCGTCCAAATGCCCTCGCCACTTTTCTTGTACTCCAGCTCAAAATACGTAATGGGACATCCTCCGTCGTTCCACATGCTGAGATGCAACGTGATCCACGAGACATTGACCGTGACGAACTTGTCGCCGTTGCCGGGCGAGTCGTTCGGCTTCGAGCCCTTGGTGGTCGCCTTGAAGATTTTGCTCGGCTTGCCCATGCCGATGCGATTGTACGCTGTCATGTACACCTGATAGTCGTTGCCGCACCAGAGCCGCGACAATACGAAGGTGTTCACCTTGTGCGACACCTTGAACTCCTCCCACTCGCCGGACTCGCGTTTGTAGTGCAGGATGTAGCCCTTAATCGGCGAGTCGCCGTCGTCGGTCATCTTCCACTGCACGTTGATCGAATTGCTGCTGGTGCCGATCGCGTGCAATATCGGCGCCGCAGGTGGTACTGGAGAAGACAAATATTGACTCAAGGATCTTGTCCTTGTACTACCGCCACTATATCAGTGGCCGAGATCTTCTCCGAGTTTAAAGGAGCTTCTCCCGAGATAAGACAACTTGTCTTTATTTCTCGAACGTTCAACACGATAAGAAAAATGGACAGCGGATAAAATCACATGAAGTAGACAAGGCGGCAAAGTATATACCTTGGAGAGTATCACTCTGATTACTGTACTTACGGTAATTATTAGTAGTTAAAAACGTTAAACGAAAGTTTTGATAGTTTTGATTTGTCATAATATATATTGAAACTTAGAAATTAAAAAGATTTATCGAAACTTTTGTTTTTCAAATGTTTCAAATGGTTGTTTTTACCTTCAAGTACGATTAAATTAATTAAATTAAAATTCAACTCAATCGTTTTAATTAATTTTGCACTGGCTATTTCTTATCGATATCTCTTTTCGTGCAATTTACATTCATATGGGACAACTTACCTTGCACGGTTAAACGATGACTTATTTTGTCGGAACCATGGCGATTCTCCACGATACAGGTGTAATTTCCGCTATCGTCCCTGTTAAGATCGACGATGTGCAAGGACCCGTCAGGATGAGGCGACACCCTTCGGGACGGGTTGACGATCTGACCCCAACGTTTCCAGATAACTGAAGGGTCGGGCTTGCCCACGCTCTGACAAGGCAGCGTCACATTTTGTTTCCACGGCACGACGAGCGTGGTGTCGAACGAATATATGGCGGCGCGAACTGTAATATAAAGTACTGTGCGCACCTTCACCAAGGACACGGTACGATAAATCGCGGTTATCTAAGAGTTAACTTTTATCGAGAGCGGCGACTATCTATATATACATATATATATATATATAAACCCGAGGAAATATTTCCCGGCTGAGAGAATCGAGAAGATTTAAAGTTCACGAAAGAGAGTTCTCACGGAGCGACTTCCTGGGGGCCGGGCGGAAAATACAAAATGGAAAAGAGATAACGAGCCTAATTAACAAACATAAATATGAAGCTCAGTATCTCGTCGGAGCCGACTGTAGACAATTCATTTAGCTCGAGAAGCAGATGTTTATGTTATCCGATGGACGAATTAACGGCTCTTCGAAATTCAACCTCCGCAACTAGAGCAACTCGCGCCGAGACGCGCAATTCTGCCAACTTCCAAGTTTCATCACTGGGGTAAGATTGTATATTCTCTCAATACAGTACATAAAATCGCGTTTCCGCGAGATTTTCTCATTCTGCCGAGCATAGCAGTGCGTGTCTCCTTCATAACCAAGATATAATCGAGATATATAATCATTATTCAAATCCATAATCAAAGTACAATTTTTACTCGTATTCTTCACACTCGTTATCTTTTCATATTCAGAAATCAATTAAAGACTACGATCTCCTGAAGGCAATTGAATCGACGACCGCGACACAGAGGCTGAGCCCTGCGATCCTTTACCTTCGCTGGAAGGTGAGACCGTGATCAACGGGGTCTGCGGGCCTTCGCCGACCGAGGTGAGAGCTGCGATGCTGAATTCGTATTGGCTCCTCTTGTGCAGGTCCTCGGCTTGGTAGCTGGTCTGATGCGGCAGCAAGGTCCTCCTGTGCCACTTGCCGTCCGGTCCTAGCGGTCGAATGTGTACGTTGTAGGCCGTGATGTTGCCGTTGCTCTTCAACGGCGGCTGCCAGGAGACGATGATGGACGTGGCCGAGCTGGCGACGGCCTTGACGCCGGCCGGTACTTCCGGCAGGTCCTCTTCGGTGACGCAGAAGAGCGGCGACGAGGCGACGCCGTCGCCGGCCTTGGTGGACGCTAAGACCTGGACCGAGTAGTTGGTGTACTTCTCCAGGCCGTGTATTACCACGGTCAGGGCAGTGGTGATCTTCATCTCTGGCTTGATGGACTCCGCTAATGCGTCCGTGCTCTCCCACATGACCTTGTAGCCCTTCAGATTGCCGTTCAGGCTGGAGTCGGGCGGGGAGTCCCAGGAGACTTGCAAGGACTGCGAGGAGAGTGCCGTGCAGCGCACGTCCAGCGGCGGACTGCTCGGGACTGGAAGCGCGTTTTAGCCGAGGCATTAAGATCGTCGTTTTTGTACGAGGCAGTCTGTGTGTTATCGCCTGTCACGCGTTGAGCGCTCACGGCGATCGTGCGATTTTGTGCAACATGTCTGGCACGTCTAATGAGTCGTACAATCAATTGTTGCGATTAAAAAAGCACCGGGGATTTTCAGCATGCTAAAGACACTGATTTCTCAAGTACTGATATACGAAACCAATTCGATCTGAAGTAAGTAACGACTCAAAACACTCTACGAGCGGCTATTTGTCCGTGAAATTAAAATTTCGCGGGATTTCAGCAAATTAATTCCGACAACCTGCCGGAGATAGCTTTAAATCGACGATACCTTTTTACATCAGCTTCGCATAGTAAGCTCTCTCCGGAAGAACGTAGAAAACGACGTTGCGACTCGTAAGATGTGTCTATTGCACTTGAGATGCCGCGCAGCCTCAACGGCGGCGACTTGAATGCGTACCCGAATAGAATATTCGAAGGGGTTCAGATGTAAAATCGAAAGGGATCCGCGACCTCGTCGGGATGACTGCTGCCGCGATCGAAAATATCGGAGTGCAATTGAAAGTTTCGCCGGGTGAGTCCTCCATTCGTGAAGATAGGATTAAAGAAGAAGTTATTTGCGAGTGCGGATCGCGTTACCGCGCCGCGGGAGTCGATAGGGGGGGGGGGGAGGAGGCTGCCGCATCTGAATTTATTATTTATCCGGAAGTCGTGCGGCAGAGCCGCGCACGTTGGTATTCATGGCGGAATTCATGATAGGCTCACGGCAAGCGCGAATATTATTCTCTTCATGAATTTTTGAAGGCGCCCGAGGCGCGATGTAAAAATAGACGTCTGCGCGAAAGAACGTAGTGAGACGCTCGACGTCGCCGAACGAGCCCGCGAATCGATAATATGTCGAGTGCTAATTTTGGTCGTTCGATGGCACGTGCATCCTCTCGTCGCTTAGTTCGGCTAATCTCGTAAAATCTGTGATGCGAGTTAAATCGAGTGTCTATCTTAAGCAAAATCACGTCGCATTCGTTCGAGAGAAGTAATCGTCTGCGTAAGAAGACTGGTTTAAAAATTCACTTTAAAATGTAGCAGGGATTAATTGAGAAAGTTTTTCTTTTTTTTTTCACTTTAAATGATCACGCGAAATTAATATTCTATAATCACACGTACCGGAATCAGCGATTCCTCATCCTGAGAAAAAAATATTTTAAATTCGCGATCATCAATCATTCCGTGAGACAATTATAGCCGGAAAGTCACTTTTGTAGAACGTGCCGCTGCGTGATGTTTGTCGCTAATAATCATGCTATTTTGTCCTTAGAATAGTAAAAGAGTACGATTAACGCGGAAAACGTGACAAAATTCTCGTCGAGGTTAACCATTGTTTTTCTCTCGCGGTGCAGCTCTCCGACGAGCGCTCGTCGACCTGGAAGTAGACGCCGGTCGATGCGGTTTTCACGGTCGCTTACCATCCTCGAGCGTCGTCGCCTGAACTTCCTGTGCGATGGGGCCGGGACCGAGGGCGTTGAACGCTTGAACGACTACGCTGTAACGCGTGTACTTCTTCAAGTTCGTCAAGTGATGCTGCCGCTCGGGCATGGAAGTCCTCGCTAGACCCAAGGCGACGCTCGCCGTCGAGATCCGTCTTTCCACAGTTTTGTACGTATACTGCTCCGCGCCGAACCTGAATTTCGCGAAAGTGTTCATTACACCTGGCTGGTGTGATTAATTAGTTTGCCGGGAGGGTGTCGAGTATCTCCCTTTAATCCCAAACTTGTCAGACTGGAGACTGGCAAACTTAAAATTGGATTAGAATAAAAAATACAAAGACGATATAAATTCTCAAGTGCGACAAGAGAAGCAGAAGGGCATTGTTTCTTAGGGGATAGTTTTAGCGTGGATAATTTATGAGATAAGCAACGATCAATTGCCCAATTAATAATTAATGTAGATACGATAACTTTTTACAAATACAAAATACTAATAACATTCTGATATGACGAATTGGGAGCTGCGGATTCAACGAGTCAGAATCGCGACCTGCGTCATCGCGAGTTTCGCGAGTGTGTACCGCAGAAAATATAAACTAGCGCATCTCTCTCCCAAAGGCATGAAAAATTGACGTCGATGCATATACAATGGCGTGTAATAAACACAATGCGATGAAACGATATAAATAAAGCGCAGCCGCCCGGCTGAAAAATAAAACGCGGGGTTTTTTTTTTCGAGAATTTGTCGGTGCTGCTTCTGGTGCGGATAAATAACTGACCCCGAGATAACGCGTCGTTTATTAATGGCGCGCGATTTTACGCTATCAGTTCCATAGGCGAAATCCAGGGCGTCGGAGCTTTCGCTGTCGCGCGCGTACGAACGAGGAGGCACACTCGTATTTGTCAGGGAAACGTCTCGCGGATATAACGACGCTATTTTCGATTGTTACCTCTGTTCCTTGTAGCCGACGTGATAACCAAGTATCTCGCCGTTCCATAAATCATGATCAGGCGGGTCCCAGGTAACGTTGAACTCGGTGGAGCTGATGGGATCAACTTTGAGATTTCGCGGTGGTCCGCCCGGCTTCTCCCCCTCCGTCGTAGCCTCTAAAATCTGAAAAAAAGCCCGCGCTGATAGCCCCTGCCGCTGCCCACTTTGCTCTCACCGTGCCCACTTTCGCCGCAGCGTTTTTGTTTCAATAAATCGTCGCCGAATTAAAACCCTGATTTTTCCCGCAATTCTCGCCCCGCTGTTAATTCGAGATGCGAAATTCGTGAAATGAAAAAAAGCCATTATATCCGGGTGTAGCTTATGCTTTTTTATGTTTGTTATTTTATACGCGATCAAATTTTTCACAGTAACGAGAGCGAAATGGAAAAAGAGGGAAGGAAAAAAGGAGGTAACCCCATCCTAACGGGGCGGAATCGCACGATGAAATTAAACGCCAACGATCGCACCGCGACGATGCGCAATCGGCGGTTTAACGGTAGCTCGAAGGGAGAGAGAGAGAGAGAGAGAGAGAGAGAGAGAGAGAGAGAGAGAGAGAGAGAGAGAGAGAGAGAGAGAGAGAGAGAGAGAGAGAGAGAGAGAGAGAGAGAGAGAGAGAGAGAGAGAGAGAGAGAGAGAGAGAGAGAGAGAGAGAGAGAGAGAGAGAGGGAGAGGGAGAAAGTCTCTAATTCTGATATCCCGCGTTCAGGAAAATACGCGAAAGGACGGTCGCGCATCACGGGGATTCCACGGTGACAGAAACGAATTCGGTCGGATGCGCCCGATATTTCACTTGAAAGCGTCGCAGCGGCGTTCCGCAGCCTGTTTCCTTAAATGCGGGCGAATTCTTTCTCGCGGCAAGGACAAAAAAAAACGAAGAAGCACAAGAGGGTCGATATGCTCGAAAGGGCAGCGGCGCAATTTAAATCCAGGCCAACGATGCGGCAGCACATCCGCCGAGAAGCGACGGAAAGAGGAAAAAAGAGACAGACAGAGAGAGAGAGAGAGAGAGAGAGAGAGAGAGAGAGAGAGAGAGAGAGAGAGAGAGAGGAGGAGAGAAAGAGAGAGAGGAGGAGAGATTCGTTTCGCGAGGTGAGATAGCTTTTTTTACACGAGCGTATCGATCGACGCCGGTCCCCGACCTGGGTGTCCCAATTGTTTTAATTCTCGGGGGCGAGAACGAGCGAGAGTCAGGCTGCGGGTGAGGGAGGAGGGAGGGTGTCGGCGACGAAACGAGCGTCGACGAGAGAGATTTGACTTGTAAATGCCCGGTCGTTTCTGGCCGATACCTACGTCGCTCGCTTGACTCCGACCCAGTTCGTTGTCCGCGTATATCCGGAACTGGTAAGTGACCGCAGGACGCAAGCCGCTCACGTGGCCATGAGCACGTGTACCCGGCACCGTCGTGTGGAACGTGTGGTCGTGCCATACCTCTGCAAGATTGAGCGATCATTCCGCGGGGGAGAGGGGCTTTAATCCGAAGGATCGACGGCCGGAAACGCAGGCAAGGTGAAATTGTCGCGGCACTGATCCGCAGAGGATTCTACCGGCGGCGCTTCTACGGCGGAGCTTGTTCACGATAAATCTTAATACTCCGGCTCTTTAATCAAACGTGCGATGATTCTCGTGTTTCCGTTCCGTCCGGATACCGACCCGTTCGGTGGCCGTCGGTGGACTCGTGCGCGACTCGTTTTTACGACGCGGACGCTGAGTCAAATTCTCACTGCGATATGATTGCACTCACCCGACTCGGTCTTGTACTCGATTATGTACTGAGTGATCGGACTATTCCCGTCTTGACTAGTCGTCCAGCCCAGGTTGATGTGGCGACTGCCTTTCTCGATTACGTGAAGGTTCCGGGGAAAGTCTGGAGGCTCTGCGAGCAACATCGATATTATCTTGCTGGATCCTAATTCCGTCTTCAAGGATAACCTTTTTTTTATTTAATTTTTTATTAACTTTTATTTAATTTCGCAGGTATAGCGGTACGCAATATCCTTTCTTTCTGTTTATTCCTTGTGTGTTTGTACTGTTTGTTAAATGTTTGCTTTCTCGAATTCTCCTATTTGCGCTCTCTCTCTTTCGAAAACTTATTCTTTCAATTCTAGAGAGAAAATGATTATTTTACATTGGCCGAGGTCTTCAAGAATTCGGCGCGAGATGATAACAAATCGCATTAGTCGCCCCTAATTCTCACGAATGTTCCGCAGCGTGAAATTAGAGAGTTTGATAATTAGCTGAGAATTTTCGTCTAATCCCGCGCGCGCGCGCGCGCGCGCGTTGCGACCGACGGAATAATTTTCAGTTACGGTACGATTGTCGCGTTCCACATTATGCATATTTCACGGGTTATCCGGCACAATACAAGTCCGCTCGAAACGTATCTCATTTTGGAGAACACGTACGCGAGAGAGCCGCTGCTCATCTATCTCGCGGCGCGCGTACTTGCGCGGACGTACATTAAATTAAATGGACGCGTTGTCGAGTGCCTGTATACATTACGATAATTACGTCCAGCGGAATAGCGCTACGCATAAACATCTGGCGATGCCCCGAAGGCAACATAACGATTCGCCCGTTTCGTAATAATTTCATGCGTTCCATTAATAACCTTATAGCTTCACGCCGACAATTATTAACGTCTGCGTCATTATCGCGATTATTTCTATCGCTTCATTTCTCTCTCTCTCTCTCTCTCTCATTTCTTTCTTTTCGTTTCGTCGGATGATACTGCTGGAATTGTAGGCCGCTACCGCTTCGCTCTCTCGGCTGAATCTCTACATTTATTTCCGTAATTTGACGCGCATAAGCGGCTCTCGAGAGATTTCCTCCGGAATCCAGACAAATCTATTTTCTGTGTCCTCCTACCTTGAATATAAAGATGAATTGTCATCTCGTCGCGACCGTAGGAGTTGGAGGCGATGCAGAAGTACCTTCCGCTGTCTTCGCGACTGGTACTGACGAAACCGAGGACGCTTATGGTGCCGTCGGTGGTGTTGTCCTCCTTCAGGGTATAACGATAGTCGGGAAGTTTCGGCTCTAATTGGGAGCCGGCTTTCTTCCAGACTATTTTCAAAGGATGATCGCCCTTCGCCTCGCAGCGCAACGAGGCATTCGAGCCTAGCCTCGCCGTCTGATTGCGATGTTTCTCCACGAAATGCGCGGGAACTGCATCAAGGAACAGCGAATATGCAGAATCGAGGCGTGCATTTATTTCAGGATGCGACGGTGCTCGCGAAAATGTCTTTTGATCGAATTGGGCTTTCGCAACGGTGCCGAGTGATGAAAAATGACAAATATGATTTAGACCGATCGATAACGCGGACAAATTGACGAGAGTGAGTGATTCTCTCTCCCGCTTTATCGAAATAATTTATTTTGTTGTCAATTATAATCCAGTGGTCATCATCGTATTGTAAATTTTATGATATTTTTTAATAAATTTTTAATAAATGTTTTAATAAATTTTAATAAATTTATACCTTTACATGAATTTCTCATTTTACAATTAATTCGAAATTACGTTTTCGATGATGCATAAATTACTCGAGACTTAAAAATGCCGAGTTCTGTATTAAGAGATGAGAGAGTTGCGAGTTTATATATTTACATTATTTTCCAAGACACATTATCAATCAAATATCCGTTGATCCGTTGATGCTTGCTCTGAAAACTAACAGATCGTGCTTCGCAGAAACTCAAAGGTGTTCGGGCAATTTGATTATTTTGTGAGAAAATATTTCTCATCGCGACAGTGGGTTAAAGCGGATTTAATTGACTGCATGCGCTAAATGCGTTGTTACGCCAATGATACTCGGGATTATCCGTGAAATCCAATTAGAGCTAATCACCAATTAGCGGAGGAATAATCTTTCCCGGAGGAATGTTATGGTCGGCGAGGATATTTCACCTCGCAAATTGCGCATACCAAAAAGTAGCAACTCAGCAGCAACTGCACGTGATAGCGGGAAATACAATATCCTGTTGTAACGAAACGTTTTTCTCTTATCAGACAGTAAAGAGAGAAACACCGAAGGAAACGCCGCGCGTTTCTCTCAGCGAGAAACGATTCAATTGTCATCGAATCGTTTTGTATCTCCTCTCTTTGTATGTCATCACGTGAGGACGTACCGTTGACAGTGAGATACACGACTTTGCTGAGTCCGGCTCCGATGCCGTTTACAGCCTCGCAGAGGTAAAAGCCCTCGTGGTCCTCCTGCACTCGGCCAAACACCAGCGAGCCGTTGGAGTGTATCCTCAGGTCCTGCACGTGCTCGTGATTGGTTATGTCGCGATAATTGCCGGGTTTCTTGCCGTTACCACGTCGCCAGGTGACCAACGGCGGTGGGAAGCCATCGGCGTGGCAATGCAGGCTCAGCCGGGGCATCCCCTCCGACGCATGGGCATCCTGCGGCTCCACCACCCAGCGTGGCGGCACTGATCCACAATGCACGATCATTAATCGATTGCCTCGGTCGCCCCCGACGTGTGGATGCCACTAGAGCGACGCGGTCCGGAAGTTCAATCGCGATTATTCTGCGCGTTCCGATGCCCGTTCGGCAATTTGGAAATTTGAAAAATTCCTCGATACCGATGACTCGGGAGAAATTCGGTCGATACAGAGACAACAGCTTTCCGTTTCCACTAGAGTGACAGAGTCTGATGCTTCGAGGATTATAAAATTGCATTATAAAATTGCTTCGTTTGATCAGGGCTCAGAACCATTTTAGTTCCAGACGCTCAGTCAATTATCTTTTGTAATCGTCATAATTAGGAAGCTGGTCTCTGGGTGAATTTTCGTCGACGGGTGATGTCGACAGTAGATTGGCGGAAATTGATGCTCGATCGAATAATTGAGCCGAGAAATTAGCATTAACGTAACGGATCTTGACAAGATCGCGTCTTATCAGAACTTGGAGCGCGGAGACGCTCTGCCGGACCCTGTCGCGCGTTTCTCTATCTAAGCTTATTGCGCCGAGGCAAGAGCGAAAAGTTTCCGGGAAGAGGATTGGCCTACTGCAACTTCCTACTTCAGCCGCGAAAGTAAAGAAAAATAGGATTTGAAGGTGCGCGCGAGGGAGAGAGCTGGAGTAGTGCCCTCTCGGGATTGCGGATAAACGGCGCGAAACTTTCGCTGATAAAAATTACGGACTGTCCGCCAAATGCATTGGCGAATTGCTCCCCTCTCTCTCTCTCTCTCTCTCTCTCTCTCTTTCTCCTTCACTCTTTCTCTTGCCGTCTGTCTCTTTCTTTGTCTCGTGGACATTGTCGGCAGGAAAAAGAATGGACACACCGAGAGACAGGGGCAGAGAGGAAGTGAGAAAGAGAGAGAGAGAGAGAGAGAGAGAGAGAGAGAGGGAGAGAGAGAGAGGAAAAGACAAAGGAACGGGAGAACAGAGGGAGAAAAGAGTGCAGAGAAAAAAAACGGTGCCAAATGCGCGCGGTGGGGGATCTTTTTTTTCCAGTGGCGACAAACGGTGAAATAATATCGACGATAAACACCGCGATAACCACAGAGAACAGAGCGATACGATAAATCGGTGCTGTGCGAGCATTTCGGCCCAATACCATACACAAATGTGCACGATCAATTGTTGCGTACAAATATACACAGTGCGCAAAATGCGCGCCCCGCCGCCGAACGTTTGTGCATCGAATTATTCGCGCAATCATTTGCATAATGCGCCGTGTATTTATGCATTTGCGAGCGAATTATTGCCCGATCGTGATTAATAATAATGAAGGTTCGAACGGACGAAGAACACACCTGTGTGTATGCCGTGCAGTTGTAGAAAAAGTTTAGTCGCGTAAATAGAATTGGATTATTTCTCGTGCTGAAAAGCCCGCGTGTGCGATTAATGGTAAAGCGTCGTAGAATTGAGATGAACCAGCTATTAATTTTTACATCGCTAAGACAATTAGGCCAGTTCTGTCCCCGAGAATAACAAAGATACGAATTTATCGCCCCGGCCTACGAGCAAGTTTACGTCCCTTCGATCCTTTCGTTCCCTTCGGTATGGCTCGAGTGATTTTGCGAACGAATAATGACCGCGTTAATCATCGCCTTTCTTTGCTGGCAAACGTTCGGATCAAGCGAGGCTGATTCTTCTCGGTGCGAGGCGGACTAGATAGGTGGCATACGAATTCTCGTGACGCAGGGTGAAGGAAAAAAAGAAAGTGTAGACGGAAGAAAGAAACGAAACGAGGAGGGAACGTCGCAATAGGGAGCCGGTGCCAAGGGATTAGTGGCGCTCGAGACCAAATAAGAGAGAAAAATAACTGAAAAACGTGTCAGTGCAGATATGCGTGTGCTGGGTGAAGTGAACGTGACTCGGTGCTCCAAATTGAACTACAAGATTGCTGCTGCTGCTGCTGCTGCTGCTGCTGCTGCTGTTGCTGCTGCTGCTGTTGCTGTTGCTGCTGCTGCTGCTGCTGCTGCTGCTGCTGGCTCGTGTAACTCGCTGGCTCAAGACGGAGTGGTACTATATGCGAAGCCGAATTTCGTAAAGTGCCTGTGTTGGCCCTCGCATGCAATACATCCTTCATTCTACGTTACTGCGATCGTATCGAATATGACAAACGCGCGGACCTCGTATCGGTCGCGAGTTGCCCGCTCGACTTTCGTTCCCTGCTTCGTCGTTCGGAACGAGACACGATGTTTAGCAACGACGAAAGATTAATGAAAGAGTTTGAGTCAGTCGATAATAATAATAATAATAATAAAGTCAATAATAATGATAAATCATTTCAGAGATGCAAAGTCAGATAGTTACCATTTAAAAGGTGAGTCACCAAGTGGTGAATATCGATGACGGACACAGTGGATCAAACGTGGCGTCTACCGTCTCCCATTATTATCGACAAAAAAAAAACGTGAATCAAGAAATCAAATAATAATGAATTTAATAAATTTTTACAAGCTCCCTACGCGTGATTTCTTTGCGTGATCTCACGTAGCAATGTCAAAGTTGCGCTCTGATAACCGTCAGTCCGTCCGTCTCTCATATCGATTCGCAATTATTATTCTCGATTTATGATACTTCACTTCTCGTTCCACATATTTTGCATATTCTGTACCTCACACATATATCGTGTCTCGTTTCCTACATCAGTGGCCCCCAACGCGACGCCAATCGGCATGTTCGAGTCGTAGATCTCTGTGTGATTTGACGAGTGACTGTTACGCGAACACTGTCGAGACGTAAATTTCCATCGAGAGAGGAGAGCGTCGTTATCCTCGCCGCGTTTTTCTCACCAAGTCCTGGCCGTCGATGGGTTGGGTGCCACTGCGTTAGACACCCGCGGAATTAATGCGTCCGAGGCGAATGTGCGATCGCAGTACTTAATTATCGCGACAAGGGGCAGAGAGAGGTGCGAGTTGGACGGTGCGCTCGTGTTGGATACATATCTAGATAGAAAATGTACGGTGACCGTGGGGGTGAAACGCTATATTATGCTGTGCTCAAGTGCGTTGGTGCGACGGGTTGCTGGCTGGGCGACGGCTGCTGCTGCTGCTGCTGCTGCTGCTGCTGCTGCTGCTGCTGCTGTTGCTGCTGCTGCTGCGTCATTTCGCGCGTATCGTCTCGAAAAAAAGTATCGTCTCTAGAGCTGCCTGCGTTTACCCGGACGGCGAATTGTTGCGCCCATCTCGCGTGTATACGCGCGCGCGCGAAAAAATCCCGGTCGCGACTTTTGCAAACTTAACGAGCGAGTCTCGCGAAGAATACCGCCGCGGGGAAATCTTGGTCGTTGCGAGTCCAGAGATAGCGGAAGATCGAGGATACTGTCGTAACGTTGGGAAAAATTGCCGAATGCGCCGTGCGTTATTCGTGCAAGAGCGAAGCTCCTGAAGGCGTAACTGAAACGGACGAAACATCGGGGTAATTTAACGTTAGCCGTAGCGCCGTGCGCTAACGCGCACTGTATCTATCGAAGTTCCAACGGTGATTTCTCTCCACCTCTTGACGTCGCGCGTCGAGTCGTCGTAATTTAATAATCACCTCGCTCCCGGCCCGAGTCTCGATGCAACTTTATCCGCTCCATTTCCCACGCGACGTCCCGCGTCGTTCCGGTTAATTACACCGCGCGGTATATCGGCTAATTAGATCGCGATTATTACACCGCGGGCGAAGCGGCCGAGCGTCGGTCGGCGCGCGAGAGGCGCGATCCGCTCGCTCGGATTCGGCGGGCAATTTTTGCGGCGCGATTATCAGCCGCACGCGGCCCCAACAATAACGCGCGCGAGGGCGCCCGCTTAACGGCGTGTGTGCCATAACTCACGGCGAGAGGACGGATATTACTTTCGCGCGCACAAAGCTACGGAGAGACCGCACCGCACCGCACCGCGCCCCGGCACGTTCGAATTTCGCGCGCGCGCGCGAGCGCGCGGAACCAACACGATCGACGTCCTCGTCGATACCCGGATATCCGCTCGGCTACAAAATCCAAGCGTCGCCCGCAGCCCTAGTGTGACTCGCATCATGCTACTTTCCGACAAACGGCTGCGGTGGCTGCTGCTGCTGCTGCTGCGGCTGCGGCTGCGGCTGCGGCTGCGCTTACGTGACGGCGATACAGCGGCCACGGGTGAATGGGATCGAAGGGTGACTCGGCATTTAAATTGAAAACGCTCCATTTTTACATCGCGGCTACCCTCGTCCGCTGATCGTCAGGAAATTAATATCGCTTTCTATCGCCGCGATTTATCTAAATCATGCCTCTCCCAGCTTTCGCAATTCCCCGACAGAGCCCCCGGCAGAGCCCCCCAGCTCTGTAGCTTCGTCGTCATCGTCGATTAGCGTCGACTCTTGCGCACGTCTCTCGCGGAAGAAAGTTATACTCGAATATCGCGGCTCGACACATAACAGGCTCTGCACAATCGGAAGATATAGTTCGAAGTTATTATTACGATTTTTGTCCGCCCCCCCCTCCCCCTCCCCCGCCCCCCGGTGTCCGTCAACGACGCGGACGAACTTTGTCAAACTTTAAACAGCCGGCGGCACGTTTCACGTGCTCGAATTTTCAGCTCTCACGAGTCTCCCTTAGAGGCCTGAAACCGATTTGATTTATCGAAATTCGAGCGAGTGTTTCGGCCGAGCATTCTCCTTGATCACACAGAATCCATGTCGGAAACAAAGATCCAATCCGCGACCACCCTGCGACCCCATCATCGCCCGCCGTCACTATACCGTCGCAAAGACAATGGTGCGCTGCCAGGTGCAAGACAGTGACGTGTGAAAGAGAGAAAGAGAGAGAGAGAGAGAGAGAGAGAGAGAGAGAGACAGAAGAAAAAGAAACGAGACACACAAACTCGGTGCGATCCGCGCTAGCTGGCTCTCTACTTTACCACGAACGATCAACTCGGCCGTCCAGAGGACCTCGGCCACCGAATTGCGTGCCAGGCAAGTATAGTTGCCGGTGTGCGCGGCGGTGACGCGCTCGATAACTATGGCGCTGGAATGGGCGTCAATGTTGGTTACGCGCAGCCCAGGTGGTGTCTGCGAGTGTCGGGGATCGTTAACGGCCGCAGCGGCGGCGGCGACGGCGGCGGCGGCGGCGGCGGCGGCGGCGACGGCGGCGGCGACGGCAGCGGAGCCGAAGGCGGCGGCCGCCGTGCCAGGGGCGGAAATCGGTTCGCCGTCCTTCGACCAGACGATCGTGAACGGCGGATCGCCCTTCTCGACCATGCAGGTCACCTGGGCCCGCAGGCCCTCCGACAGGTCCTTCTTAAAGCTAAAGGGAGCTATCGTGGGTGGAACTGCACAAAAAAGAGAGAGAAACAGGTGACTGTGAGTGTGAGTGGTGTATATGTGTGTATGCGCGTACGTATACGTGTGTGTGGCCTTGGCGATGATCGGTCCGGCGCGGCGGTTCAGCCCCGCTTCGTGAAGCCGCTCGAGAGAATCTTGTCGCGCGCAGCTTCCTCCGCACCTTCTGACCTGAGTCGGTGAGCTGGCGTCGCCTAAACTGCTGGAGGGAGGACTTTTCCGCAGCTAGATTTTCGACACATTGCGGCTTGCTCGCGTGGAGGAGGATCGCGAGAGTCAGCTCGCGGAAGTAGGTAATTGGTAGAAGCGAGAGAACACGGCAGGACGCGAGTCCTGCCGCGCGCGCCGCGGATAAAACTTGTCCGCCGGCGTTCACCGACCCCGAGAACAGACCGCACCGTTGGTGAAGCGCGCGTCGGAGAAACAGCGAGTCGAGCGAAATTGTTGCGATAGTAGTTTGATTCTCCGAGGGTAGTTCGCTGAGGCCGGTTAACAACGGACGGCGGGATCCGCCGGCGAGTTCCGACCGGATGTTTGGCTTGAGAAGTCCGAGTCTCGGCGGCTCAGCGGATCCCCCCGGGAGAGATTTTTCAGTCTCGTCGTATATGCGCGCGCGCGCGCGCGAGGAGCAGTTGTCGTTGACGCTGTTTTTGCATTCGAGAGGCCGTCGAGGGACGCCGGTTACTTTGTAATCGCAGGCGGAAATGCAGCATCGGCCATTAGCCAGTCGAGTGTGCACACCTCGGCGCTTCGGCATGACTCCGTCGAGTCGCCGCTCTCCCGTATGTATGTACATGTCGGCGTTTCTGTAGTGTTGTAGTCGCGTAGGTGTGTTTGTATTGGAAAAAAAGTAACATTGAATTAAAAAGAAAGACGGAGTTGAGAGAAACAAAGCGCTCGCAGCAATGTTATTCCGTTCACGTCGAGCGCCGTTGCCGTCAAACGGCGCTCGCAGGCAATTCTCGACTTATGGCGGCCGGTACCGACGATATCCATTACGCGAACGTCTGGCCGTACGTTCCCCGTTTATTAAGCGTTTCCACGAATCTTTCGTAACGCCACGGCAACTTCTCCTGATTCTTTTTTTTTCTCTTTTTATTATCGCTCCATCCAGAATCACCGTGCGCGTCGCAAATCGCGAACAACCCCGTCCGATGTCTCTCCGCATCACGAACGACGAAAGGATTACGGCCCCGCGATGGCGTCGTAAACGTCGTGCCGTTTCACGCGCCTCTCCTCTCTCTCTCTCTCTCTCTCTCTCTCTCTCTCTCTCTCTCTCGCCGTCTCTCTCCGGTGAGTGTTTCGACGCCGGCATATTTCGCGAAATATGCGAGCGGCGAAAACAATCAAGCGGAGAGGGAGGATCTCCCGCTTCATCGCCCGGTTGTCGACTTTTCGAGGAGAGAGGGGGAGAGAGAGAGAGAGAGAGAGAGAGAGAGAGAGAGAGAGAGAGAGAGAGAGAGAGAGAGAGAGAAAGTACGCGCGCCCAGGCTACGTACGCGGCTACGTATGTCGCGACGCGCGTAATGCCGCGGAACGACAATAATAACCTGCCTCGTTGCACCGTGTGATACGTATACAGGATGTATCCGGAGTAGAGCCCCGGGGGTATTAGAACAGAACGCAGCGCTTGTTTGAGAATAATTGAGGAACCGCGCGGTAGGGAACTAGATAGCGCAACGTAACGTGAGTAATGCCCAAAGAGGTCTGTCGCGCGTCTATATGTACACGGCGACGTACTATGTACACCATGTATATATATATACACACGCAACACACATATTATATATATATATATATATACATATATACATGTGTGTGTGTGTGTAAATGTTCCCTATATATGTAGAGGGTAGTACAAAGTGATGGTGTAGGAGACGGGGTGGAGATGCTACGACGATGGTGACGATGACGGCGGCGGCGGCGGCGGCGGCGGCAGCGACGAAGTAACAAAGAAGCTCTCGCTGTCACGTTGATAAATTTCGTAGCATAGTTTCGGGAAGTAGCGCGACGCGCGAGTTTCTCCGCCGCTCGGGGAAGATAATTTGGCGGTCGACGTCCTTAATTGGCGAGCAGCGTTATCGATTGCGCGAACACGCCGAGTTAACCCTCGCGGTCGCGTCCTTCTGGATTGAACTCACGAGTGAGCGACTTTGAACGAGTCGAATTGAAATATTTTCGACATATTGTCTCGGCGCTTGAATATCAGGCGCCAGAGAGAAACTGTAAGTAAGTAGACGAAATGCGGAATTTATTTAATGGCTGGAGTTATCGAGATTCGTTCTGCGAGACGGTAATATTCTCGTCTGGATCGGCATCACTCTATGCTCATTCTCGTTATTTTTCATTCACAACACAGTTATTTTTATACACAGGCATTTACTTCCGAACGCGTTAAGAAGAGTCCGCCTCGAGTGGAGCTTTCGCTCGAGGTAATTTCACGGCGAATTCATCGTGGAGCAGATGAAGCTTTTTGCTGCGATTCACATAAACACACGCATCCCATGTCTCTTACGGAAATTAGAAATGAAGGTGGAATTGTCCCGAGCGGGGAGCAGAAAAAAGGGAGTAATTTTTTCTATCGTCACGCGGCGCGCGCTCAGCAGCGTGAACGCGCGTGGCTTAATTTCATCGCGCACGTGCCAAGGGTACAAGTAAATAAAACACGCGCATAAGAGACGGAGAAAAAAGGGAAGAGCGAGGAGGGACGATCTGTCCGTTCCTCCCCGCTCCCCGTCTGTTCTTTGCTCGTCGTCGACGAAACGCGGAAATCACCCTTGGGCGGCTCGTTCGTCCGCGTCGTCGGCGGGAACTCTGTTCGTCGTTTCGCTCGCAGCGATTTGCTCGTCGAAAGAAGCGCTTTTAATGCACACACGCCAACCTCTCATGGCGGTGGAGAAATGTAAACGCGGACAGGCGACGGGGGGATGATGTCTCGTCGACAAGGGTTGTAATACACATCGCCCATCGACGACTACGGATGTGTGCACAGGCCGTCCCTTATTTTGCAGCCTTTGAGTGATAAATATCTCGCCGCTATTTTTGCTTCCTTTATAATAGAACACAGCGGCTCACTCTCTCTCTCTCTCTCTCTCTCTCGATATAATCGCGCAGGGGATTATCGATTGTGTTATCTTTGATGAAGCTTCTCGCTTTTTTACTTTTCATCGCGTCGAATCACGTTTGATCGAAACTCGTCGTTTTTTCACGCTCGAAAAAAGAGGGTAGAGTAGAAGGAAAAAAAAAGATCGAATTCCCGATTTTCAGGGGAACTCTCTGTGGCGCATTTTCACTTCTCACTTCTCTCTATCGCGGAACGATTCGTCACGATATCCCTTCGTGCGCGCGAATTCGCGCGGCCAAGTGGCCGCGATTGAAGTGTGTCGCTCGTCGATTAATAGCGACTATCGCGTTTTCCCCTCATTTTTCCCCGCCACGCTTCGGCATTCGCGAACGGCCGGCAACAGGGACGCACGTAACCGCGCGTCAAGAGCGCGGCGAGGAGAGAGCTTTCAGCGAAATCAATTCCGGACACGGAAGAACCGACGCGACGACGCGCGCTGTGCGTCCACTGAGGAAACAAAACAAAAGTGCTCGCTCGAGCATGGAAACTCGACTCGAGAAATCCGCGCAGCGATAGTTTGCGCGGGGGAAATTCTTGGGATCGCACACGACGAGATCAAACGCGGGCTGATCTCCGCGGAGTGCAACGAAGTCGTCAGCTCGACGAGGGACAATGAGCCGAAATGAGGCGACCGCGCGCGCGACGAAAAGATCTTTTCCGTCGCACGAGAGAAGTCGAAATGAAAAGAGGAAAAATCCGGCGAAAGGCGAGAGTCGCGATCGCTTTCGCTCTTCATTGTAAGGGACGGATGTTCGGGTGGCTTCGAGGTTTGTGAGATATCGGGGGAGGGTTTCCGGTCTCTGGACACCGGTTACTGCGTACCATGGACCAACAGGGACGCCGTGCGGGACGTTTTGGCGGCATCGTTGCTCGCCACGCAAGTATAGTTGCCGTTATGCGCGGTAGACGCGCTCTGTATCCTCAACGCGAGATCAAACTCGCCGATATGATGAGTGGTGGCTTCCCGCGGCTTCAACGGCCTGCCATCCTTCAGCCAGGTGATCTTCAGGGGTGAATCGCCCTCGCTGACCGCGCAGGTCACGTGCACCCGCGCGCCCGCCTGGATATTGGCGGGAAAGCTAAACGGATCGATCTTAGGTGGTACTGCAAATTACAGGAAGCACTAGCTTTATTTTCAGGTGGCGACGACGTGCGTCGTCGTCCTTGTCGTCCTTGTCGTCGTCGTCGTCGTCGTCGTTTTTGTCGACGTCGGCATGGTCGAGGTGTCTAGCGTCGCGTCGCGTCGTGCCGAAAGGAGCGATTGAATCGAGAGGAGTAAGAACCTGCGAAATGTTCCTTTCACGTGTATTTGCGGCTGCGAGTGAACGGACAATTGTTTATGTAATATTCCGACGCGCCGTGCAAGCGGAAGAAGCGATGCTACCGCATGTGCCGCATGCTGGTCGGAGAACGTTGCACACTGGACCAGCTCCAAGTCGTAGGGTAGCATTGATTCTTTCGCTCGTGAGTTGTCCTTCGTTTCTCGCTTGGAAATCATTCTCCGGCAAAAAGATCCGGGCAGCGTGTTTACGCCGCATGACTTACGGCATTTGTCACGCGAGGTTCAACATGGTTATGGAATATATATATCGTTCGTGGAATATTAAAAAATCTACACACGTAAGTGTGCGCACAGACATGCGTGCTGCGCGAATGGCTTTAGCAGCTCGATGTCCTCTCGACTCAAAGGATATTGGTCACCGGTGTGCATGAGCGAAGCTCACAAGACTGTGTGATCCGACATTCTCGGTAATCCTCGCAAACACATTTCATCACATATCCTACCTGCGTGTTTTGCTCGACGTGATGATCGCAGCGTAAAAATCATGCATCTAAAATGGTCATTAGTCCAAGAGGAGATGTCAAGATAACATAACCGATCCGCAAGCGGTATATCTGCGCATCTGTTTCCTCGCGAAAATATTTACGAATTTAGCGAATAATAAATATTTATATAAATAAGTATTTATATAAATAATAAATACTTAAGATACCAGATCAACCCTTACTCGATGGAACAACAGTCTCCCCGAGACGAGATGAAGACGAGTGAAAGATTCAAATCCGAATTGTATCTTTTATTGCCGTCGCGGTAGAAAAAGAGAGATATCCGATCTTCGTGAGTCCCTTTAAAATGAGACCAGAGACTTACAATGCCGAATCTCCTCAGCAATATCTCGTCTCAATTGTCACACGAATTCAACAAAACCCGAGGGAGCGAATGCGTCTTTGTAGGCAGGTTACTTACTAACCCAACGACAATCGCGCTTGTAGCTTCCGCTAAACGCACCGCGACGGCGATAAATTTACAGACACGCGTATTTCATAGACAATACGAATAAACGCGCACGGAAGTCCTCGCGAAAAGTGATTTATCTCCCGAAATACCTCGCTTCGAGGGGGAAGTCTTACGGAAGTCGAACGGGGAGAGGCATCCACGTGCGCGAAAACGGTAGAAACGAAGCGGCCGGGATTTCTTTTTAAATCATAAAGAAAGCTCCCCTCCGTGCGCACTCCGTCATACGAGGAGGAGGCAGAAGAATCCCGTTCGATCTCGGAAATAACGCGCACTTGAGGTACTTCCGTCCTACTCCTATTGTACTACCACGCGGCGACTCACCACTATTACACGCGCGAAGCGCTACAAATTTCCCTGCGATGATCGGCGGGGTGACGCGTATCGAGCGAGCGGAAAAGGGAGAAAGAGGAATGAGAGAGAGAGAGAGAGAGAGAGAGAGAGAGAGAGAGAGAGAGAGAGAGAGGGAGGGAGAGACAGAGGAAGAAAGGCAGGGGGAAATTGTCGTGCTTCGAAATAAAAATCTACATTCGATAAAATGCTCGCTCTATTCCGCACGTAGCTATCAATTTAAAATTCTGATATACCATCAAAACGGTCTCTCAAAGAAAAGAAAGATGCGTCCGCACCGTATTTCATCTCGGTGCGTATCCGAGCTCTTTTATCAAACGCTTATCCGAACTCGACGTATCTTGTTCCGCGCGACTTCTAAATTTTGACGTTGGATACAAAGCGATCATCTCGCTGTTTCATAAGTCGCGGTTATATTTCCCTCGCGGTTCGCGGGTTCGAGGTTCGAGCGTTAAGAGCTTCATAAAAAATCGGAGCTTCGCGGCTTTCGGATTTAACGGCGAGTCCGGGCGCGTGCGGGGTGTGATGTATCGAGCGATTTCTTCCGATAAGTCGACTCGACGTCCTGGGCTTTTCATCGTGAAAGCCTTCGTCGCGATTACGACCGTTGCCGTGCGCGACTTTGCGGCCCCGCGTGTGGACCGCGGGAAATCCCGATAGAACGGATCGACGTCGCTCGCAGGACACTGTTGTTCCAATTTAAACGGATAAAATCGGCGTGTACGGGCGTGTGCGGCGATAGAAAGGGAGAAACGAACAAACGTGCAGGAGCGAGAGACTTTACCTTTGACTTCTATGTGAATTGTCTGCGAGTCGGAGCGACCTTGCTTGTTCTTCGCGGTGCACGTGTACGCGCCGCGATCGGTGCTGCTGTCGACGCGATGCAGCACCAGCGTGCCGTTCTGAGATACCTCCTGACGTCGACTGGTCGGCAATATTTGACCATCTGCGAGGAGAAAATGCATCGTCTCAAACGTCGTGACAGCCATCCGAAGAATGAAAATATCGACGAGCTTTCAAATTTCCGCCGGATCAGTCGGAGCGCTGGCGAATATAACGAGTCGACAACAGTTTAACAAAATACTTTTATGTCGCGTGTCACTGCGACGTTAACGTCCGAGCGTTAGTATATCGCACAGTCTCTCAATCAATTTATTATATCATACAGTTGACATAATTTTGCAAAATTTCAGACGTATGAAATTTTTGTCAAGAGAGCTTCGCACACGACGTCGCTTGCCAAGCGATTTTGCAAGAGTATCGCTTCTCGCCTCGGCGAAGAAGCGCAGATTCCAATTGAATATGGAAATCGTAGCTTACGAAAACAGGACGCTTCGATTTAAATTATGCATTTGCTTTGCGCCGCGTGCGTGGCGCGATTCGCGCGACCGTGGCGCTGCGGAAATGTGGTTTTCCACTGATTTCGCGCCACATTGGCGACGTCACGGTGCAATCGCCTGTTCAATCCGCTTTCATAGCCCGCAACCGACTTTGAAATTGTCAGAGCGAAATCGCCGCGGCGTATAGGCGTGTTCTATAGGTGAATCGGCAGGTGTAAACGCACCTGGTAAATAATTATACCTGAATCGAAATTTTTCACATCGAGCTAGAGAATTTCCACCCGAATACTTACGACATCGTCTTGATAAGAACGCTTCGGACGTCTCTCTCTCTCTCTCTCTCCCCCTCTCTCTCTCTCTCTCTCTCTCTCTCTCTCTCTCTCTCTCGAAGATTTAAAGTGTATTGATAGCGCTAATCCTTATTTTTCGCTCTTATTGAATTCCCAACAAACACAGGGAAAGAAAAGAAAATAGCAGAAACGATGAGAAATTTGTTATTTTATTTAGCCACTTACCGTATTAAAACCGTATTAGATTATTTATATTTTTAGATGATATTTTTGTAAACTGCCAGGAAGGAGTGGAGAATATGCGGCTTATTTGCAACATCAAAGCGCGACAATAATTCGTGATTATATTTCGACTAATTGTCGATCCTTCGATTTCGACATTTGCGGATGTAACGCGAAACCAAAATATCAATTCCGATTTAATCGTGCCTCTCCTCCCAATTGGAACGCGCTATTTCACGTTGCATTATTCGACATTTTCCTATATCTTTGAAAGCCACGGATATATTTCAGGTGGCCAAGTTGTACGGCGAATCGATAAATCTTCCCCGACTGCCGGATATTTTCGTGAGTCCTTAAAAAGCATTGTGTCCGTAGTGTTTAATGGGCCAAACGGCCGTGGGTGGTCGCGCGTCGTCGCGACGCCGACGACGGAGGTTGGGGCGGAAAGTTGGTGCAGCGATCGTTCGAAAGTTTCGCGAAGTCGAGTTCATCATTACGAGGAGGAACGCTGGAAGTTCGTCGCCTCGGGACGACCGCGACCTCGGTCGAAATAAAAGGGTTCCTCCACCCTCTCGGTATTGCTCGTCGCTCTTCTTTGTCGAGGGGCGCTGGAAGGCCGGGAAAAGCTCGGAAGAAGCTTGCAGGAATGCCGTTCGCTCGCTCGCTTGCCTCGAGAGAGACGTTCCGCGAGGACGAGGGAAATTCCACGGCGTGGCGTGACTTTTCCGGTGGCCTAAGACGCGGGGCCTAAGGCGCGGCTGTTAACTCATTTACGTATCCTTCGCGACGTCCCGAGTTGAATTTTCATTTCCGTAGTCGTTAAATTCCGCTGGCCAGCCTCTTGATTGAACAAATACAAGGCAACGCGTTAAAGAGCGGAGATAAACTAAGTTAAGCCATCGGAGCGCTGCGAACGCTTACGAGCTTTCGGTGAAAATTATCAGATCCCGCATCTCGCAAATTTATATTTGCGTTCGAGAAAACAAAAGCATATTTTACCGAAAAGTACTCCGCGTGTGCACAGTGACCGTCCGTCGAGAGGCTCCGGCTCAAAAGCACTCCGCACTCAAAGGGTCAAAGTTGGAACCGCGAGACCGCGTTTGCGATTCACCCGATAAAACCGCGAGGTAATCGCGCGGCGTGCTGCTGCGCGATATTCATCGCAATTTCGCACTCCGCAAGTTCGAGTGCGAGCTCGATCGAGAGCAACGAGGCTCGGCAGTTCACGGCTAAACGAAAAAGCAGCAATTGTCGGCGGTGAGAAAGCGGTAAGTTCTCGAGGTAAGAAGAGAGACGGAGTTATCGAAATGCGTTTGGACCGCGCGCGTGGAACCGCGCGACAAAGCGGGCCTCTTTAACTCTTTAACGCCCGATCTTTTTTTTTATAAGTGTTTTAAGAATAAAATTTGAGTTTTTTTGAAGTGACAATCAAAAAAAAATATCAGAATTTTATATCTACGAAAAACTACCTTCTAAATAAATGAGTATATGAAGTTTCCGCTTTTCGTTCGTTGGTTTCGTTAGTTTGGTTCTTTTTATCGTTCGTTTTTTGTTTATTGGTAAATATCACTTGGATCCTAAAAGCATATACGAAATGAACAACCTATACAGAGAAAAATGAAGGGTAATCTATACGACGTAACTCTGACAGTCAGCTTGACATTTTTCAGCTGAAACTTTATTATGTTTGTGAGTGAAGTTTATCATTCAGAGCGTCAAGCTTACTATTTCAGAAGAATATCACTTATAGATCACCATTTAGATAGTCAATCGTCCCTTCATTTCTCGCCGCATAAAAAACTGTAGGTCACCAGGTTTCACGAAAATAGGTTGATTTTTTTATTTTCGTGTCCATCATATTGTTACGTCCTGTGGACTCCGCGCACTCTAGCGCTTTTTTGATAAATGAGGAAAATTGAATTTATTATTACTTATTATATGGCTGGATGCGCTCAGGCATGTTACCGCACGACGCGATCTCTGGAAGTTTCGATGCTCTGGAAATATTAACAATCTTGAACCAACTCCGATCTTGTTTCCCACACGCTTAGTCAACGATAACAGTATCGCGACATCCTTCTTAGAAATATCGATATTTCCTTCTTAAGATTGCTGCCACGTTTTTTTAAACAAAAGACTCTCGAAAACCTCTTATTGCCATATGCATCCTATCTCCTACAAAGTTATCTTAAAGACACTGCAACGCATTTTTAACCCCCACCTCTAAAAAAAACATTCGAAGCACAGTCCTATGACCATATTTGGGCATGAAAATTAGATTTCCGAAACAATTCCCTAAAACCCCACTCTCTCAACCGAGCTGACGTTTTGAGAAGAGCCAAAAGGCCAACTCGACCGACCCGCAGCCAGGAACAGAAGCTTCTTTTCAGCACCCCTTCAGGGTTCTCCTAACAGCCTAGCCTATTAGTGGCTTAAACAGATCAGTGTTTCTTCAGTCGTTAATTATTCTGTGCAACGATCTCGTGCATTCTTGGATCATTGCGAGCAATCCTGCCGAAACCAGCTTCCTATTCTTGGCGCAGAACTTGAGTCATCCACCCTCGCAGACCCGCAGCACTCTTTATTACACTCTTCATTTCCGACAAATAGCGTAGATCCAGCAGTAAGTTATTTACACTTTCTTTTACTTGAGTGACCCCTTTCCTTTCACTTTTCTTCTTTTCTTCTCTCCCTTTTCCTTTCCTTTCCTTTTTCTTGCCTTTTTGTTTGCCTCTTGGCATCCCTCCTTAATTGTGAAATCCGGTGTCAGTGGTCCAATCTTGTCGATCTCAATCGGACATAACGAACACGGAATTTTACTCAGACTGCGATTGTTTATGCATACGTATGTATACGTACACATTATAAAATCTTACAAATTTGATTTCATTGTGAACTTCCGCTTAATCATCAATAAAACAAGTTATCTGTAATTGTAAGCCAATCACGTTTTCCAACTAATTATTCTCAACAAAAAATTCTCCCTTCCCTCAACTGTCGCTCACGGTCCTGTCCCAGGTAAAAGGATTCAGTTCCTTGATCTAAATAAAGGACCACCGACGTACGTCCGCGCCAGATAAAGGGGTCATTCCGATCCTTGATCTGCACCGCAGACTTGCGAGTACGTCGGAGCTTGTGAAAGCAAGCGTCAAGTTGCGTTCCTCCTCCAGGACGTAACAATATTGGATTCGCCATTTTGAATTTCACATTTTGCATCTGAAAAAGCTTCCAAATGTATAAAATTATAACAGATATCAATATATTGATTTATAGTGCACTTCTAGATGTCAGTAACAATGCAGTGACTATTGCCTACTTGGAATTTGAACAAAACATGTTATCATTAAAACTGAGCTAAAAACAGACTAAATCGAATCTGCATACAATCTATATACCATTTTTTAGACGAAGAATTCACCTTTATAGCAGTGTAAAAAAACGAAAATATCACCTTTTTTGACTAAGTCATGGATTCTTCAATGCGTTTCTGGTAACTATAGTTACCAGTAGGCGTTAAAGGGTTAACTCGACTTTGTCGGCCCGCGTTCGTTCCGTGAACAATCCGGCCGGGCCGCGTATTGTCATTCGCACGTACACGACAGTAGTGGCCAATATGTCGAGCGACTTGTTTAGACCGTACTTATATACGTCAATATCTCGACTCACAGCGGATAAGAGACGTTATTTTATCGGCCAAGAAGCACGGAAGGGGGAATAGAAGAAAGTCGGTAAGAGCAAAACGAGCTTGAGATACGCGGCTTTCGGCGGCCAGAGTTTCTCCGCCAAGATGGAGATATCGAAGTATCGGGACGGGATAATATAAACCCGGCGGGTGAAATTGAGACGAATATAATGCAACGGCGCATCGCGCGTATATCACCGGTGCGTATTCGAAACCTCTGACGGTCTTGATGATGGCAGTCTCGCGTTCCAAGCTTTAATGAAGTACTTCGACTTTCGGGGATAGAACGCACAGGGCGTGAGAAGTCAATAATCAATATCCGTATCGTGGAGGTTAATTATGTCTTGAAATTTTGCCAGGATTTTGATTACAGGCACGCGACTTTGGCCGAATTATGTCGAATCGATTTCGTAAAGTAGCGCAATAACGAACGTGCAATATGTAAAATGACGATGTGAAATAAACAATTTATGTCCTTTGAAACTGTCCACACGAGGATTTTTACCTTGACCTGACTTGAGTTTTATAAAAAAAAAAGCAACGTCGCAAATGCAAATATATTCCTGTAGCATAAGTATGAGATAACATAAAATATACAAAAGCGCACAAATTGAATAAAGTTGCCACAAGCTTATCGGAATGTAATTTTCCACGTCGAGACGCGTCGTAATTTCTCGATAACCAAAGAATCAAATAATTCAATTTTGCGATAGAGATCACATAGGGTACAGCAAAACTCGTCGAAAAAGCGCAATGAAATAACAATGAAAAAACCAAAATTTATGGATAGAAACAACGTATCGCGACATATCAAGCTCTTCATTCGACCAGCAGTGCAAATCAATAGTAATTTAATAACCATCTATTGCTGCTGCAAAAAAGATTAAGTATTAAAGGGTTGGCGCGAATGTATCGCATTATAACCGCGATGTAAATTTGTTACACAGCAATAATATGAAATACTTTGCTGTTCATTCATCCATTCGTTTAAATCAGTCAATTTGTACAACTAATGTAATTAACGAACTGAAAAAAGTATTATGTATACGTATGTAGTAAGTATTATATGTATGTATGTACTATATATATAATATATATATATATGTATATAAATATATGTATATATGTGCACGTGTGCGCATATATGTGTATAAAATTCTCCTTCAGTTCGTTAATTACGTCAATTTGTAAAATCGATTAATTTAAACGAATACGTGGATAAACAACGGCGTTTGACATTGCTGTGTAATATAATAAATATACATGCACATGTCTCTTGTACATAATATCAATTTTTTCAAATTCTTCAGATGAATGTCGAGAGACGAGGTAGCTACGTAACCGCCAAGAATGTGTATAAAATTCTCCTTCAGTTCGTTAATTACGTCAATTTGTAAAATCGATTAATTTAAACGAATACGTGGACAAACGACGGCGTTTGACAGTGCTGTGTAATATAATAAATATACATGCACATGTCTCTTGTACATAATATCAATTTTTTCAAATTCTTCAGATGAATGTCGAGAGACGAGGTAGCTACACAAGGCAAGAATGGTGAAACAAAAAGCGCCGCCGATTGACACGAGATAGCGAACCTTTTTCCCAGGTGATGCTGGCGATCGGGAAGCCCGCGACGGGACACTTGATGACGGTCGTCTCGCCGGCCACTGCGGCATAGTTGCCCATCGCTCGTACATGAGGCAGCCCGTAAATATTGAGCCGAGCTGCGTGATGCGCTCTCGCGACGCGGTTCACCGCCGAACACCTGTACTCGCCGCCGTCCTCCACGCGCACAGCGCTTATGTTCACGTGGGAGATCACGTCGCCGTGCACCGTCACGTACTGGCCTATCATGAATCTGCAAGCAAATCGCCGCTGTTCCGCTAGCCCATTCTCCGTGATCGCCAGCCGCGATTTCTCCCGCTGACTCTCGAGAAAACACGTTCACCAAACTTCCTCTACGAAGCGCTTCGGTATTGTCGACGTACCAGCGTCCATGTCGCTTTATTCGTTGTGATTCATATTCGAATTAAACGTTAGTACGTGGGGCGAGAGGGGAGGGAGGAGGGACGCGCGAGTAAGAGCCCCAGGAAACATTCACGTTGCACTTTTCTCGCCCTCGAAATTCCGCCTTTGCTCCCTCGAGACGCGAGATCCCCTTGCCGCGTCGAAATTATTCTTATCGCGACCCGCTCCCGGCGATAATCGGCTGGCGGAAACCGCGGGAACGCGGAATTACAACCCCGTCGTGGGTTATGCTCAACTTACACGGGCGTCCGTTAAATCCATCGCTCGGAATCGGCCGGCTTTTAAAAACGTCCAGACTGAACACCGTGATTGGTAATTTTCCTCTCAATTGGTTCAGAGAATCGAAGCCCGCGGGGGCCTATCGGGCTCTCTCACGGGATCCGCCTCCGCCGGATGGAAGCTCCGTATACCGATTTCCCGACAATCTCGCGTAATACCCCGGGGTTAATAACCGCGAATAATCCCACGTACGTCGTTCGTCCGATTTTTGGTGCCATAAACTTCCACATCGGCGAGAAGACGGCGAAACGCCGCGCCGGCTAGATCGAGTTTCGGGATTGTGTCGCGCTCGTCGCTCGCGCGCGAGCGCGCGCGTGCTCCGTCTCGCGAGAAGAAACACCGAGCGAGGGAAACTGCTTGTCCTACCTGTCGTTCTGCGGAAGAGGAAACCCGTCCAGAGTCCAGGAGAAGTGCGGCGTAGGGTTGCCCATTGCGATGCACTTCAACGACACCGACGGACCCGGCTGCATCGTTTGCTCGATGAACTTGTACAGCAGTTGAGGCGCTGCGTCTATAAAGTGAGACAGATTTGTTGCTATCGGGAGGGAAACGTCGCGGAAGAAACAGAGAGGAAGAATAATAGATCGAAAGGAAAGAACTCAAATATGGAGACTTTGAGATAATGAAGAAAATTGACCGTTACGCTGATAAAATAGCGAATTAACTCCAATTGATCTGTGAAACCAAGTGTAATTATTATTCGTTAAAACGCTTAATCGTTAAAACAGTTAATGATTACATTCGGTTCCTCGGCAGGCTCTTGCTTATCTTACGTTTCGTACATTTGTTTAATTCCCCGGAATCGCAAAATATGCAGGCAAGTCAAAGTGCTGCTTGAGATATCTTCTTAATTTGTGAATCTAGAATGCGACAGTGATGGCAGTTCAAAATAACGAATTGTACGACAGCTTGAAGTTTATTCGCACATGGGTTTTTCTCTCGCGAAATGTCTCTCTCCTTCCTCCTGCTTTGTAGAAGCTTGGAAAACATTTTTAGGCTTCCATCGAACAGTGAAGCCATCGTCGATGCGATCTTCTCGCATCACCGATTGACAAAGTGCCGGTAGGAATGATTAAAAATCGCAATGATTTTACAATAACAGGCAAAGCATTCACTTTCTTCTCGGCGAATTGCCCAACAATATTACCACAAAGGCAAGCCGCATCAGTGCGCAGCGACCTGCATTTGGAATTTCGAAATTGCGGCACGCCTCGCTTAAATCCACCCTGTATATACGCGCATAACTCGCACAACCAGCGCGGGAATATTCGTGGAAAATCTCCGTGCGATAGTCGGGATTTTCTTCAAATTTACCTCTCTCGGAGAGAGAGAGGGAGAGAGAGAGAGAGAGAGAGAGAGAGAGAGAGAGAGAGAGAGAGAGAGAGGGAGAGAGAATTTCTCTTCAGACTGTTCTACAAGTATATTCTCCATGCAAACACTATCTCCAAACAAGCGCGATTCCCGACCGAGCTAGACAAAGATCTACCAATAAATTGTAGAGGCTATATCGGTAAATCTAAAACTGATCACGAGATTACTCCTATTAACCATAAATCTCAAAGTCTCGCCCTTTTCAAATTGTCGGCACTTTTGAGTCGATGGACAGATGCGACATTCAACGGGATCGGGAGAGAAACTCCACCTCACTCGCTAACTTGTCAGAAATAAAATCTCTCATTCGAAACAATCGAGAATTTACTCAAAGTCATAGTTCTCGTCTCGTTTCAAATTACGTACAATTAATTGTATTACAAAAAAGATCGATTCGCTGGCGGTTGACGAAAGCAGTAGCGGAGCGGGATGAAGGACAGGTGTATTTAAGAACATTTAACAACAACAACCAGTCGAGCTTCTTGAGACTCGACGAAAATCGACAATCGGCACAGTCAAGACGCAGAAGCGAATACAGCAATCGGAGCGAATTGGTTACAGGCGAGGCTGGAGCACAGCGGACTCACTCTTCAATTTCGAATGAAAATACTCACTCGACGAGGGCGCAACATTCAGCCGGTATGAATGAAAAGCGGCACCCGGGTGCCGCTGGATTTTTCGCGGCTTTCGGCGAAATTCAAGGAGCGGAAGAACGACCTCGGCGATCCCCCCCGAGCCAACACGGAGAACGCGAGAGAGCGGCCTGCTGCGCTCGCGACGAAACGTCGGCTTTTCACGCGCCGCGCTCTCGCGCGCACCTGAATCAGGTGCGTGCCGACGCGCTGCGCGCACGCATACTACGGTGGCCTGCGGCGGGCATCGGCGTGGAAATGGCCCTGGCTCGCCGCAAGGCGGAGGTATTATGCACGCAACATTTACATGACAAGCCCGATGCGCGCGGGCGGAACTATCGATCTGCGGTTTGACGCCTGAACTCGAGTGCCGCCCGGTGAATTAACCCCAAATTATAGAGCCGACAATAACCCGGACGGGCGCAGGTTGAAGAGGCGACGGCGAGGGCGGTTCGGCAGGCTAGGTAGGTAGAGTAGGTAGGTAGGTAGGTGGGTAGATATAGTCGGCTTCGTTGGTTGGTTCGAGGCGGCTGTTTGCTCACGGTGTAAATCAGAATGCGCTATTGCACGCGGCTTGTGCCACGCCCCGGTTTTGCGAGGTCCGCGCGCATTATCGCGCGGACAGCGCGCCGTCGTCATTGTTGCCGCCGTCAGCTCGACGATGAGTCGAGTCAATTGTATTTTCACCGGGGCGAGGGCGGTGCAGCGAGAGATAGAGGGAGAGAAAGGGAGCGAGGGGGCGAAGGGAGAAAGAGAGAGGGGGAGAGAGAGAGAGAGAGAGAGAGACCATCCCTCCACCTCCGTACACACAGGGTCGCTGTGTAACCGTGGAAATTCACGGATTGAATTTCCGAGATGTGCACAAACCGGATCTCCGAAATGTGTGGAGTGGATTTACGAAGTGTGTGTGATCGAGTTTCTAAACGGCGACGCCCGCGCCGCGGCGAGACGGGGGTGAGATCCTGCACTTGCCGGCTCTTCCAAGGGGAGGTCTCGTGCCCGCACGCGGTAATCCACTAGAATCTCCGCGCTCCGCGACAATTAATATATCGTCTCGTTGCTTCTAACATTCTCCTCGCAGGGATTACTGGCGAAGACACAAAGCGCGCGCCGGTTCGAGTTTCGGGCTGGGCTGAAAATAGGATCTGAGACTGACTTTTGAGTTCGATGACAGCGTGAGCGAAAGCGGCACAAATACCATCCGCGTCAGACTCAGTCTGGTTACAGGCTATTTCCCTTCGCGATGAATCCCTCCGTCTGGACTTGGCTCCATTAAGGAAAGACACGATTTGCGCTCAAGAGAAAGCCCAACCTTCGCTCGCTCGTCACTCAAAGACTATTAACGGCGGTCCCGTCCGAAATCAGTCTGCGCGCGGACTCGATCAAAGGACCCGTGGCTCCATTTTTCTCCGACACGCAACAGCGTGAGAGCGTCTCTCACGCTCTCTCGCTGTCGATGCGCGATGCACAGTATGTCGACAAAATAACGGAACTTTTTAAATAAAAAAAAAAGCAGTTAGTTATTTTGCCAAAATTATTTCTTTTTGTTCAAAATACATCCCTTCAGCATCAACACCGCTGGGCACGTTCAACCAATGTTAGTATAGATTTTTTTATGTCGTTTCTCGGAATCGCCTCAATGACCCTCGTTACGGCTTCTTGGACTTGTGTAACACTGTCATAAAACGTTCCTTTCGTGGCCAGTTTGAGTTTCGGGAATAGGAAATACACACACGGAGATAAATCAGGCGAATACGGAGGCTGTTGAAGCACACAGACTTGTTTTCTCGCCAAAAATTCACGAACAGCGACGGTCCAGTGAGTGTGGCGCATTATCGTGCGACAAAAACCAACTTCCCGGCGCTCGATATTCGGGCAAAATTTCGTGAATCATGTCTTTGACCGTATTTAATTCCTCCGCTATCCATCTCACAGTCGAGTTCGCATCGTAGGCGATCATTTCACGCACTTTTTCCACCAACTCGTCGCGATTTTTTTTTCTCTGGCCGACCTGGCTTTGGGTCGTCTTCCAAAGCATCACGACCGTCCTGGAATCGCTTATACCACTCGAACACACGTGTACGGGATAAACAATCATCACCATAAACTTTTCTCATCGATTCAAATGTTTCTGTAAAAGTTTTACCGAGCTTGAAACACAATTTAATATTAGCTCTTTGCTCCATCGTGTTTTCGTGAAGTTTCTGTGAGGTGACAAAAGGTACTGTCGCTTTAAGCGCTACAACTTCGCAATCCGTTGATCGATTCTAACGATGGCGGTCTCGTTTTGTAGAGGAGATATACAGCTTTCAGATTGTATATTGTTTCAATAGATGGCGTTAGTAGTTTTCTTTAAATTTAAAAAGTTCCGTTATTTTTCCGACATACTGTGCATCTATCCAGTTTGAGCGGGCGATACACACGTCGATCGTGTGTATCGCTTTCACGCTTTTGCCGCCGATCGACATAATCCTTGGATGCAGATTTGCAGCGGCCGTGCGCGATTCACCCCGACGCGGTCGCGTCGCGAGTGCATCCGCGCGACTTCGCCGCGCGAGCGATTATTCGCGAGCACGCGCGCGTCGCGCTATTATACGCCAGGCTTTGTGTCATTAATGCATGTGGACAACGAACAGCAGTCGCGATTCATCGCGACCGCGATGCCTGGGACGCCCGAGCGGTAGGAGGGCGATGATTCCTCGTTATTTACTGGGCCGGGCTGGGCGCCGCGCGATTCGACGAGCGTGTCGGTGCGCCGTAAACAAAGTGGAAGTTTGCCAGGATCAAGGCCGGAAAATTTATTTAACTCCGCGCATGGGGCCGGCCCGAGCGTGTTTAATATCGCGTTATCGTGACATTCACGCGGAAGGGCGTAAAGAGCATCGCGCCCGCCGATATTGTCCGCGCCGCGCCAATCACGGCGTAATCGGGGGAGGAAGAGTATATCGCCGTGGTTGTATCAGCGGGTTGTTTAAAAGAAAGAAAATCGATGTTGACGCTATTACGCGTCCAAGTCGAGCCGCCGGCGCCGTCGCTTGCCAACCGGTAATAGCCGCGCCAACGTGTAAATATTATTAAAGGGAAAAAGGAGCAAAGAGATATCGTCGAGCGATGCGGGTAGCGCAGAATTTTCGTGGAGATTCATCGAAAACATAGCTTGACGCGAGACACATCATTGTTCTCAATCAATATCATACAGAGAACAGAAAAGTGTTGAGACAAACGTATTGTATTTTAAAGCGCTGTTATCTTTCTATAAACTGTTTTGAGTCGGGGAACGAAGAAGAGAGATATTATAAGATCATTAACACCGATTAACACCTCAAGCTCTGACGAGCGAGCTTTATGCAAATGGTCGCGTTATAATTAATATCTACATGACGAGTAAGAATAAAAGCAGATATACGTATTGCCTCGCACGAGTACAAAGGCGAACGTAAATTCGGCCATCACTCGCTGATGCGCGGCCGCCTTATACATATATATTACGCTCCCTTCGCCTAATCTAGCAAGACACAGCGAATCGCTAATCCGGGATTAGTTAAGCCCGACTATCGGTGTGCCCGAGGCCCTATTACATCAACGTCGGTTAGCACTAACCGCGGTTTAAAGCTGCCCTCTCTCCATCAGCATTATACCTGGATTCGCGTCCCAGAAAGAGAGGGGAAATTGTTAAGTGGAATTAGCTACTCCAGATCGTGGACGCGGCAGTCAAGACGTGAACACGTGACATTGAGGGGGGGGGCTGGCTAATGATTTTTCATTATTATTATTACCTTGACTTTTTTGCTGTTAAGAGACACTAAAAGCGTCTCGTATGAAGCCGTCGCGGCGTTTTATATCTCGCTTCTCGCGCGGTTCCAGCCTTAATCGAACGATACGATACGGCTGCTTGCGATTAGGGCGCACGAAACGGCTGCGAGAGACGATGGAGTACCGAGAAGAGGATTTGATTCGATATAACAGTCGATGTAAAAGTTCCAATAAAACTGCCGCGGTAAAGCTGGAAGAATGCCAGAGCGGCCCGCCTTCGATCATCACTCACTCTCTCTCTCTCTCTCTCTCTCTCTCTCTCTCTCCTTAAAGGGGGTTGTATGACTTTCCTCGCCACGAAACCCGCGATGATATCGGAAAACATTTTATTCGTTGTACGATACAATTTGAAAGATGTACATACGAAGAAAAACGAAGCGCCCACATCTTTTTGAATTTTTTTAGATTCAATCGTACTTTGAACTCTTGTTCGCCTCGAGCCTCGATCCTTGAAATTATTTCACTCGTACGCGGACAAACACCCCATCCCCATCCATAATGCATGAGGCACAATAATGGATGCACAATAAAGTCGCACGCAATCTCGAATTTACATGAACGCGCAGGCGTTCGCGCGTTTCGTGTACTCCCGCAGTGTATCGCCGCACGTAAAAATCGGTCGTTAAAAATTACAATCGCGACGGTGAAGGACTTCGCTTTCGGCGGCGACGCTGATTCAGTTACATTTTCATTTGGCTCGCGCTCAAAAGTGCCTATTTCGTCGTGAATCAGCAGTTTCCCACCTAGTTTCGCCGGCGCGTCCCATTGCGCGCGTTCCTTTGTTCCATCGAACGAATCGTGAAAATACCAGCGGCAACAATTCCCCCCCCCCTCTCCTCCCCCGCCCGCGAACCGTATATATTTTCCTCTCTCACCCCCCTCGCGATTCGCGTCATCACTCTGTCCCAGCTTCCCGCCAGTTCCAACGTGGTTTACGATCGTTACGGAACGTCGTCTCTTTGATTCTTTCCTTTTTGTTACGTAAGAGGATTACCGCGCTGTCCAATTATTTCGCATTTCGCATTTCGCAACGACAATGACGACGACGGCGACGACGACGATGACGATACACGCAAATCGCATTAAAACAAACTCGCAAATTGCTCGAGAGGGCCTCCAAGCAACACTCGCGGCGAATGAAGCGACAGTTTTCGTGAATGAATAAATCGCGCGCGAGAGTCGTGACTTGCACTTTGACTAAATATGCATCGCAACGAGTACACGTGTATACGTTATATTCTCGAACAAATATATGGCACAGCAGAATCGCGGCTTACTGAACTCATATTGCGAGCTCATATCGCATTTGAAATAATTTATTTTTATTCCCCCTCTCTCTCTCTCTCTCTCTCTTTCTCTCTCTCTCTCTCTCTTCCCCTCTTTCGTTCTCTCACTATCTCGCTCGCGCCCACGTGGAAAAGGAAAAAGTCGGAAAATGCCAGTCGGGATGCGCCAGTGTGCGTTACCGACGATTTAAAACGCGATCTCGCCGTTCCATCGGCGTACGCGCCCGCGGGGTGTTCCACTTTTCGATGCTGCCGGCAGCTTTTTCACTGCGATATCATTTAATTGCGATAAAAACGATCCGTGGAATTTTCATATATTCCATTTGCAAAAAAGGCGAAATATTTCGGACATTTTGTTTGCGAATTTGATGAGCGATACTCCGATTTATCAAACACACGTGTGAAAAAGGAATTGGATTTCAGTGAATAACGAATAACCTATTTAGTATACATTAAAGCGGACACCGGTCGGAATTGAAGGAATAACAATGTCTACGTAACTCCAATTTCTTGTATGGCTATTGTTTCGACGTAGGATGTCTGCGTATAAAGGCGAAATGACAATCCACCGAAGGAGACGAGGCTTTTTATGCTTATCTTCATCCAGAGTTCGAAGCTTTGGTGGCTTTATCTGCGTTTACAAAAGAGAAGGATTTTTCTAAAAAAGAGAGTTTTAGAGAAATGTGCGCGCGTGTGTGGTTTGAATAATTCGCAACGTCTACTCGATCGTTTCACAGACGATCTCATTCTAAGCGTCACAGAAGTGACTGACTTGTACTACTTTTCAGGAGCGCAATTCGACAAGCTTGTTCTTGAGGGCTTTCGTTCTCTTCGTTTAATCTTCTATCAAATTATTTATATCAAGCTCAATTGTATTCTATAAAAATTTAGAATATTTACGAGACATATCTTCGATACCAGTCGGATAATTTCATTTATAATTCGTTTAATCGGGACGAGGGAAACAGCGAGGACAAATGCGACGGTCCGACAGCTCGCATTCGTTCTCGCTCGCTTCGTGTGCGCAGTTACCTTAAGACGGCTGAGAAAGCGACATCGGTCGTTTAAGGTAATGGATTATGTCGCGCGAAAACACCGTCCTCGTTTCAGCCGAGTTTAAAGACGACGACGACGACGACGACAACGCGACGATGACTGCGAGGATGAGAACGACGAGGACGGAATATTCGCGTCCAGCTCGCCATTCGTCTTGGCCCGCGTCTTCGTGCACGCAGCGCGAAACTTCTCCATGCCCGTTTTCACCGTTCATCCTCTTTCTATTCTCGTCGATCGACCAACCGACCGACCGACCGACCGACCGATCGAGCGAGCGAGCGAGCGAGCGAGCGCACCACCCTCGTCCACCCTCTTTTTCCTTCACCTCTCCCCGACTAAGACAAATGGCACGTATTTATTTCGCGGCACACCGGCTAGTGGATTTCTCCTTTCTCCATTATGCATCGCCCTCATTAAGCATTTCTTTCACTTTTTCCTTCCCTTTCATCCCCCTTTTCGTCTTGGGGCAAGCACAAGCAATGTTTTCCCTTCTCTCCGTTAAGCCCTTTGGCGGATTTTGCCCGCTCGGAGGCATCGCGCTCCCCCACGTTGATCTGTATGCGAATGCACAGGCACGTCGCGAGAACGCCTAAGTTCGGAACAATCGACTCGCGGCGATGAAGGAATTCGATTGCACCTATTGAACGAGGGCTCGGTCAGGTACGAGGCGGAGAAAAGGGTGATATACGTCCCCGAGAACGCCCCCGGACATTTCTCTCGCACGTGCGGGAACCTTGGACTCGGACGGCAATTTCCGGGCTTAATTCTTAAATGCATGATTTCGCCGATTCGTGTGAAGCGTGTGTGTGCGCGCGCGCGCGCGCGCACGCGCGTCCGTGTATAAATACCACTCTTTTGTTGGAAATTAACATTTAGTCGGCGTAAAAATCAACAGAAGGATTTAAAATAATTTTTTCGTTCGTTGAAATACGGCGCGAATTTATTGTCGGAATTCGGCGATATTGGACACGTAAAATTTCAATGGAAGGAAATACAGACGAAATTATATATGGTCTGTCGGAAAATCGCGGCGCTATATGATTTAAGAGTCAGCCGACGCCGAAAAAATATACCCGATACGGAAAATATTTAATCATTGGCATTGCTTCGAAAGTTTTTCGCTCGAAGAGAGAATTCTTCATGAAGATTATTCATGTTTCCTCCGCTCGTTAAAATGTATTCGCTCACTCTCGTAGTTCGCGTATTTGTGCGAATTACGAGATATCGACAAATACTAATTAATATCGCAACTTTGATACTTCAAAGTATTTATCTTTTCGCTTGTTTAGATTTCGAAACAGATTGGCTCTGGTTCTTTCATGCTTCTCGTCCTCTATGTTCTCTCCTTGTACATTGAATAATTAATCCACGGTGCGTTGGAAATACACTTTATCCTTAATTAAAAAAAAAAATATCGCCATTTAGTACCGTAATAAGGCGGCTTCCGGAAAATGCGTCTAGGTATTTAAGGAGACTTACTTTAGAACAGCCGGTAAAAACTAAGTAAGGTCGCAAAAAAGTGAAAGAAGGAGAGAGAGAGAGAGAGAGAGAGAGAGAGAGAGAGAGAGAGAGAGAGAGAGAGAGAGAGAGAGAGAGAGAGAGAGAGAGAGAGAGAGAGAGAGAGAGAGAGAGAAGGGACAAAACTTCGGCAATAGAGAGTCTCTCGCCCCTCAGTTAATGGTGTACCGTTAATAGCCTTAATTTAGCCTTATTATTTCCCGGAGGAAACTTTCATAAAACTTTCGCGAAAGTTACGCGGAGGCTCGCGTACGCGCACGCGCGCGCTTATGTTAATCCATCCCCGACTCGTGTGTGCTTCCTCAAACACACTCGCTATGCATGTACACTCGGGATATCTCAAGCATGTCCCGGTTTACGTGCCTCGGACGAAAGCGAGAATTAGAAGCGAAATTAAAAGAAGAACGCGCATGATGTACAAATTGCGTCTGCGCGGCGCAAAAAAAGCATGACATTTAACTGCATATTCGGCGTAACTTGCTGTAAGCTCAAATACATTTTCGAAATTCAGCGAATTCCCCTCGCTGATTCTTGAATGTTAATTAATTTAATTTATAACGGCTCGCGTGTTTTCGGCAAAATGATATTCGACAAACTATATTCGATAAACGGTTCGTACGAAAACAATGGCTCTCGGTTGCCTGCGACTATGTAGGGGGAAGGTCCGATTATATTCGTGGAGGAAGGCAACGCGCGCGCGCGCACAGGAAGGAAACGTGAGGGCGAATTTACCTCCCAAGCGTAATTCGGCCGTGGCTTGCACCATCTCGTAGTCGTTTTTGGCGAAGCACTGGTACATCCCTTTGTCGTCTCTCACGATGGAAGATATGCGCAACGTCGAGCCGTCGTTACCCGTAATTTTGCTCCTACCCGAAGATCCTTCTCTCACCGGAAGACCGTCCTTCGCCCACGAGATCACCGGATGTGGCTGACCGGTGACGGAGCATTGAAACTCCGCATCCTTCCCTAGGTCCACAGTCACCTAAAGTCCACAGGAAATACGCTATATGCTAATATCCTGTGTAATATTGTATAATGTGTTCTCGTAGTAATGGCAACATGTAACGCGATATCATTATTGATATATATTTAATACTCGCCCTGTAATATAATACAAATAAAAATTAATGCACTATACACGCGTAGAATATCATATAATATTTGCGACATTGATTTCGTCATATTTTATGTGTAAAGTTTAATGTATATCGTAGAATATACGTGTACGTGAGGCATGATGTATAAAAAGAATTCTTTTTATCATCAATCAATCGCGATTTGCAAATTTCAATTTAAAAAAATTTTTTAAATAAACTTGCAAGGTGTATGAGGGAAAAAGAGGGGGAGAAAGAACGAGATACAGAGAAAAGGGGAGGAAGCGTAGCTTCGGTTTAGCGAAAGCCTGCGCAACAAGAGTATCCTGAGAGCGGCAGGATGAAAGAAGTTTTAATCGGCAATTATTCAGTTGGTACAATTAGAAAGTCGACGAGAATATGATCTCCGTGCGGATTCGCGAGTCTACATCCGGTTACATCGGGTCGTAATGCGCGTACCGACGAGAAGAGTGCAACTACACAGTCGCCGTATATCGAATTAGGAATTGGACGAACGCGCCTCTACAATTAATTCAAGTGGCTCGCTGGAATTTCCAATTCCGCATTCGACAAGTTAATTTAATCATCCGCCCTTTGAACGCGCGTCGTATCCGTCGCTGTATAAAAATATCGGCGTAATTGAAATGCAGATTAATAATAAAACCGTTTTTTCGGCTCAAGAAGAACTCGCCGGAGTGATTGCAAATTTTCTTCCCTCCTATCGGACAAACATTCCATTAAACTCCACACACACACACACACCGCATCCTCCGCAAATAATTAGATATTAATCCGCAACTCCGATAAACGAGTTTCTCGTTATGTGCCTGACAAGATGTAGACTCGCGCCTCCAACGATATCCCCACCCTCAATATTCAATATCGTGTCAAAGCTATCGTAATCCAATGGGTAATCATAACGAGCGCGCTAACGATCGCACTAGACCGATCAGAGCTATTCTACACTTAATTGAATGCTGCGGGGGGTAAGTAGATAAGACCATGCGCATTCAGACAGGGGTGAGTATTAGAGATTCGCGGAATAATATGAGGTGATCCATTAAATCGGCCTCCCGCGGAATTTCCATATCCATCTTGAGCCGCTTAACTTGACGGCGATCGAACGCTCGGGATCCTTTGATCCGGAGTAGAATCGGTCTTGCGCATTATTAAGGATGCTCGTTTACTTCAAGGGAAAGGGGGGAGAGAGAGAGAGAGAGAGAGAGAGAGAGAGAGAGAGAAGGAGGGGAGGAAAAGGAGAGGGGCCAGGGGAATGAGACAGATAAGCCAGGGAGGAAGAGGAGGAGGAGGAGGAAGTGGATAGTGCATTTCGATTATGCAGCGTGCACGCTTGAGCGCGTGCATACGTGTGCACGGTAGGATGCAGCTGCATCGTGCTGGCTGCATCGCGTTAGATGCATCGCCGTTGCAAATTCCGCAGCCACTTCGACCAAGAATTCCCGAACGAAGAGCACTTCCAGCTGTCCGACGCGCCCTCGATCTTGATAAGCAAAAAGCATCTTCGTGACGCGATAAACAGACTGAGAGTTTGCGAGAATCAGCTGCTTAACTTTTTCATTTACAGTTCGACGGAGAGTACTTGAATTATATAGGGAAACGTTGATGTTTACGAAATTGAATTTCGATGATATTGGAGCTTTCATTCTAATCCAATCAAAGTCGTATACGTGGAATACAAAACTACCGTCAGAAGTGTAGAAAAGCGACGGCACGACGTATTTTCACCGAGTGTCGTGCTGGCGCCAAAAGTTAAAGTTAATTTAAAAATCGTTATACGGCGCAACAATGACTGAAAATGATTGAATTGTATGGAACTCGAGTAGAATAAGCTAGGACTACCGTTATAAGTGCAGTAAGTCGACGGCACGACATATTTTCACCGAGCGTCGTACTGGCGCCAAAAGTTAAAATTAATTTAAAAATAATTATACGGCGGAACAATGAAAATGGTTGAATTGTATGGAACTCGAGTAGAACAAGCTAGGACTACCGTCATAAGTGCAGTAAGTCGACGGCACGACATGTTTTCGCCGAGTGTGTGTGTGTGTGTGTGTGTGTGTGTGTGTGTGTGTGTGCCGTGCTGGCCGCCAATATTTAAAATTATACAGAATTGTTAATTGTTGGAGTTCTTTTCTGAACTGCTTCATAGTTATAGAATTAGAACTAATGGGAACTCTCGTCAAAAAGCCTATTATTCTTCGGCTTCTTGTACTTGAGAGGAGACTGTGTCGTGCTGAAACGTGAAGTCAGCATATTTTTTCAATTTCGATTTTTTGGTATTAAGAATACGGAACTTTTTTTTATTTTTATCAGAAACTGTAGAACTATGAAAAATGCTACTGGAACTAACATCGTTTTTTAATAATTTTTAAAACGTCGTGCTAACTTTACAGACAGGCTCTTTTTAACACATTGCGGACCAGATATTTTATCGCTAACCCATACCCAGTAACCCCCCCTGCTTATGTCTTCGTTTCAAATATTTTTGAATACCTTGCGGTTTGTTAGTAGTTAAAAATCATTGACACGTTTAATATTTATTTTCAACAATCTTCCACTTGAAATTTTTTTTTACATTTTTTCACCGTTACACAACTTTGGTGTTACTTTGTGAATTTGAAAGTCATAATTATCCTCACAAGTATCTATATTATTTTCATCATCACTTGGTATTTCCGACAAATTGTCCGCTAATATTTATTAAATGGTTTAGAAAATTAATTCACGTCACAAATCACCAAAAACCTCAACTATTGCCACTTGTTACTGCGTTATAACTGCTCTTAATTGATATAAAAAATGCAAGACATCTCGTCAATCGTCCCGAGAGATTATAATTTCTTCTCAAGCGATGGGGACAAATTATTTGTGTTGTAAATAAATTATGTTTATCGACGTTAGCTATTCCTCATTAGCATATTTTAAGACCACACGAATCACTAATAATTGTATAAGTTTTCACGCCGCGTATATTTGCACGATTTAGAAGCAATAAATGAATTAAATCCCCACATGCACGTCTCCGCATCAATTCGATGGATGATCCTGCCGGCCAGGAGTACGACGATCAGAGAGAGACGATGGAGAAAAGTATAATCTGCACGTTTGAAAATCGACAGCAATCGTTAAATATCATTAAGAGGATCCGCCGACGACCGCTTTGTTCCGCGATTCCATGGGAAACTTTCTTTCGAGAGGCCGTCGGCGAGACTTGGAAATATCCTTTGATACCGGACCTTATTCGGTGGCGACGATGGAGCGTGCGAAGGGCTGCAGCGAGAAAGAAAAGACCGCGACGCGCGCGGAGAGCGAGGCGAGGAAAAAAAGTATAAAATGGCCGCGCGATAGTTTCTCTGAAGGTCCTCGAGGAGAGACTCATAAAACGCGAGCTAAGACATCGGTTCCCCGTTTCACCCTCTTTCGACGAGTTCCTTTGTGGCCAGCCGTCTACACGTGTCTACCCGCGTGTATTTACGACACGCGTAGGGGACGCGTTGTTTCAATATAACAATAATGCGCATATACACATACACGTACGCACGCATGTACACGCACAGCCACACACACACACACACACACACAAGTGTAATGTACGTGCAATTCTCTTTGAAGCGCGCGCATCGCGCGGTTGTTAGATGTTTTTTTTTTCGGTGGAACAAATAAGGGGGACGCTGTTAAACGAGGGCGCGAGGGGATGTTCAATTCGCCTCGTTCCCGGCGAGTTTCTTGTGCGCCGCAAAGAAAGAAGCGGCGGCGGCGGTGGCTTCGCATTAAAACTGTAGGGTGAAATTAGAATTCGGGACTCGACAAAGACCGCGCACAATATTTCTGCACTCGGGGCAATGTACTCAGACGACATATTCGCGATGATGAGAGTAATCGGCGAAGGTCGTCATGTGAAAAATAATTATCACAATTTTACTTGCGCGGGCAAGCACATGGGCCCTTTTAGAAAAAAAGAGTAATGTTACACTGAATTTCAGTAGGCCGCATTCCGTGAAGAGGGCGATATTGCTTTTAGTTTAGCCGAGCGAAATACCCGTGCGAGGTGTTTCTCGGACGTTGCGCGTCGCAAGCATACGAAAATAAGATTCCGCGACCAGCGAATACCTGTTTTCCGTTACAGCGAACGTTATACCTTGAAGTCGCCGCAGCTAAAAGGTCAGTAGCCGTTTCATGAAATATCCTTCTCTCGTCGAATAAATGTTTATATTAATTTTCACAAAGCGGGGTGAAAGTGCGCGCGCGCGCGAGGTACGTATTTATATTTTATATTCGATATTCCTAAAGTAACGCACCGCTGAAATTCTTTGATACGTTCTTTTACGTTTAATATTAAACGCGCCGGGCATTACGTCGAAATTTGCCCAATCAAACGTAAACGCCAGTTTCAGCATCGTATTGTTCGGCTAATCACCTGCGGATGAAATGTCAAACGGCAGAAATAACTTGACAACGCCCTGGGATTTGTGTTGAAAAGCCTATGATGATTATTAATTCCGCCGAAGCGCCGGCAAAACGCGCCGTCGGAAGCTGCGCGCTGTGCGTGACAAAAAGCCGTGGTTTCCGCCAATAAAGCACGAAGCGGGTTTGACGCGCTAATGGAACAAAATTGCGGAGACGAAAGACAGTCGATACGTACGGAGTGTCCCGGATTAGCCGTGCCGCCATTCATTCGCTGCGAGTTCCTGCGAGCGAACCGAGAAGTCGATTTTTCCTTAATGGAATTACGGCTTAGTGGCTCTCGAGTTACGGGCGACTAAAAATCGCGCTCCCACAAATTAAATCGTGGAAATGTGTGAATGGATGCAAAAAATCTTACTTTTCATCTCCAGCGCGTTTTAACTAAATTTTAACTTGACATTTC